ATTGGAGTAAAAGCGGACACAATTTAACTTATATATGATACGTATCATTTATATTGGGATGAATATTAATTTCTGATTTTATTTTATGTTATTCTTTAGTACATACCCATTATAGTTGAATAAATAAGTCATTAGCAAAGAAATAAATAAATTTTACTTACTGGTGGTATGTATGTTAGACAGTCTCCTATAGTTTAAGTTGTATTTTATTTTATATTATATCATAAGTTTTAATTATTATTCACATTATAAGTTATTACTATTTTTTAATTATTATATAGGTTCTGGATGACTTACCACTAAATTTCCCGGCGTGTAAAAATCAAGTACCTGGAGGAGGTTTGGTTTTTTTTGGTAAATCATGTATTTTGGAAATTACATTTAGATACAAATATGAGTAATGAAATATGCATAATATTTTTCGATATTACCGACGCAATAATAAGAAAATATGAACGGGTGTTTTTACACAAAAGAAAGAATTTTAAAAAAAGGGAAAAAAGAACAAAATCATCTGGATGAACAAAAATTTAAAAATAAACAATGTAATTATCTGGAATCGAAAAAAAAGTAAAAAAAAAATTATGTAAATGATCGTGACACGAACCACGGCCTTCTGTTTCGGGGCTGCCCGATTACCGACCGAGCTATTATAAAATTTTTTTTGCGACGAAATTTACCGTCATATTCGAACGATATTTTTCATTCCCTGAAAACAGGAATAAAAGGACATTTTCTAAAAGTGAAACCTAGCTAGATCGATTTTTCGCCCCCGAATCTAAACACATACTAAATTTCATGAAAATCGCCGGAGCCGTTTGCGAGATTCCGATTATATATATATATATATATATATATATATATATAATCGGAATCTCGCAAACGGCTATCTGCTCTATTAGCGGTTACCGAGGATGTGCGACATGGTATGGGGGATGGCAGGGTCACAGTATTAGTACTGATCGACATCTCCAACGCTTTTAATGCTGTTGACCATGACATCCTTCTTGCCATCTTATCTCACCTAGGATTTTTATCCTCAGCACTGAATTGGTTCTGTTCTTATCTTCGTGGTCGCCGGCAGGCGGTTCGTGTCGATGGAAAGTTCTCCAATTGGTGTAATTAAAATTATACCAGCGTCCAACAGCAATACTATACACAAATAATTTTACTAAATGCATTCCATGAGTTTTAAATGTAAATGAAATTATTTTAAAAAACAGGACAGAAATGGGCGGTGGATATCCACTCAACATCAGGTGAACCACCAGCACGCTTGCTATTTTATTACATAAAAAAACAATAATAATAAAAAAAACTAATGTTAACATTGATTGGTTTAAATATTGCCTTATTGAATGTTATTGACGAAATTTTACGACGGGTAGGGGATACCTTAGTTCTATGTTATATGCTCGTGATTACACCGCCACGTAATAAACCTAGACATATGGCTAACTTCCAAGGACAAAAACACATCAAAGACAACCAAAAAGTTATTACGGTTTCATATTAAGACAAACGTTATCCAACTGACGCTTAAATCCAGTAAGCGTTGTCAATACCAGCGAGCTATTATATTTCAAGTTTTGCCTACTCTTCAAAAGATATAAAAAATTATCGCAAAATCAAATCCAATCTATTGACAAGACAATAAACGAGAATTTCTGGAGTGTGTAAATGAAGGATTATCTCTAGAACCACTGCACTTGTTTGAAAACTATTTCACCGTTCGAATGATACATCCGTCCAGATGGATACGCGTATCGTATCCCTCATCTATTTAGGGACCCATATTTTTAATTTTGAACTCGGAAGTGGTACGAATTGGCCACGAAATGATCATAAAATGGTCAGTGATTTAGAGCAATTGTTTTAAAATTTCTAGAAAGAGTACGAAGTTTCTCGCCGCTGCTGTCGGTATCGAACCCACGTTTTCGGGATTCACACCCTGCTTTAGCCACTAAGCTAAACGGCTGACGAAAATCTCAACGACTTTTATCTACATTGTTTTTTAGCACTTCCATGGTTATATCCTTTCCAGCATACAAACAATTTCGAATATCGTTTTACAACGACAATTAACGTTAAAAGACGAACGAGAGACGGTGCCGTTGCTAACAAATTTAAAATTTTTATAGTGCTAATCTCCACACTCGTTCGTTACAAATACAAATCTTTTCTAAATTCGTCACAAAGCTACGCCAAAAGGTCATAGTTTTCCAATTGCAATTGGTCAGCATTAAGTTTTCTTATACACCAAAATATAATATGAGTTGCCGTCAATTAGCAAAACAATAATTGGAGGATCAAAAAGGGGCTGAGCGTAAACTCTGCACAGCTTCGGTGCCAGCGTAATCCCATTTCCAACTAACGCGAGAGCGTTAAAGTGCTTTGCGGGCTTTCGACAAATGAGCACGCTCGGTCCGACCAGCGCGGTCCGGTCACGTTCCGCGTCACGCTAACAATCGGCGAAACGCTCGAACCGAGTTTAGTTCTGGGTAAGTGGCACCCGTATGCCGCTACAGCTAAATCACTCTGTATTATTGCTTTCCAGGCTGCACCAACAGATATGAATGGCGAATATGTATGAATCAATACCAGAATGGCGTTGTGGGCAGTGTACCTGCCTCCTGTGCCAGAGGGTGTGGATTCGATCCCCACTACTGGAAAAATATTGTGTGATGAACATGGCGTTTTTCTAGTGTCTGGGTGTTTCTATATGTATAATATGTATTTATTTACAAGAGAAAAGTATGTTTAAGTATGTTTATCAGTTTTCTAATACCCATAGTACAAGCTTTGCTTAGTTTGGGACTAGAAAATGTTGTTTACAAATGTGTCCTAAATATTCATTTATTTATTATTTATATTTCAATCACTACATTGAGATTAGTAGGAAAACAAATAACAACATATCGGTTATTTTCCTATTACGATAATGTACGCTAGTGAAAAGAAGAGAAGATTAAAATTAAAAAGCGAAATTCAATTACTTCTGTTACAACGTTATGGGATGTTTAAATTTTAAATTTTCGTAGATAAATGAACAAAGGATTTCAGATGCAAGTTTTCAAGTTTTACAGACGCTTTAACAACTAAGCTAAGCGGCCGATAACCTCACAGCACGAAAACGACATATGTTGGTCCATAATTGACTATGCTTTACTAGTACAGACTATCACACGTGCTGGTACCATAACGAAAGTGAACCCATGTCGATATCGAAAAGAAAACCTGAAAAGATAGCTCCATCTTTTAGATTCGTACACGTAAATACGAGTATCTACATCTTTCTTCGCCGTCTTCAACAAAATAATTTTAAAACAGTTCAGATTTTGTCACCGACCAACACCGTAATATATCGAATATGTAGTTCAAAGAGCAAATGTGGGGTAAGCACATCCGTATGTATGAGGCCATGATATAAAAGAACACAAGCAAAAAAAAAACACCTATGTGCGAGTCGGACTCGCGCACGTAGGGTTCCGTACCATTACCCATGAAAACTGCAAAAAAAAAATCATGTCTGTTGTATGGGAGCCCCACTTAAATATTATTTTTATTGTCTTTTATTATTTGTTGTTTTAGCGGCAATAGAAATCTATCATCTGTACAAATTTTTACTGTTTTACCATCACGGTACATGAGATACAGCGTGGTGACAGACGGATGGACAGACAGACAGCGGAGTTCTAGTAATAAGGTCCCGTTTTACCCTTTGGGTACGGTACCCCAAAAAACCATCAGGCTGTACAAACGGCATCGAGATCCGTCGCTAGACTAGAATAAAAAAGCGCGTCAAAGGGGGAAAAATCTTTTAGGAAAAAATCCATTAAGGGAAATGGCGCGCAATCACGGCCAGCGATCGGCGGATCCGAAACGGCTGCTGGGGGCAATCAAACATTGCATCAACCCCCTCCCACCCCAAGTGTCGACTGCAAGCTCTCCTCCCCCCATCCCCTCTATCTCCTGTAACGTTATTGCACCGAAGTAAAGCGGACATTCCACCTAGCACAAGGCGCCTATCTATGTTTTGCTGCCGTTTTCAGTTCCCACCTAATCTGTGCCGGAATTTTTAATTTACCTCAACTGAACTTTGCACGTGCACAGATGTACATATAAGTAGGAAAAGTTTGGGTGATTAAGCAGATGGAATTGACTGTTAGCAATATTTTTTTAATAAACTTAGGATTACTATCACATTTTCGCAATAGTTTTTTGCAAGCGACATTTTTGAAGAAACACATTGACACAGAAAACCGTCATAAGATATTATTTATTTTTTTAAGATTAATTAGGAGTTTTAGCACTCAAGATTTATTTTTAAATCGTACATTTTTTGGAGATAAATGAACAAAAACTTTCGGCGCAGCTTCTCACAGAAGACGGTTCGAACCTGCGTCTTCTGTGGGAACTAGTAAATTACGGTTTTCAGGATTCCTTGTTCAGCGTTTTCCCTGCTATCTGTATATATATATATTTATAACGATACTTACTACGGCTTGCCTTGAATCAGCTCTGGTGAAGAGCATGTCCAATTAAATTTTATGCCAAACGGTTAAACCATTTGCGACAGAAGAGAACAGAAGATCCACTTTCGCCAGTTATTAAGCCTCATTTAAATCGAATGGCTATTAGAAAAAGTTTATTAGCTATAATAATTAAAGGGACAGTGTTTTTTCAATCCACCACAATATTACGTTACATAATTCATAGGCTGCATAGCTTGTTTTGAACAGCATATAAACAACAGACGCTGTTCGATTTCGATTTCATTTTTTAATTCCCAATTACCCAAACCAAAGAGGACAATCACTCCTACAGCTTGTGTGGAATTTTTAAAAAAGAAAAATTGAAAGATCAAATCAAGAAAAAGACAATAGATCAATAATTTTATGAAACTTGAAACAATAAAAATTCCTGTAAAACTTAGCAAAGGGGACGCCGTAAAAAATCTCAGTATTTCGACGTCCAAATTCAAGAACGCAGCTCGTCTAAGAGTGTCCGCAGGATTGCAGGCGCGACAAGGCGCGCCTCTCCGCCGCCACCATCTTCTCCAGGACCGCCTGCATCTCCGGCCAGGGCTCGTATCGCTGTTTGATTGTGAACAACTTGTGCACGGTCGGCTGCCTGAGGTCCATCGTGCGGGATATGCAGTCGCGGCTGCGCGTCGTGAACACCACGTCCACCTGGCTCGCCAAGAACAACTTTGAGCACCCCAACTTTTACGATATTCTACTTTACTAACATATCTTTAAAAAAAAAGTAAAGTAACAGCCTGTAAATGTCCCAATGCTGGGCAATGTCCTCCTCTGTACAGAGGGTGTAAGAGCAAAGTTATGTTGCACATGTCCATGGGCAGCGGTGGTCACTTATCATCAGGTGACCCGCATGCTCGTTTGTCTCCTTTTCTTGTCTCCTTTTTAAAAAAAAATAGTCCACCACGCGACCCCACTGTAGATTGGCGGACAAGGACATTGACGGGCGCGTATTGCAATTAAAATATTTTTTTAACGATAGAGAAAAATCACTAATGAATTTAATCAACAAGCAGAATTACAGGTTTCGAAAAAAAAAATACTGAAATAGTGTAACTGTCACTATAGAAATCCGCCATTTTATTGTTGTCAATATGTTAATTCTGCTCCTATTTCGGGGTAGTCATAAAAGAAATAACCACGAAGGCTAAGGCGTGAGCTCTAACCTAGCCTATACGAGTCGGTTTGCTCTTTGTTGGTTCTGTGACTCATTCAATTTAAGAAAAAAAATGGAACAATCGATACGAGTATGACGTCGCCCGCTTCCTATATTAATCATGTGGGCAAGACTGTGTATGGAATTTTTGAATTCAAATTAATAAAATTTTTGCGGATTTATTAGTGAAAATAAGTTTTAAATATTTTTTTTTCTCGAAAACTATAAGCGACCGGAGAATTCTGCTTCTGAATTTATTTTGATTGCAATATGCGCCCGTTAATGTCCTTACATTTGCCCTAAATTATTTCATTATTGCTTCATCATCATCATCATTTCAGGCTGTTTGAGTCCACTGGTGAACATAGGCCTCCCCAATAGACTGCCACAAAGTACGATCCTGAGCCACCTGCATCCATCGACTTCCCGCACATTTGCACAGGTCGTCACTCCATCTAGTGGGCGGTCGTCATAATTGCTTGCGTATATAAATTTAGAAACTTCCATTCCTTGGTAGTATGAATCCAAAGCTACGTCTAAAGAGTCATTTGAAGCAATTATTACCTAGTGTCAATGACGTTTTAAAAAAGATTACGCATTTTCATACTGCTGCTAATTGAATGTCAAAGATGATATACTAGATACGTATGAATATATACGGAAAGAGATAGAAGAGCAGTCTATAGAATTGTAATCAATCTAAGACTGGTGTAACAATTGGCGTAGTTTTGGTGCGCTAGTGCCATATCTACCTCGTATTCGTATACGGCATTGCAGTGTCATTCGATGAAGCAGATCTTAAAACAGACTGTAAGAAAACTGACTAAAACACCAATATCGCAAAACTCACCTTATTCTTACAGGACCAGTAAATAGAGAACACCATGATTCCCAGCGAGAGCATGGTCACAGCGAACAAGGGTATGATCTCCCAGTAGACCCGTAGAACGTAACTTAGTTGCAACCTCTTCGGTATCGGATCGTCGTACTGCGTTGGTGGTAGCATCTCTCCAGCTGGTCGAATCAGCATCAGCTGTGGCATATTCTTCCTCCGCTGCAACATCGCAGCGCCCAGACGCGCCTGTATGGCGGGCTTCAGAAATTTTGAAAACATTCCCGTGAACTAAATTTTTTTCGAAATTATTTTGCTATTTGAAATGTACAAATTAGAAAAATGGGGCCCAAGATTGAACACATTCAAATAGTTTGATTTGAAGGGGATTTAAAATTGGAATTGTTTTTGACGTTAATTTCAACAGATAATAAATAAATTTTACGTGTCTGACAAAATAAGTATTCATAATGAATAATTGACATTATTTTATTACTTTGAGAGGTTACATTGAACAGGCTCAGGGTTAAGCATCTCTCTATACCAAATCTTGAATAAATAAATGGTATCTAATAATGGACTTATCGCACGTAGGTGGAGTTGGCACAACATGTGAATCATGTTGTAACCGGTTTTGGCTAGGCCATAACTATTTCATTTAGTAAAATTTCTTATACTTTTATTTATTAAATAATGTCAGATAATAAGTGCAACAATTACAAGAATATAGAGCGCTATCTACTTAACTGAGCCCGCACTGGCAGAGAGTAAATATGGCTAATTTAAAATAATAAATAAATACTTTAAACGTCAGAGTGACTAGCAAAATTATAAGCCATTTAAATTCAAACATATTTTTATAAACTAATTTTAAGTGAAAGAATTTTGGACCAATAATTTAATCGTAGCAAAAAAATTATGTAAATTGTCCTTTGATGCAGTCCTTTGTTAACCACTTGGTATCGTCGCGTGAAGAAAAAGGTATTTCAAATGATTTTACATCAATTACCCGATTACGACTACAGCTATCACTTAAATCGTCACAAAGAATACATACCAACATGTTTTATCACTCCGTTTACAAGTCCTAAAGATCTGAGAAAAACGTTGAATTTTCATGAGTAAATTTTTCTTGTCTTAAAATTTTAGGCATATCTTTTTATATAATTCTTCTATACGTGTTTATTTCACTGAACTTCTGGACCGATTTCAATGAAATTTTTTGTGTGTTTTCAAGTCGATTCGCTTCACAATTCGGGACACTACACCTTTTTTTATATATATATATTTTTTTTTAAGTTGTCGAATTTAAGCCGTGTGTATACGACGTCTGTCGAGTCCGCTAGCGGAATATAAAATGTATTAATGATAATTTTCCCAAGTAAATTATTTAAAATGACTACATCCTGGGCTATAGGTATTTTCAAATTCCAGTCTTTTCATTTTAAATGGCTAAGGGGTATCATACTTTACGTATTTATTTACGGATTATCATTACGTACTATTCGCAAATATTAATATATAGCCATATAGCCAATACCTTGGCAAATGCGCCACGGAGTCATCATGAACGACTGACAAAGTAAGAGGTTATTTGCAGGTGGTGATGTCACTGCGCGCCCCGCGACGCCGCATTTCGCCCCGCACCAAGCGCCGGTATCGGGCCATCAGGAACTTCCTAAGGCGGGCACTAGGTGCGTGTTCTCAGACTCATACCTGACCACTTCAGAATACCTGGACCATTGGTTTTTCTTACTTTCGTAAACCCTCCTGTCCTGAGATTATTATTGATTTAGCAGTCTTCAATGTCCCATACATTGAAGCAGTCTTCAATGTCCCATACATTGAAGACTGCTAAAGCAATAATAATCTTACAGGTCAAGTCCCGATAAAAATAAAATGACTAACTAAGTATATCTAATATTGCTCATTGATGCGTTTTCGATGCGCTTCTCTCTCCTCCAAATTAGATTCGTACCTGAATAATTTCTATAGAAGACCATGCCTATTTGGCAGCTTTGGACTTATAATGACATACTAAGCCAATAACTTATTGGTTTAATCACTTCGGGTGCCTCTGATCACACTTTTTATGTCGTCTAGAAATGTGCGTGTCTTTACTATCCTTTATTCAATTCGATTTCTTTTATATTAAAAAAAGACATTATAGGCTAACATTAATTTCTTAATACATTTACTGTTTTTTTACAAGACAATAAAAACCACTGTCCTAAAGACGCGTACTCAGGTATCAAGCCGAATAATAATTAGTAGTAATGGTAGTAAATGTCATGGTATCAGATGTTTTTTGTTACAAATTAGATTTAATAATTTTAGGTACTGCCTCCCAGCCTGATGACAACAAAACGAACTCAAATATTTCAGTCAGCATCTCAGATCTAAAGCATAAAATTGTTGGAATTGAAAAGCAGCTGGATCAAGTGAGCCAGCACTGTCGGGACTTGATTACTGTTAACGACGATTCCACGTGTGAGAAACCAATAAGAACACGACAAAACAGCGAAAACTCAATAAGTTTAGAAAAAAACCATTTTAACTCGAAGCCTGAAACAAAAGTGTTGTATAAAACATCTGAAAACCAATTAAAAAAATTTGTCGAAAGTGACGTACCAAGTAAAGTGTCTGTTGCGTATTGCGTTGATGTTGGGAAACAACAACAAATCAAAAATGAAACAAAAATCGTCAGTAGTGGAGTCAAATATAAAAGAAAAATAAAACATTGTAATAATGAATTGTCTACTGTTAATGAATACGATTCTGACTTGAACAGGCGAAAAAACTCATTAGCTTATGATACTGCCAAGATATCCACAGCTAGCTACTGCTCGACGGTACATAAGACTGACTATTCATTATATCGCCAGGAAAAGAAACGACCGGGAAAGGATTACAATAAGCACGTAGTTACAAAGAAATCACAAAAAACGAAAGTAGATCGAAATAGTAACAACATTCAACAATTAGTTAGAAAGTATGAGGAACGTAATGATAGAAATAGATACAGAAAAGAGAAAAAGGAACTCGACAATGATTTCATAAACGATATCATCAGGAAGCAGTATAAACCTGTTAAATTTTTCAATAGAAGAGCATCCGGGTTCAGCCAACTATCTGCTCCTCTATGTCGTGATCAAGATTTCTCCGTTCATGAAAATATACAAGAGGGCAGTGAACTATGTTCATGTTGTTACGATGAGCCGGCAATTGGTGAGATAGCTGACTACAGTTGCAGCCTTAGTGATGTCAGAAATGTGTATGATTATACTAAGAAATATCCTCGTTACAGACAAGTTCGCAAAAATCAAGAATATTATAACGATTCTTTCTATGATTTAGTGCCTGTTAAAGAAAAGTCCAGTCCTAAAACTAGAAAAAAGTTTATAGACCACAATATGATACCATATGATAATTATAAAGAGGTCCCCCCATCCCCGCGGTCACTGAGACCAAGATTAAACCTTAAGGCACAACGCCATGAAGTATTAGATGATTCATGTCCTTATGTTGCTCAGACTCAGGAAAAGAATTTACTAGATACAGTAAACTTGCAAAAATTTGATAAAAATGTGCAAAATAATGGTATATCAAATTTTATAACTGAAAGAATCGATGAGATGATGATAAAAGCCACACCAGAGCTGGAAGTTTCTAATAATCTAGATGACACCTATCCGAATATACCACATCCTTTTGGTCAGAATCAAACAAATGTATTGATTAATGATTTAGCTATAAATAAAATAGAGGAGGCTAGTGTTAGCGTTGATAAAAGTGACAAGGCATTATACGAAATTAAAGACATACTTCAATCTTTTTTAGAGGAAATGAAAAGAGAAACAGCACAAAGTGATAAATCTGAGGTATCTAATAAGTCTATGGGCAAAACACATATTAAAAGACAACACAATGAAACTTCAAATATTCCTGTTGACCCAAATAGTTTTGTCCCTAGTAATATATCTGCTCAATGTACGGCTAATTGTATCAATGGTTTTCCAAATAACTGTTGTTATCCCGTATTGCCGGTTTGCCCCGTAAGTTGTGTTCAAAATGGTTTTCCACCAGTTGTTTTACCAAACCAAAGCTACACTTGCACCACCTGCACTAGCCATTGTAAAGAGTCTACAGCCCAAGATAATAAATTTAAGGTTCCGGACTATGCTAATACGAAAGATAAAACAAACAGCGATAACACTCAGCAGCTGATTAAAGAAATATATGATTATGTTACACAGAGTCCTACCCTTAAGCGAACTACAAAGTACCGGGATGTATGCATTGACAACAGCAGGGGTCCAGAACCAGAACCCGCACCAAATAAAGAGCTCACATCGAGGAGTGCCGGTGCTAGTTCGAATCCGTCTCTGCATGACGTCATAATTGGCACGTCACAAATGAAATGCTACTCCAAAAGTTGCGAAGCTCTTGAACCGAATAAAGAGGACGACATTATGTACAGTAATGAAAGTTATTCGGACACCGTTATGGAAAAGCTCAGTCTGGAAGCAGCCGCAGCAAAGACATCGGACTTCGACTTTAGCAGCATTCTCGATGTGAAAGTTAAAGTATACCATTACCAAATAATTTCGATATTAGTGCATTCCTTTCACACAAATAACTAACCCAGTGTAAACCTTTATTCCAGCCAACAAAAAAGACCAAATTCTCCAAGGTATTAAAAACTTTCGGGAGCCTGCTTAAAAAAAGAAAGAAGGACATGATTGAAGAGTTAAGTGAGAGTTATACCCGAAGCACGGAAGAAGAGGATGTGAAGCCGCCATCGCCGTACCGTCAGCAGGTTACAAATTACATGATGCATGGAGAGGAATACTATCACCAACCACCGCTGTTCCCAAGGCGTGCATATCCGCCAAGGTCACCGGAGGAAATCAGGAAAGAGCACCGCCGGCAGCCATCTGGAATCGATTCACGTAATGTTTACCCCCACTTACCTTTTAAACACGCGTACGACCCATACCCGTCTATGATGTATGACCCAGGTCTACATTACGGTGCGCAATATCCAGGCACCTCGCCTTCATATTCGACTACTTTCAATCCCCGCTACAGCCCGACACAGCCCCAAGTGCCGCTCTGCCTTAAGGAGATCGAAGTCAAAAGCATGGGTACTCAGAGCGAGAAGAAGAAATCGTTTTTGGAAGTCCTAAAAGAGAAAATGGCTGGACCAAAGCCACAGATCGATCCAATCGAGGAAGCCAAGGGCCACGTGGCACGAATGACGAAAAGGACAGGCCTGTTGAATTGGAAGAACCCGGAGAAAGAGTTGCAAATGAATGCGGCGAATTTAAATCTCACCTACAAATTAACACAGCAGCAATTGGCCGAAACCGACATGACTATTAGGAATGCAATGATGAAAAGGTTCTTTAAGAAGAGAAATCCATTTTCCGCGCGTAATCCGGTTTTGCAGACTTTATTGGGTAAAGACAAACCGATGGCAGAGCCAGCGAACCTCTGCGACCAAGAATGATGGTATAGGTGCAGTCTTCGTGTCGCTTTGTGTTAAATTTTGGTAAATTTATTTTGTGAGGTGTGATTGAGTGCAATATTGTATAATACACGTCAGTACTGTCCGATAGCTTTTGCTACTTTTATTTCATCTAAACATTTAAGTACAAGTTAATCGAAAGGAAATAAAGAAATGCAAGAAAACTTTTTAAGGCTTTGGTTTTTTTTATTTAACTAAGAGCAATAAGCTAGTAACCTAAGAAGGAAAACGAGTTATTTGGTTTCGTTTATATCTAATATATAAAATTCTTGTGTCACGCTGTTTGTAATTGAACTCCTCCGAAACGGCTCGACCGATTTTATTCGAAGATTAGCATTTAAAATTTATTTTAAAATTTAAAATTCCTTATTAAAAGCAACATCTCTCGTTTTCAAATTCAAAGATGTCATTTAAGAAAGTATGCTGAAAAGGAGACATTCAGAAGGCATAAAACGTAGCTAAAGACCCAAATAAAACAAAAGAAATAAGTAAAAACAAATAAGTAGATATATGTATATAAGATGTAAAGATTGAGCGGTGGGAATATCGAGCAGCTTAGCTTAGTGGCTAGAGCGCCTCTGCGCGTCATCCAGAATGAGCAGGTTATAAAGCATATGAATAGGTTGAATGAGAGACAAAACATACTGTTAGAAGGAGAGGCTTGTAATACGACGCTATGGCGCGAGTTGTATAGGATGTTACAAATTTTGTTTCTTTTTTACTTAATTAGTTTGTTTGAAAAAAAAAATTTTTTTTTTATTATGGATTTTGTTTAACGTTAATATTTTTTATGATTATTGGCAAGTAGCGTTAGACGTGTGTTCATTTAATGTCGCGATGGTAACGACACGCTGTATAAAAATGGATTGCTGTTCGTTAGTCTCGCTAAACCTCGAGAATGGCTGGACCGATTTGGCTAATTTTGGTTTTGATATATTTGGAGGAAGTCCAGGGAAGGTTTAAACGATGAGAAATTATGGAAAAATTGTATGGAAAATCGAAATAGCAACAATTTTATTTTCCCATACAAACTGTACCTGTCAACTATGTCTGTGTCTCCTCTTCCTCTAGAAATAATTTATATGGCAAAACAACGTTTGCCGAGCTGTCAGCTCGTATATAATATAAAGGAAATGTTAAGATATTAACGAATATATACGCTATTATCTTTATACATGTTTCGTGTCACTTTCTTTGTCTGCGATGAATTAAAGTACTGAATAGATATTAATGAAATTTTGCACACTGTGTACAGTTTGATCCAACTTGAAAGATAGGATAGTTTACATCTCAACTTATAGTGGAAATATTTTTATTGCAAATTATTTGTTTATTATATGACAGAGTTATAATTGTATATGAGTTCCATAAGATTCTAACAGATGGAGGTAAAAGGTGAACTTATAGACTGGATTGAATTAGTATCCAATAGATGTCGCTATGTTAAAAGTCCAAACTTATGGACCCGGTAGGTGGTGCTGCCAGGTCCGGATTTAGGGGAGGGCAACCGGGGCAACAGCCCCGGGGCCTCCACAAACGAGCCCCCACAATACAGACTTCAGAAAAAAAATCATAATATCCAATAGTAAACAACTTTTCCTTTCATATTTATTTTCGCGTTTTACTTTTACCTGCAGTACTTTATACAAACATGGTTACATTAAATATTAACAGAAATCAATAGAAAATAATTTGGGGCCAAGGGGCCTCCACCCCTTTTGTTGCCCCCGAGGCCTCCAGACCTCTAAATCTGGCCCTGGGTGCTGCTATCGGGATCTAGGTTTTTTTAAAGATTCCACGTTTTGAAATACAATAGAAAACAGTTATAACAGATTTGGCATAGACGAAGTTAAGTGGCCCAGTTAGTTATTATATGAGGGACTAGATATTTTACACGTTTTTTCATACCCGTGCACAAAAACATATGGATATACATAAGCAAACCCATACTGCCAGAATTATAGGAAAAAGTATAAGAATGAATCCGAAAAAAATATATTGTCACAACTGTCAATATCTCCGAGTCATGTACTATAAGTAATAAACAAGTTAAACAATTTTTAGGTCAAAAATATGAAATTGATAGTTTCCGCGGAAACTGGACGATTTGATGAGAAATTTCTTACATAAATAATAATAAATATTCAAAGAATAACTACTGCAATGTAAAATTTGTATTGTATTGTACAATGTACTGTAATGTAGAATTCTGAGTAACGTACAATTCATCTACATTTATACCACTTCTCATTTAATATAACAAGTTATAATATTTTAGATTACGACATAATCCAATATGAGCAGTGATAATCATTGCCCCCCGTACAGGCATAAGTTCAAGGGTATCGAAAATTTCCTGCGCCGAGTTGCATTTAATCTAGGTAAATTCCAAAAATGTTATCGTTTTTTAAATCAAAATTTTATGTACTACAATCAGTGTAGTATAGACATGTCTATGCATCTATCGATCTTTATACTGGATGGCTTTTCTAAGTGTATCCATTTTTTTTATTAAATTCTAAAATTAATATAATGCGTTTTTGATGTCTTTCTAAATACTACACCCGCTTATTACCAGATTGCAGTATCAAGGTCTTATTATTGATGACATCAATGCTTCAGGTCTTATTATTGATCAAATCAATGCAGGAAGCATTGATGTCATGAGTAACTATAGATATATTTTTGTACATATGAGTAAAAGTTAAAAAAAATTGCATTAAAGGTAATACCCCATCGCAGACAGAGGTCAAAATTATCTCATGCATCCCGATAGACGTCACCGACCTTCAGCAGAAGATCAACACGCTCGAGAGAGAACTGTATGAGGTGCGAGCAGGCACCAATAAGAACGACAATATAAAGGCGAACGCCAAAAACACGCCAAACCCAACTCGGCAGACCACACCTATCGTTCAGACGGCCCTTGGAAAGCCCATTCCGATGTTTTGCAAGTCTAAGAGCAAGACGCAGTGTAAGTACAGCCAAGCGAAGACTTCCGTCACGAGTCAAGGGTGCAACACGAAATTGAATAAACCTCGCAAATGTCGCTTCAAACGGAAAAGGTCGAGCGTGTGCAACGTATCGTCGTTTTCTTCCGAAGACAAAGCCGACGGTCAATACAACATGGCGTATAAAATCGATCCTAATTTCTCCAGAACGAAAGTCCCGGTGGCTAAGGGATGCTACAAAGTACTAGGGACAAGGATTAGAAAAGCTTTGAGGAGGAATCCTGGAAAGCGGACACACTTAGTCTATTTTGCACAAGCGTCAAAAACACCCTTTAACAGTTACCACAGAACATCCCCATCGACTGATAAAAGAGCACCTAACAAGAACACGATAAGTAGAGCTTATATAAATAGCATGATCCGCAAACAGTATGAACCCGAGTTGATTGTAGACGAGCTGACTGATATCAGCCAGTATTCTTCTCCCGCATGCAGAGATAACAGCAATAATGGCATTTCCGGGACTGACCTATCGCACAGCTATGAAAACTTTAGGAATCTTGACAAAATTAATCCCTGTAGAAATCAAAATACTGCCGTGAATAATGGTCTAGCGATAGACCAAGGACCAGTCACAAAACACTACCAAAACAACAATCGAATTAAATACAGTGGTTACTATGATTCCAATAACTACGATATATATCCGGTTAAAGAAAAATCTACAAAACATAATAACGAAGAGCCTTCACCGAAACAAATTAGACGATCGGACCACGATGGTCTGCCAGAAAACTTTAAAGCTAAGAACAACGTCCGGCCGTTATTATTTGACACTTACGGAACGTTAGATAAAAGGTACGATTGCAAACATCAAGCCTATAAAATTTATGATGGTAACGGTAATGAATATGCGTTGACAAATGTAACTAAAAAGAAAACCCGAAATAGTGAAAAGCTAAAAGGGAATTCGGATGAGTCAAAATTATGTTCCATAGATTACGGAGATGTTTACGTAAAACGCAATCGTGTTATTGAATGCATGGAAAAATCTAAAAGAATCACTCCGTCTTTTAAAAATGCAGAATGTCTTACTGTGAACACGAATCATATCGAATGTCAGACAGTTGAATCAAAAGGAGTACAACTTAACATTCCCGATGACAACAAAGCGGAAGTTGTACTAAATCAAATAAAAACCATATTACAATCGGTTTTAACTGAAGTAAAAACAAATATTAAATCCAGTAACGCCGTAAACAAATCAAAAAAGGATGTCCCAATTCAGAAAGACATATCTTATAATAACATGACAGGCGGCTCCACTCTACTCAACAGTTTTACCTACAACCCTTCATACAGCGTAAATCCTTGCTTACCTTCGTACTCTCGCCACATACCTAATTTCTGCTACGCAAACTTTTCCGTTTTACCAATAAAATGCTTTCAAAACCACCCTCTGTACGTCCCGCCGATAAAACAAGATTGCGAATGTAACCGTAAAAAAATAGTTCGCGAGGAGAAATCACTAATCGATACTAAACCGGCCACCACAGCAGCCACCAACACCGATACGGAACCGCGTATGACGCGGAAAAGCGAAACCGTAAACTTGATAAGAGAAATATACAAATCCATAGCGTTAAATGTTAACTATTCCAATAAAAACACTTCGAGAATTTCTTTTGGCTATCAGAAAAACCATGGACAGACTGAAGTGAAGTCTATCAACAGTAAAGAAGTAACAGTCAGGCAACAAGCTGTTGTTGGTAATAATAAAACATTTGATGTACTTCGCGCTACGCTAACCTCTAATACCACCAATGAGATTGCACACGATGTCACAGACACCGGACCGGAAAGCGTGCAATCAGATATAAGGAGTGGATCGGTTAATCGCAATTATACAAAAGGATCTCAATCGACTACGAACTACGAATCAGTCAGGTCTTCCAATAAGAAATCTTCCCAAACGACCACCAACTGCGCAGAAGAGAAATTCCGACAACGCTTCGGCACACGCTGAAAATGTAACCGCTGAACAAAATGAATCTAAAGATGGAGACGTACCGCCGAATATAGTAACCAACGAATCGGACTCTGATGATACACTTGTAGCAGATGAAGCAACGCAGGTACATGACAATAACAGTTTTATAAAAGCTCAATGAATCAGTAATAGCAGAATTAACATTATAAATACATAATTTACATTGATTTCAAATAGTTTAATAAGACAAAAACATGAGTAACGCTAGTTAAATGTTATCCAATTTGGTAACACAAACATGACGAAATAAAAGGTTACTTACTTAGTCACCATGCGTAAGTATTGTTTTATGAAAAAACGCTTACACGTAGAATAAAGTTTAATATGAAATATCATAGTACTTACATAAGTTATAAAAAAATAATTATTTCTTACCTAAACATCTTAAGACAATAAAAGTATGATTTTCGTATTCGTTTCTCAGAGAAAAGAAAAGCCCGGTCTTCTGCAAAAGGTGCTGCGATCAGTTAAGAAATTCAAGAGATACAAACCGAAGAGGCAAAAGCGAAGCGCGAAGGGCGATATCGACTCCGAGGAGAGCGGTACTGAGAGCCAGACCGTTTACAGTTATAAAACCTACAGAGATCTCAATCCCGGCCCGAAGAACAATACGGCGAAGCCAAAATCGACGGTGCAAGCTGATACACAGGTCGATAAATCGTTTCAAGAGAACGTCAGGAGGCTGTCTCCTTACATGGAGCAGGAATACAGACGCTACTGGGAGGAAAAATTGATGTTCCATGAGGGAAAATCCCCACTCCATTCTTCCGAGAAATCCCATGCATGGACGCGCAGCCCGCAAAGCCCAATGTACTGGCGGGGCTACGAAGCCAGGAGCGCAATTCTGAAGGACGGAGAATTGAAATTACCACGCGGGTATAGAAGAGGCGACGGGACTACGCAGAAAGAGAGGACAGGCCTTAAGCTCGAGTGGATGAAGAAGCAAAAGTTTAAATCAATCAAAGAACACCAGTGAAAGCTACGTTATATTAGTTAAATTGTCGTATAGCGTCAAGGTATGTCCACGTAAAATTTTGGGAAACACAATAAATTTTCTAATAACCCTTTCGTTTATAATCGTAGCCGTCGTATTAGTGAAAAGTAAAGTAACAGTCCGCTGTTGCACGAATGGGCAGGTCCGTCCGGGGAAGTACCACGAATTCACAAAAGGCCAGCGTGAAATGGAAGTGTTATATTTCAGCGTTTCGTCCAATGAACGAGGGAGCCGGGGCTCTTTATTAAAAGGTGGCAACGCATCTGCAACCCTACGGTGGCAAATGTCCATGGGCGGCGGTTATCACTTAACATCAGGTGAACCGCCCGCTTCCCACCTTCTCGCATAAGAATAAAATATCACACAATTCCTTGATTTATTATATTCTCACACCCAAAACGTGCGAAGCACTTTTTTTAACAATATTGAGCTGAGAAATAGCGTGGTAGCTCCCCGTCTCGCGACCTCATCCCACGACTACTTTGCAGATTGAATTATTTTAACAAGCAATTCACCACTTTGTCGGTTGAATTAAGTAATTCACCATAACAATGCTATCCCTCCATACTTCCGGTGGGCAAAGGTGAAATGAAACACGATTTACGATGAAAATAGAAACATAGACAAGTATGATTATTTAATCAGTGCAAAGGCATACAGAATATACACATGTGGTGACTAGTAGAGCACACTCATTAATAAATATTATGGTAAAGTACAGTGATTATACATTAAATGGATTAAGTCAATTTGAGGTCGCCTTTTTCCATCCCTTGCGTGTATTGCAGATCGTCTATGACGAATCTGAAAACAAAACAGTCATAATTTAATATTGTAACCCCACGTTTAGCGAATAGGACCCAACTTCTATTTTTTTGGTGTTAACCGTGAAATATTCAATCAAAAACAGGAAATACAAAAAGGTTTCTGTTATAAAAAAATCTGTTAGTAAAGTATCTGCACAAAGGAATTGTACCCATGGGCGGCAGTGGTGACTCCTATTCTCCCATTCCCACGCGAGACAACCATTTTGGTGACCCACTGTGATAATTGTTTCGGATATGGGTGTTTGACCATGAGAAATTTATGTATGTAAAACGATTTACTGCCCTACCCCTTCCACACCAAATACGAAATGGATGGCAGTGGTTCTTTAACGTCGGGTGAACGTAGATGGAAGGGATAGGTGGGAGCAAGGACCTTTAGAAGAGCAGCGGCAAGGGCGGTGCAGGGGTACCAAACCTTGCCTACTGACTTTACAACTCACGTAGAATAGCAGGCGGAAGGAATAGGTGAGGGGAGTGACCCTTTAGAAAAGCAGCAGCGGGGGCGATGCAGAGGTGCCAAACATTGCCTACTGACGAAACAACTCACATAGAAACGCAGGCGGCAGGGATAGGTGGGGTGGAGCGATCTGTAGAAGAACAGCGGCAAGGGTGCGGTCCAGAGGTGCCAAACCCTGCCCACTGACTTAAGGAGACGCATAGAAACGCAGGCGGAAGGGATACGTGGGTGAGAGACCTGTAGAAAAGCAGCGGCAGCGGCGCGATGCAGAGGTGCCAAACCTGTCCTACTGACTTAACAAGACGCATAAGATAGGTGGGGGGAGCGACCTGTAGAAAAGCAGCGGCAGGGGCACGGTGCTGAGGTGCCAGAGGGCGTGCGCGTCCCACGCGTCCAGCTTGGGCGGGAAGTCGAGCAGCTCGAGCGCCAGGGCGGCGCCCGACAGCACCGCGAAGGCCCCCACGCGCCAAGTGTACCTTCGTCCGGCCAGGTACTCGCGCCCCGCCCACGCCGTCCAGATCAGCGAGCCCACCGTCCCTGGGACACGTGACATGTGAGAGTTCGTCCAACGAGCGGACGGTTCACCCGATGCCAAGGGAATACAACTGCCCGTAGACAACAACGTCTGATGGCTTGTAGATCCGTTGGCAACCACAACAGTTAACTCGCTCATTACAAGTTTAATACTCACGCCGGTCTCTGCAAGCCATCGGGTAGTGTAAATGTCCATCGGCGGTAGTTATCACTTAACCAGGTGAACCGCCAGCTGACTTGCCACCACTTAACACGGACAAAAATATTCCTGAGGCATTCTCTACCAATCAACCGATTAGGTGGTGCAGAGACAGAAGTAGTAGGTGTAAAAGTAAAGAAAAAATACTAATATAATAAATACATTACTACATACAATTATAAATACAATTAATCATTCTTTCAATACTATTTAAGCATCTACAATGTGTATGTAGTTTGTCTGTAATTGAAATTGCATGTTGCTTTTACTACTCAAATAAAAGTAATTTTATAGACAAGCCTTAATAAATAAAAAAATAATAAGTATACTCTCAATATATATTATGTAATTACTAATATATGAATAATGTTGTGTGCCCGTTCCATCCCAGCCGACCCCATTACAGTAGACGGTCGTGAAAGTGCCCACTCACCGAAGAACACGTTGACCATCATGTTGTAGTCGTAGTCGACGTTCTCAGAGTAAAGATAGCGCACGTGCGCAATGTAGTAAAGAAGAGACACGAACAGTATGAGGGCAGCGGTTTTCCTCTTCTTGTGGAACACCCTGTGAAGGATAACACTCTATACATAAGCTTATACATCCGCCAATTTTTTTTACTTATTTAAGTTTTATACAAATAATAGTGCAAAGGCAGTTTTATGCCTGAGACATTCCGCCGGTCAAACTACTGGGTGATGCAGATATAATAGTAGTAAGAAGAATACTTAATTGTAATATATCATATACATATCAAATGTTAAATAAAATCAAACATGAAATAAATTATATTCTGTAAATTCATATCTATACTAAGTATTCGCCTAGTGCTTTGTGTGGTGCATTCACAGACTTGTGGTGATGCATAGCAATTTGCGAGAATTCCGAACCTCTTCAATTGAAACCTCTGTGAGAACATTTAATCATTGTTGCTTTTATATCCTTCATTTTTTTTGGGATGGAAAATCTAAAGTTAAATCATCATCTAGTGGGAAGATGTGGTTATGTGGGGTATTTACCCATTAAAAACCCCTCAATGACCACCAACAGCTCTTTGGTAGGAGCTCTAGAAAAAACTTAGGCAATTCGGATTGAGAGCAAGCTTTAAGTAAGGAGAAACCTTCCCTAGTTCCCTCACAGCTTTCCGACAAAGGGAGACCATTTACTTTTTTTTACCTTCTATATGTGTATCACGTTGTTTGTGATACCCATGAAACCCCTTACCTAATTATAGCGGCAGCGTACATTATCATAACCATGGACAGGGCGCAGGAATAGTCCATGAACTCAGTGAAAGGGTTGTCCTTGACGTGGAATATCATCGACCAGACCCACGCATTCATGCATACCTGGACAGAGGCGTGCGTTAAAAGATGTACGTTCGGTGGAGCATGCAGCTTCTGCTACGAGAAATGTCGAAAGCACCAGGGCCTCATAGATGACCAGAGGAAATCGAAAGTATTTTTATTTATATCAAATGAGGCAAATAGTATTTTTATTTATATCAAATGAGGAAATCGAAAGTATTTTTAATTATATCGGATGAGGCAAATAAGCTCCCTTTTTCTTACTTTACTGCAAGAAAACTAAAGCATAATTCCAATTTTGACTCCTAAAAATCTTCATGGGCCTTTCACTCAAGCTTGATTTTACAATGCACTTAAAATTTTACAAAATTAAATTTTTGATTTCAAACAATGCACAACTAAAAATGTATCCAATTCAGACTGAACTATTGTACACCTATCAATCCTAAAACTTAAGTTGCATCAATATTTTATTTATCAGGTTATCACAACCACTTATAGTGACAACCACAAATTTTTACCAAAATTAGCAATATTTTACAGTGACTCCTTTCTTGAACCTACCGCTGCAAAAAAATGCCAGAAGAGGACAATAGGCCGATCATCCACTGGGAACAGACGCGTTATCTCTACATGCATGTAGACATGTACTGCCAAGTTCAGGAAAGATGAGAAAGCTGATGCCGGTTCTTGCACACCAAATATCCTTTTAAAAGGCCACTGGAAAAGACTTTGTGTTAAACTGATTCAAACTATTATACAATAAAAGGTGGCCGCAAAAAATATATTTAAACATGTTGGAACATTTTAAAACAAAAGACAATAATGTTATATAAATAATTCAATTATTTAGTTCGCAGATGCTAACGCAAGCAAAAAGCTCAATGCAATAGAATTTGTTACAACCGTAATTATACTTCTTTCTATTCTAAATGATACATTACAAGTGTAAAATATAAAAATGCAATATAGGTTCTTCATACCTGTAAAATCAGTATCAAAATATGACTAAAACAGAAAAACCCAGGCAAACATTGGTATTGTTATTGTAATCAGTTGTATTATAAATAGTATAGTATAATATAAGCAAAGATTAGAACAAATTAGTTAAAATTGATATACATTATGAGCATTAGTTAAAGACTGTTTATAAAGTCCTGCCAACCTTGCCATGAAATTTTGGTATCTGATACCCTCTCTCCTGGAATCCTTTCACCGTGCGCCACATACAGTTGTAGCGACACTCATCCAGGCAGTTCCATACAAACAGCTGATTGGTGGACTCAAAATATTTAGCTGCCTGCGGTGAGTATGATCTTCCCTCTAGAAATACAATAATTGCTCTATTAATTTTTATCATTGTATGTTATACTATTATTATTTACTTTCATGTAATTTAAGTTATATTATCAGCACTGTAATCTGCAGACCTCTAATTTTCATAAAAAATCTTGTATACATTAAATGACCGCTTTTCAGCTTTGCCTAAATTGTGTGCTACCTAATTTAAGCGTTTTTATTTCTCTTTGAATAAAATTATGCTTAGCGTATTTTTTGGCGCATTTTGCTCACATAATTATGATGAAGTTAAAATAATAGTTATGATAAAAAATTATAATACAACTAAAATCGTTTTATTTTCTTTTTTTGTTTGTCATAAAATCAAAATTATTATAACAAGAATTCAACCATTACTGTTCTACTTCGGGAGAAAATACTCAAATTTTAGAAATGATTATATTTACCATCGGTACAATTGGTTTTCATACAATTCTTAACGCAATTTTGATAAAAAGGTGATCGATCACCTTCGCTCGCTAAAATGCACGGAAAGAAACTAATCGATACAAATAAAATAAATGCAAAGTTCCATTGATGCAGCTCCATCATAAATTTTAAACAAATTCACAATTAAAGAATCACCCGACTGCCGGCTAAGACTTTATTTATTATGTTTGAATATTTTCCGCATTTTCATAGAGACAGAGAATCAGAGGAAACACAGACACAAAGAAACTGTTGCTCCGTTGCTCGCTAATACTAGAACCACAGAGGCATAAAATCAATAAATTACTTTTAGGATGCCTGAAAGCCTAAAACTTCAGGCACGACTTCAAACCTCTTAGGTTTTCACTTTCAGGTATCCTTTCATAGATCTATCAATGAAATAAAATCTTTCTAATATCTAAACTCGTATATAAATTTATCATCTTTATTGTATAAGCAGTAATAAATAACTTAATGCATTAGAAACCTAAGTTTAAACACAAGTTTATTTTTTAATGAAATGTAGTACGCTATTAGCCCGGCGACTTTGTCAGGAACTATTCAGTTCCGTGGATCGCCCACCCTCTCTACAAAAAAAAAAAACAATGATAACACCATCAGTTCCGCTGCAATTTCGTAATACCGGCACACTGACACGAGAGAGGGACTAAATAAAATAACTATATGAAGAACGCGATTCAAAACCGGGCTAGCACACGTGGATATTGTGTGTATGTGTGTAAACTGCGAATCTGGGACCTTGCGTTCGCTGGCGAACGCACTATGTCTAGTGCAGGTATAAGTTAGTGTATGCTGTGTGTACCGCGCCGAAGGAATAAATTATGCGACTGACGTCTTTGGCAGGCAGATGAACTGTTCCTGGGAGAACAATGTAGCCGCTACAAATCCGCAACACTATGCTAACGAGAAATGGACAATCGACTAACACCTAACATGGAGGGTACGGCACTATCCAAGAACCCCTCGGAAAGAGTTTTTAACCTCGGCCTAGATTGCAATCTGTATGACCCATGGAAGGTGTCGTCGGACGTCGAACTATCCATTACGATAAATTTAATTTTATGTACATTTTATGTGTTCAGTCTTCAAAAATAAAGAATTTACAAATAATTACTTATCGAGCGAACGATCACATTGACACTAGCAAATAAGTAATAATAGCAACACGAAGTTATCGTGCGCTGAGCAATGTGTGTGTTTATTAATGTAATACTAAGTGCCACGGTGGTCGCAGTGAAACATTGACAGGTGTTAACCCGTTCAGGCATATGTGAGCCCGAGGTGAGAGGTTGTCAAGTGGTAGCGAGAGAATCAAATGACTTTTTTTATGCGAAAAGTTGTCAAACGAGCAGACGGTTCACCTGATGTTAAGTGAATACCGCCGCCCATGAAAATCTGCCACACCCGATGGTTACAGATGCGTTGACAACCTTTTGAAAATTGGGCTCCGGCCACCTCAATCACCAGACGAAACGCGAAAGTATTTGTCATACTTCCACTTTACGCTGGTCTTCTGTGAGGTCGTAGTACTTACCTGGACGGGCCTGCCCATTCGTGGAACAACCGAGGCTGTTGCGTGACCCTATCACCGTAGACTTATTGCGCGCTTTAACTGATCATCCGCATTGTCTATGTATTATATTCATAGGTGGGTGCACTCTTGGATGCACGATTCAAGGGAGTGCGGGATAAATTCCGAAAGTTTTCACCAACGTACTTGAATAAGCATTTATTCTTTTAAAGTGTGTTATCGATGCTTCTTTAAAGAAGGTGGGCAGTTTTTTTTTATCGCGATGCAACTTAGCGTTCTGCATATAACATAGGAGAAAGAAATGGTTTTTGAATCATTTAAAGCAATTTCTGGTGATTACCAGAGATATGCGCGAAACAGATACTCGCATATGGCGAGTTTTAAACTTGCTTTGTATAACGGCCGGTATCAATATTAATCTACATTTCTAATATTATCTACAGACAGATTTGGTTACTACACTAGAGGTATTTGACATAATTTCCATGATAATATATTCTCATATCATGACTAAAGTTAACAACATTTTAAGGATCTCTTAGGTGTCATACTTGGTTTTTTGACCCTGCGTCTTATTCGCTACTAGTGTTGCATATCGATAGTCTGCTATCGATAGATAATTTTACGGTTATTTCGACAGTTAAGGTAAAAGCAATAGAATCGGTGGTTTATCGATAGTATTGTCACGTGTCAATACTGTCGATACTACCGATAATATCAATGGCTCTCCAAGTGCCCATACTATTGATAACATCAATACTATTGATAGTATCGATAGTAAAGCATGCAATAGTATCGATGGTATCGATAGTATTGCAAAAAACATTAGTCTTTACCAACAACTATCGATAATATCGATGATTTTGTAATCATTAGCCTTTTTTATCAATAGCCTTTTACTGGCTTTCGATAGTACCCATAGGTTTAGTCAAAAACTAATGTAAATTGCAATACTATCGATACTATCACATGCATTATTATCGATACTATCGATAGTATTGCTGTTATCAATAGTATTGACACTTGGAGAGCCATCGATACTATCTCTAGTATCGACAGTATTGACTAAGACGATATTATCGGTAGTACAATCGATATCCTGAATAGTTTTCGAGGTCAACTATCGATAGTGAAACTATCGATGGTTGTGCAACACTACTCACAACCCTGTAGAGATGGGTCGTATCGCTTTTTCTGAGTACCGTATCTGAATCAGATTTCGATTTCAAATATCAGATTTCGAAACTATGTATTTTAATATCTAGATATTTTACGGTCACGTATCCACCTTCAATTCTAAAAAAAAAAAAAAAAAAAAAAAAAAAAAAAAAAAAAAAAAAAAAAAAAAAAAAAAAAAAAAAAAAAAAAAAAAAAAAAAAAAGATAAAAATGTTTTCAACGATATTTTATACACATTCGGAATATAAATTGTGCAGGCGTATTTAAAAGTTGATTCATTCCATATACATAATGTTCGTGATATTTAAAACTTAATACCAGTGATACCAACTGTTCCAAAAGAATACTTCTAAATAAATTCGAAAACCCACTAAAATTGACTAAATTTTAAATCACGATTTTTTTATACTATTAAGGTAAAATTAAAACATTACCTGATTACATTAAAAATTTCATTAAAAATAGAAATTGAAGTAATATAAAAAATGATTGATTTTAACATCTTATATATCGCTTAATAATTGACTTTAACATATTCTTAACACGCAATCATGAGTGACAATATTTTTATAATTTGTGTAAGAAATAATACATTCAGCATTATAACTTATGGCAGAAGAATTTAAAATATACACACAAAGCACATAAGCCTTGGTCTGATTTCCACCCAAGCAGCACAGCACTATTAAATTATATTTTTCTTTTTGTGTACTGTACTTTTATTTTTTTCCACAAAATTTAACTAATAAAAATATTCACAAAAAATTTTCCTCCTAAAACATTTCCATTTGTATTTTTCTTCCTTAATTTTGGCAGAAAATTCTTAAGTAGTAAGTTGGCATCCCTAACTATTACGTGCTAGGTACCAATGCAATCCAGCTCAAGGCTAAACAAAATTTAAAGACATCGTTAATATCGTAATTCGTATTTAAATGCAACAAGATTCAAAATTACTTAACTGCGCGCTTTGTCGCCCGTTACGGCTCAAGGCTAAACAAAACAATACAAAATATAATAATATCGTTGTAGTATTTAATTAAAACGGATCTTATCAGTATGATCTTAAGATTCAAAATTACTTAACTTATTCATAATATCTGTTTAAAAATCTGATATTGTGCCTTGCTTGCCGTACTGCTCTAACTAGTGTAATATTTGTATCTCACGCGCTTTGTCGCTCAAAATCTGTTTAAAAATCTAATATCGTGCATTGCTTGCCGTCCCGCTCTAACTAGTGAGTATTTATATCTCACGCGCTTTGTCGCTCGATATCTGATATCGTTCATTACTTGCCGTCCCGCTCTAACTAGTGAGTATTTGTATCTCACGCGCTTTGTCTCTCGAAATCTGTTTAAAAATCAGATATTGTGGCAAACCGTATGATATCGCGATTCGTGTCGGTATAGTGAGCGAGCGAGTATTCGGTATATCAGATTTCGGAAATATCAGATATTGTAAAATACATAGATATTGAACGAGCCAGTAAGCGATATTCGGATATTGTACTAATATCTAGATTTCATATCTGATACGATTTGTATCGCCCACTTCTACAACCCTGCATAACATGAATTAAAGACGCCTCCGAGACATCCACAATCCACACCACATCAGTTGGGACGTTTTTGTGGCTTTAACTTAGGCGCGTTAACAACAATTATCTATAGCAAGGAAGAACAACGCGCGGCCCCTTAAACATGTTTATGCGGCCCGCCAAACATTTCTAAAATTAAATTTATTTTATCGAATTTCTCCCATCAATAGATAGTTATAATATTAATTATAACAAAATGGTAGTATATACTGAACCGAAATATTTTTTGTTCGTTTTTCTGTTCTTTTCTTGTTTGTTTTTACCTTTCATTAAAATTTGTATATGAAATCTTAACTTTTTTTTAATATTTTTTTATTCTAATATTTATTATAAGTAAAGTTTCGTATATTATTATGTACGGCCCGCCAAAAAAAATTGAAATTTAAATTGGCCCATTGATTAAAAAGGTTGCTCACCCCTGATCTATAGTATAAAATATCATTCGCTACAATACTAATGTGCTGTTCGAGTGTGGGGTTTTTTATCTAGTGTAACTTAACGCCTAGATATTTTATTGGTCAACAGGTCAGACCCATCATACATAATCTTAAAACGTATATAAGTAAAACATAAAATCACTCACACATCCTATAATCATGAAAGATTTCGAACGAAAGTTTAGAAATTAGAATTGAGAACTATATAACCTGGGTTAATTCTTATATGTCAAAATGACATGACAGATAAATATAGATAAGAAATAATGTTTATGACATGGACCAGGATAACCAAAAAAAAGATATAATATTTTAAACATGGTTTTTCTTACTAGAACCGTCTTAGCAGTGAAAGATATAAAAGTACCTCGTAAATATCTACGTAGTAAATTTATAGATTCAGTCAGACTTCATGTAAAAGGTGGCACAGGAGGCACAGGTCTTCCAAAATTTGGAGGTCTTGGTGGTCAAGGAGGCTGTGTATATTGTGTTGGAAATGAAAATGCTAATCTCAGAAGTATTGTGTCAAAGTACCGTGCAAAGACTGTTAACGCCGGTCACGGTGAAGACAGTCGGAAAACTAAGATTGTTGGTAATCCAGGTGCAGATGTAAAACTTGAAGTTCCGCTGGGGGTAACAATTTACAGAGAAGATGGGAATATTCTTGGTTCTATAGACAAAGAAGGAGAAACTGTAATAGTGGCGAGAGGAGGCCCTGGAGGAAATCCCGACAATAATTTCTTGGGCCATTTTGGTCAAATACATCATGTACGGTTGGATTTAAAGTTAATTGCGGACATAGGCCTTGTTGGCTTCCCAAATGCAGGTAAGAGTTCTCTGCTTAAAGCAGTATCAAGAGCTAAGCCACGAATTGCTAACTATCCATTTACTACAATAAAACCAAACAAAGGAATAATACAGTATGAAGACTTAAGGCAAATATCAATAGCAGATTTACCAGGACTCATTGAAGGAGCTCACATTAATATAGGTTTAGGACATAAATTTCTGAAACATGTAGAAAGGACAAAGCTACTATTATTCATTGCAGATGTGCAAGGTTTTAGATTAACTCCAAAACATCCAATGAGATCCTGTTTAGAAACAGTACTACTTCTCAATAAAGAACTTGAATTGTATGACACAGAGTTACTTGATAAACCTGCAATATTAGCAATAAATAAAATGGATTTGGATGGTGCTGAGGATATCTTTCAAACTTTAAAAAGTTCTTTGTCAAATATCAATTCCAGCATTGAAAAAGTACCTGAAGAGATAAGACCTGAAAAAATTATTTCGTTTACAGACATAATTGGAATATCTGCTTTAAAAGGAAGCTCCATTGATGAATTGAAGCAACTTGTAAGAAAGAGGTTAGACGAGTTTGCCGAAGAAAACAATCCTCATATTGTAGAGCCTAGTACATTGTTCAAGAGAAACAGAGCTATTGTTAGAGAAAAAGGACCTAAAATAACATAAAAAAGTTATAAATATATTATTGTATTATGTAATGTTTTTTTTTTACTTAGAAATCCCAAAAAAAGATGAAATTCATTTAAAATAAAAGAACATACATGTACCAATGCCATGCTGCTACATGGCCGCAATGGGGATTAGAATACTTCATGTAATTTCCAGTTTTTTTTAATGTATAAAATATGAAATTTCCAAACAAAATAAAACCAATTAACAATTAATATGAGTCTTTATGTTAAGATTATGTATTTGTGCCATTTGCTGTTTGGAAACGTTAGGTCCGTGGGTCCCCGCACATCAAAATTTTTTAAAAGTTTATGTCCTAGGCTTAACGCCGCGGCTGGTGACGAGAGCTGGTTCTTTTCTCGCTCAAAAGTTAAGCATAACTATTCAGCGAGGAAATGCAGCTAGCGTTCTTGGCACCATGCCGCGTGGATTAGGTTTATTAGATAATATGTAATTTTAGATAGATTTAATCTTGTAAATATTAAAAAAAAAAAAAAATTAACTATTTCATGGGTGTCAGAACCAGGAACTTTTTTTTACTGTGTTAAAGGCTACAAGCAGCCTTTGCTGTAAGCCAGCTCTTCCAGGGAAATACTATAGCAAGATTATGGTAAATACGTATTTGTGGCTTTAGCCTCTTGCCTGATAAATGAAATTACCTGGTCTGCCCCTTTTAAAGGAAGCGGTTATCATTTAATGTCAGAGAAGCTACTAAGGCTAATAAACGATTAATCATTATAATTAAATTTATTTATACCAGTTCAATGTCACATTAATCTTATTGCCTATGACCTATTTTAATCACAACTACAAACATTATTAAAACTTTACACTACAAACTTCTACAAGCCCACCTTTATCACAGCAAACAATGTTACAACCTCAACACTTACACAATTAAGATTGGATATAAATTTAGTATAACAAAAATATTATGTATGAAATGTTGTGCAACCAAATAATGCAGCAAAAACGTTGTCATTGCCATAGTACTCTATCACTAGTGCAGAGAATGGACAATTAATACTAACTTTTGCTCTTTTTTCTTTAAATCTAATAATATATTAACTATCTTAACTCTTATATGAAACAATTTTTAATCAAACCCTTATATTTATTAGTCCACTCTAACACCAACTTAAAAACCTACAACAATAAAAACAGTAACATATTCCTTTTCAGATTCTTTTAGGACTTCACCTACCTAACTTTATACAATTAGCAATGGTCAAAGAACTTGAATACTTTAAAAAAAATAGATTTATTTTAGTTAATAAGTACAAAAAATAGCTAAAACACAAATAACTTTTCTAATCTTTGTATGACATTTCAAATGTTTATGATATATAAGAAAACTTGTAAAATATCCAGTAATTCATTTTCAATATTTGTGTGTGAAAAGCATGCTTCAGTAATTAGTATACTTGTCTATTACGAAACATGAAATAACGATTATAGTAATACTAAAATTTATCTTATAGTATCTTCAAAAGGCCTTCAATGAGACATTAATGTTCAAATATATCACCATATCACATTTTTTTGATTACTAAGTAATAAATAGCAAACGTATTGAAACAAAGGCTACAAAGAATAAAACTCTACACTCAGTAATTAGACAAGCCACTATAACATAATAAGGCTAATTACAAGAAGTGGCTAGGCAGGGCTAAACGCTAGGCATATTATAAATAATGCAACGTAAAAAATGTTCTTGCTGAAGCCCAATAAACTTTTAAGAGCGACAAGGAATAAAATATATTGTTACAGACAAAATCAATTTGAATAGAAAATATTATTACAATATATTTTTTTTTCGCTTAAATTATGACCTTAAATCTATCTCTAGCAGTAAGTTTAAAATTTTTAATGATTTTCAGTAAAAAATATTTCATATATGTTTTCTTGCACATTTTTCCATTACGCTTATTTTATGAGAACACTGGACGCCTATATACCAACATAATTTCTTATCTTCCTTAAATATCAATTAATAATAATAGGTAAATTAAAAATTTTCTTACTTATAATACACGTTATTACCCAGTTGCATACAAAAATATAATTATGTATTATGCATATACCTAATGAAATTTCAGAAACGTGGCGCTTTGTTAAATATATACAAACACCATTTAATGGCAACATGCTAAAAATTTATGACAATATACTCATGCTAAAAAAAATTACGAATTTTATTCAAATTAATCTGACTTTATCAAAATTAAAAAAGTTTAATTTTTACTTTCATGATCAAATGGAATTTATGACAATTTTGTATGTCTGAAACCACTGCAATACTTGAACAGTGTCAAAAATCTACAGCAATAATACTATAATCAAGTACACAATACTTTCCACCAATTGTTCGTTCTTTCGGTTTCAGATGTAATTAAAAAAAATCATATTATATAATCTCCTTAGAATATTCAATTGCCTGTACATTAGAATTGACTGAAAAATGCCCACCCTCATTTTATAATATTTTTGGTTGTAAGATATCATTGATTTTAAGTAAAAATTGTATCCTCAAAATTTTTAATCATACATGATATTAATTATAATGATATGAATAGTGTGTGAATAGTGGGACATATGACATTTATAAATAACATCTGTATGTTGCATAAATTACACAGGACCTACATGTAATCATTGTTATAGGATATATTAACATATACAAGGTGAGACCAAAACATAACATAGTTCGAAACGGTGTCCACAAAAAGTTTCATGTGCAGATTGAATTGTCCCAAACTTGGCTTAGAAGGGTTAAGCTAGTGCCTTTGAGTGATATACACGCAGATGCAAAGCGAGCGTAGCGGACTAGCTCATTCCTCGTAGCCCTCGGCCGCTTCCTTGGCTGTCTCCGCGGGCGGTATGCTACGCCGCGAACTGGTCGAGCCAGCTGAGCCAGCCGAGCCGGCTGAACCTAATGAGCCAGCAGACTGCGCCGAGCCAGCAGACTGGGCCGAGCCAGCGGGCGATGCGGCCCTACCGCGCTCTGGACTCATGCTGCCACCTAGTGATGTTACAAAAATTGAATAATAATATTAATGTCATTTGCAATCTTCAGTTATGACCGTAATAGGGTGTACGGCAATTTAGGAGCTGTGCAAAAATGACGGAATTATGACCAGCGCATATGTTTAATAAATAACTAACTTACCAACATCTATTGAAAGTACACATTTAATGATTTTTTTTTTAAATACCAGCTCCATATCAACAATATCACGATAACACTATAAATCAGTTTCTGAACTGTAGATAAAAAATGTACATAAATATATCATTTTACATATCTTCCGTTTGAAAAGTTTCCATTGTCTAGTGTTGACAAAGATAAAGACACTGCTCCGTGCTATTAATTTTAAGATTAATGACACCACTACTTTAACATACTAAATACTGCGTATTGATGCACACGCACACACACGTACCCATAGCCCCATTCATTACAGACATTATGAAAGCGTTGGCCTTCTATGCGTAAATTTAAAGTTTTTTATAGTGCTAATCTCTGCACTTAACATTGAACATTAAAACATGTAGAAAAAGTACGAAAAGATTTTCGTCGCTGAGGGAATCGAACCCACGTCCTCGGCATTCGCGGCCTGACGCTCTAGCCACTAAGCTAAACGGCTGATTGCCACAACGACGAAAATCTTAACGCCTTCTTTCTACATTGTTATTTAGCATTTGAAGCAATGCTTGGCGCATCTATTGTTCTCTTCTTCTATGCGTATTTAATATTGTGGCAGCACTAGCATGAAATAATTTGGAGGATATGTAACCGTTGCGCCGTGCAAGCGAGGGCCATGTTTACCTGCGCCCGCGAGTACGTCACCGCATAGACCCGATATTACTGGATTCTGAAATCCGCTGCCGCTCGGTCAGACGCGCTAGTCGGAAACCCTATCTCACGGCGAATGCACGTTCAACTGCGCTCAGATAATTCCGCTAATTGTTCTCGCGATTACTCCATTTCTGATTTAATATCTTTTATCTAGTAGTCTTCTTATTCTGTATAACTTCTTTTCTTTTTATATTTATACTTCATGTGCATTTCTGTCCGTGTCGTGTCCTGAATACAATTTACATACGTGGCTCATTAGTTTCATTTTTAGCCATCGACAAAATGGCCACAAATATAATCAACTAAATTTATAGCTCTCACCAGAGGAATGGGCACGCGCGTAATCGCGCTCGCCACGGTCACGACGTTCGTTGCGTTCGCTGCGTTCGTTGCGTTCGCTGCGTTCGGTGCGTTCGCTGCGTTCGTTGCGTTCGTTGCGTTCGCTGCGTTCGTTGCGTTCGTTGCGCTGCTTCTTGGCACCGGGGTCGTCGCGCACCTCCTCCACCTGCGCGGGGCACTCCAGGTGCACCAGGTGAAACACCTGCAAATTGGCAGCGGGGTTAGCGCGGCCGATGACGTCACTTGGCACCATTCGAATGGTGGATTGTTTGACTGATTTTACTTAAAAACAAGCATTAATAATTTGCACACATTTACATTGGGTATAAAAAAAACCTTGAGCTATTTATTACATTTATCTCACTGCTGTAACAAGCTGTTGCATACATGAAGGTATATGTAGTCATATGTATGACTGTAGCCTGCCCTGCTAATGTCAGAAGAATCAGGTGCGTCCCCAGCTTTTACGTGCTAATATTGTTAGTTCCCACTAACTATTACTTACTTTACTATTCATATCCTGACCCCCCCCCCCCCCACGCTCCCCTCAATTACTCAAATCCTAAAGAGGATTGGCGGCAGGCAGGTTGTCGGTTGTAAAACTAGAATATTATCTGCCATGGACTGCTGACAATTATTTAAGCGCAACTAACCTCATTGACAGAGTTGTGCGTGCCGACGATGCGTATGATGGAGACGGGCCTTGGCGAGAAGTAAATCACCTGCCAGGACCTGCAGGGTTACAATATTATTTCTACAATTATCATGTGTTCATCACAAAAGCTTAATCTTTAAAATCCCTTGTTGATTGTTTCCTTCTTTTACCAATAAACTGCCCCATATTTCCAAAGTCAGTTAAACACCACCCCCCCCCCCCCCATATAAGAAAAGTGCCGATGCGGCGGGCACCTCACCTGCAGTGGTCCCTCGTGCGGTCGGCGACCATTTCCCAGGTCCAGTAGTTGAGCGAGGTCTCCACGTAGAACGAGTAGTGGCGGTAGTCGCAGTCCCACAGCAGCATCCGGATGGAGGAGAGCATGTAGGGCTGCGCAAGCTGCACCACTATCGCGCCTGAGCCGAGCTGGTGGCAAGTGTAGCCCTGCTCCCAGTCGTAGTGCTCCGTGTCCCCGTTCAGCAAGGCGTTGCGCGAACGGCTGATGGAGGGATTACTATTTCAAACCCTGTGGGTTCGATACCAACACCAACAAGGGACAACCGTTCGTGTGACCCACAGATAACTGTTTCGGATCTGGGTGTTGGTCCATGTTTGTTATCCCAGGGTAAGGGGGCAATGTTTTCAAAGGTAAGAATACAATAGATCTTTCACACAAAAATACAATACAAATGTTAGTAACCTATGAAGTGCAGATAACAAAGTGTAGGTATTACTGTTAGGGCCACGGAACAGTCTTCACTGTTGCACGAATGGACAGGTCTGAGAAAGTACCAAGAATACACAAAAGAGCGGTGCAAAGTGGAAGTATATATTACTAATGTATACTTTCGGGTTTCGTCTGATGAGTGAGATTACCGGAGGGATACCATAGGATACTATGGGCGTTGCAAATGTCTATTGGCGGCGGTTATCACTTGACATCGGAGGAACCACCAGCTCGTTTGCCACCTTCTCGAGGAAGAAGCACCTGATGCCCTCCATGACGACCGCCGACAGCTCCACGGTGGCTACGTTGTGCGTGGGCTGCACGAGCCCGTTGCAGAGCGGCGGCACGCGGGCGGTGTACATCGCCTCCAGCGCCACTGCGTGGAACACCTGCAACATTTGCAACAAGCGACCACTAGCAACTTGTGTGGTAAATGTTTTTAATTTATCCACTAATAGCTGGAGCACAAGACTTCGTTTGCGCAGGATCAGTACTTAGAGTAGCTTTATATATTTTCTTCTCCAAGATCCTATCATCTTTATACCAAATATGTATCAAAACTGGTTCTGTGGTTTAGTCATGAAGGGGTTAAAGACAGACAGTTACTTTGAGAAACCCTTGTATTTTTACCTAAGTGTTAGTCTCATGTTTAAGCTATTGATATTGTAAAGTTTGATTAAAATCCAGTCGGTAGATCCATATATAAATATTTTCATGTTTATAATATTCTATTAATATAATGAATAATATATATAATTATCCTATGTATTGACATTTCTATTCTGAATAGTATCTTGGATTCTTAAGGGAACCCTTGACAGGTGGTCACTTCAGTTCCATTTTAATCTTACAATTTAAAACAGCCCGTTTGTGCCATATTTTTTCTTTTCATTCTTATAAATTTAATAGCGGTTTTCTGACGAATAATTAAGGATAACTTCCTTGAATAATATCGTTATTATTTCTCTTTGCTCATACAATGTCATATATTGAAGAAGTAACACATACATTATGCCAATAAACATATAAAAGTGAATTTTAAAATTCCTATCGGATAAATCGAAAGTAATAAAATAATTAAAACAGATGTAAATGGATGAAATGCAATGAGTGAAGCCACCGGCAACAACTAGCGATTGATGAATGATTCGCACCCTGTTGACGGTGTTGCTGGTGCCGACCAGCTTGATGTACTGCACAACCCTGGGCTCAAAGTACAGGTTCTGCCACGAGCGGCAAAAGTAGGTGCTGTGGTCGATCACACGCACCCAGTCCTTCTGGTCGACGGACACCTCGATGTAGTACGCGTACGACCTGCAACAACCAATCAATTTATTGCGACCCAATTGGCACAGTGGCTGTCGGACCCAAGGGCGTGGACTTGATTGTTACTACTGGAAAAACATTGAGAGTCGAATACATTTTAATTTTCTAATGGCAGCACCCGTTACAGATGCATTGCCACCTTTTAGTACGTACGAGTTAATACTGTTGATACTCACATAGGGTAGAATAAGACAATTATACTGGTATGTTATATTGTAAACTGTTATGTTTGAAAAAGAGCAACTGTTGAGTTTCTTGCCAATCTCTTCTAAACAGAAACTGCTTTCCAAACCGGTGGTACCTTACAAACCTCGATAAGATAATATTTGAATTTTGATGATTGATTCAATAATTTTTAAATGGCCCGATCTTCCAATGTGAAACGATATAACACTGGCTCTCACCCGGACGGACCCGCCCATTCGTGCGACAGCCGAAGCTGTTGCGGGGCCCTACCACAGTTGTGGGTTTGACAGTTTAACAGGATAACATTATCCCGTTTTGTAAGGACGATTTACAAACATACATTTCACGTGGACAAACACCAAGGTGCGAAAGAACCATCTTTGGGTGACACAAACAGTCGCCCCGTCACGGAGGCGTCAGGTCCAGGCCCCGGCGGTCACTCGCCTGTTGTCGCGGTCCCAGAGCAGCAGCCGGATGTGGTTGAGGATGGTGGTGGTGGCGAGGCGCACCAGGATGCCGGGGTTGTCGGCCGCGTCGCTGATCGTGTGCCGCGTGTAGCCGCGCTCCATGTCGTACGTGTCCGTGTCGCCGTCGAGCAGCGCCGACCGCATGTCGCCGCTCAGCACGCGCGCGCCCCGCTTCGGCGTCGCCACGTTCTCCTCCGGCACTGCGTTTTGTTCAAGTCACAGGCAAACGTCCCCTCTATTCAACACGGGCTTGTTTTAAGTTTTAAGCTCCTATTCAACTACACCTGCGAGAGAAGAACCGGCAAGAAACTCCGAGGTCATATATATATATATATTTTTTTTAATTATTTAAGTATATACACAAAAGTATTTTAGTATAATTTAGCAGGAGCCAGGGGACTATTATTATTCTACGACTATTAAACGATTAAAATAGTAGGTTTTCAAACAAACTACACATTTCTCCCCATCATACCGCAATGTTCAGCAAAAACAGTTACTGTTGGCCATTAGGATGTATAATAAATTACCAAATAGATTAAAAACTGAAGAATTTGATTTTGAAGGAGGAATGGATATAATCACCCAGTAAATTGGAACCGAGTCTCAATCTACACTTCCAATTGACTCTATTTACTGATGTGACCGTGACTTGGTTCAAAGCAGCTTATGGGGTGTGATGCGGCAGAGGCAAAGGGGCTCACGCAGCATCCCGCGGTGGCGCAGCTCGGTGCTCTTGGTCTGCGTCTTCTCCTGTATGGCGTCCAGCAGCATGTCGGGCGTCACCAACGAGAAGGGACGCACCACCGTCAGCAGCTCCTCCAGGCTCATCAGCGTCAGGCGCACGCACTTCAGGATCTTTTCCTGCGAGATTGTGTGCGTAAATGTTATTATCAGCTTATATTCACTAGACAGAATACAGTGTGTCTTGTTTCTACCACAAGAAAATAGTTATTGATCAGCGTAGATGACGTGCTGAAGTACGAAAAGTCATTATAAGTTATTTTATAATTTTCAAAGAACTATATTCAGTATCAAATAATAGTAATAAAACAGCAAGACTAATAAATATGATACTCACAACTTGCATCATTCCACTCGCTGACTTGACCCACTGCTGGTTCGCGTTGAACCAGCTGCACACCGCTTTGAAGATGTCCACCTCTGGCGCGAAGAATGAGTCACGTTCAAGTAGACCTTGAAGTGCCTCCTGTACAAAGTATATTATGTTGATTGAAATTAGATTTCCCAAGTATTGCATAAAACGTATTGCGCGGGAAGTTCATACTAGTTAGAAAGTTAACACACACAATATTAATATGCATTTCAATATGAATCTATGTACTTACAACAGACAGTTGCAAAAATGAATCATGCTGAAGGACTTCTGTGGCATTTCTATCCAAGAAGTTGTAGCAGTAGTCCATCAATGCTTCCAGGCCATAGAGTCTGAAAGCATCAAGCCGTTAAACTTTCAAGAATTCATTATCATTACAGGGGTTTCCGACATGAGTAACACACAAAGACACAGTTTCACCCAGATCCCTTTCAGACTAATACTATAATAGCTGAGTACCTTGCAGCTTTAAGTACCTTGCCGCGTCCAGCACGGCGCAGACATTCCGTAGAGCGAGCACCTGCCGCAAATAGTCGGAGATGGCGGCCTCCAGCTCCTGGAAGTTGAACTGGTGCGCCAGGCCTAACATGTCCAGCACGGTGTCCTCACGGAGCACAGACAAGCCCATGTGACCTGTACAATGTGCAGCCTCAATTTCACGATCACTGGATAACTGGTTTCTAAATTGGAATGTGTCCCGTGGACTAAATAGAACTTCAACGATCACAGGCCAGTTAAACTAAGCTAAAATGTAGAAATAGTGCACGACGCATGAACATATCTTAAATTTGTGTCTACCCACTGGCAAAGAGTGACATTTGAGCCCCAACTATAATCATGGGAGTCTAGCCCGAGCTATGACCATTCCCAGGTCAAGAGCTGATTGAATCAATAATGATTGTAATGATTGTAAATCAATAATGATTGTAATGATTGTAACCAATACAAACTGCTAAAGTTTTATTACTTTTCACTATGCACTCACATATTTTTACTTAAAAAAGGGCACCCAGTGTCCAGCCAACCAGATTACAATAGCTATGACAGCTAAATTACAGAAATCACTGAAATTCCAATGGCTAAGCAAGCTGTGGAAGTTTTATAGCCTTGAGAACCGACTTGCGCTATTGGACATGGCTTTCTTGCATAGACTGTTTAAAGGAAGTATTGAGAATTCTATAGTCCAAAAATTAGAACCAGTAATGTAAGCCTATTTGCTGGGGCTAAGTCATTGACTTGTTATGCACAGAATTCATAGTGAATCGCTTGCAGAGTGTATTCAATAGTAATGTTCACAGCCTAGATTCAACACAAATTTTAACACTGTGGATTTTACTTAAAATGAATTGGTTTTTTTTTGCTAATGCGAGTTAAAAAACCTATCAAGTGGGGAGTTTTGTTACATTGGACACTAATGTGTAGAATAATAATTAATGTACAATAAAACATTATAAGACCCAATAACACATTGTCTCTAGCTTGTCTAATTACTGTTTATATGTTGTTAGTGTTATTATAGTATTATGCAAATAATAAAGCCCTTATTTAATGGGTTTCTTTGTCCATGTGTAAAAACAATTATATTTAACTCACATTGAATAAGCATTTCATATTTGCAGATGCTAATTAAAAATTAGCATCTGCATCAAACATTGTGTATGCTTAGTTTGGGACTTGGTTAATGTTGTGTAAAATATATCCTGAAAAAAAAATTATAAGGATAGACAATTTTGGATTTTTAATGAGAAAAATTACTTACCGGAATAAACATATCTAAGAAGTGCCTTGAAAGCCTGCAGAGGTGCTTGCAACTCAACTTCAGCCTGTAAATTAATTGATTTTGATTTAGAATATGAGTAGAATATCCCTGATTAACCAATTGACACAACAACTAAAAATCTGAGTGTTTGGTTATTGAATCTTCACCTTAAATAACTTTCAAAATGTGTCTACTAAGAAAACATTTTTGGTGCTTGTCTATAATATGAAGGACATTTTGTATGAAAATGGGCAAAAATATAAATCATCATTAAAACAATCTCCAATTTGATCCAAGGGAGTCATGTTGTCAGGATAAATTTATAAATAGGTATAAAATAGCCTCAAAAAATCATTCACTACATTTTTATTATGTGAATTATTAATATTAGCACAACTAATTATATGTTGCAATTTTGTAATGTTTAACCACCTGATTGGCCTCTCTCATTCCTCCATACAACAAAGCTCTAAAGTAGTCACTGCTTGCCGCAAGTATAACCTTGTGGGCAGGGATACGCTGTCCTTCCACTATTAGCGTCACATCTGAGTATTCTGATGACAGACATAGTGAACCAATATGTTCAGACAGGTGACCTGAAATATGTACATGTTTATAATTGTTGTTGGATAGCAATATAAAGATTTCAATAAATACAACAGCAAGGTGTGTATTCTAAGTCAAAGGAGGGGGAGATAGGTAATACATAATCCATGTTCCAACAAGCTTATTCAGTGCCAAATGAAAAAAGATGAAATTGTTCATGTAATAGGCAATTTTTTATTTCAATACACGTTTATATTACCAAGTCTGAACCGCCTGTGTAAATTTGGGCACTTCTCAAAAAATCTCCCTGTATTTTAAAAGGATACTAACTTATATGTTCAATATCTCCAACTCTTGTACTGGGTGAGTTGTTCACCGTCATATACTGGTGTTGGCTGCTCATCTTTTATCTCCAGCATTCGATCTTCTATCTTTACAAGCAAGACAACAGCACAAAGGTAAAATTTACTAAAAATAAATCTAATCTTTAAAAACACTACAAGGAATCTATTAATTTGCATGCTATATAATATTTTGGGACCTGATGTTATACAATGTTTAGGAATCTCACTAAGTGATTCTATTTAATATCCCCGATTCTGTCTTAAGCATTTATTATTAAAAACTTTTAGAGAACGATTAGATTATTTGTTATATATAATAACTGAATTAAGATTATTAAGAAAGAGGAAGTTCATTTAGTTAATGATCCCTCGATAGATTTTCAAAACGATATAAATCAATAAAAACCATGATAAAATATATTTTTAGAAGCTTGACCTAAAATTATTGTTGTTGGATATGCAAATAGTGTAGCAAAACTACTCGCAAATCCAACAGATGAAATGTTAAATTCCTTTAAATCTTAATAAAAATACAAAAACTTATAAGCTGTTAATGTAAATTTTTCGATAAATACACCGGTTGCTAAAGTTCTAAGTTGCGAAAGTTCCGTGCAATGTTTTTCATTCCCTTCGCTTTAAATAATACGGACGAGGACGACGTATTTGAAAATAAAGTTTACATCAACCGCAACATATTTAATCAGATATCAATTGTAAATAATTTACGTGTTTTAAATCCCGATTCTTCCCTCGGACGTTGAAAATTTCTTTCTGTTCTGATGATTATTTTCACACTTCGAAATGAAAACATTCCCATGACCCATCTAAACTGTCAATCAAGTAAATTGTCAATTGTCATCTTTCATCTTTGATCATAGATAGAGGTTTGGTATTCGCGATTATCATAGACTATAAAAACACAACATGAAAAGTGAGCAAGTGTATAAAAAATTTATTATTAAATAATCAAATAAATTTATTATTAATAATTTATTTACTTTTTAATAATTTATTACTAATAATTTATTACATAATATTGGATATAATATAAATTTATTATATCCAATATTATGCAATTTTTAGATTATGTTAATATAATTATTTGTTAACTATATTAAAATATTTTTTATAAGTCTAGTTTGCTATTAACCAGGTAGTTCGGACGATGACGTAGATATTACCCGTGGAGGAACCAAGAGTGAGCTGCACTAGTGCACAACAACAATACGATGATACCACGCCGTCGGCTCTACTGAATATAGATAAGAAGTAGAACTAGAAGAACCTAAAGGTCCCTCAGATGTATGCTCGAACTTTGGCTTTTACGAAACACAAGATTTACGAAAATTATCCATTCAGGAATATCGTTAATCCTTCCAACGATTGTATACAGACTCGCTACTTATCAATATTACCTAGCAACTCAACGTAAACGATTCAATTCAAAAGCGACCAACAGGCACAAGTAATAGCATATAGTCTGTAGACTGCGAATAGAGAACCTCATTATCGATATCATGCATCTCGCTTCTCCATGCGTATGTGGGCCGATATAAACTTAAATATACACTAAACTTAGAATTATTTTTATCCATTTTTTTTTATCTTTTCGTATTCATACTTTTAAATAACTATTGATTTTGTTAAAAAGTTAGTTTTTTTTTTTCGGCCTTTAGTATTAAGAAAAAGTTGAACTATTGTTAACGAAAAATTCAATTACAAGTAGTTTCAAGTTTTCATCTGAAGCTCAACTAATAAATTTGTGTTTTAGATTAAAAAATTATCAAGTCTCATCACCAATCGCAAGCTAAGAATTAACAAACTTTTTTAGAACGGTGGACTCCACAGCCCTGAAGCCTTAAGCTATAAATATTATTGTTTAATAAATTATTACGGAAAAAAAATTAAACTATTTTAAATTTATTTACTTGCTTTTTTGATATCGGTAAAGAACCTCATATAGAATTTATATAACCTTTCAAGCCTTTATAAACGTAATATAATTAAGAGCATGTATAATAATTTATAAAGAATTAAATATGTCATTATTTGCGTTAAAATTTAAATTATTTATTATCATATTCAAATATTTCAGGCCGTTGGTTTGAGGACAACTATCCGACTCGAAAACTATTTAAACGGAAATTCGTAGCGGGAATGTATGGCGGAATTATAAACTTACATCACATTTATTTAATTTCCGATTCCGGTACTTCCTGTTATGATTATTTTAGTGAAAGCTTAATGCGTTCTCAGAGATGCATCTTCATTTATAATAAGTTGTCATAAATGCCATATAAAAATAAATTTCAAAATGTATCTGGTTACGTCACAAAAAGTTTATTTCCCTATATTTTTCTGCGTACCACCAATAAGGAATATTTGACAATAACTTTTAAATGATAATACATAGCAAAGTACTATATATAGTGACGGTATATAAAAGTATTTTTATATTGAATCAGACAAAGTATACTAATGTTTTATAACATTAGTTTCATACACATTGGTCTCATTATAATATAGTTATGGTAACTATGTAGGTACTATGTAGTACTTATCTTTCGTTTTTTTAGCTGAATAATCGGGCGCGAAAGCTTCGTCATAGAGATGCTCGTTTTTGATTGGACGAAAATTTCGAAAGTACCAACCTAAGAAATGCTGTAATAATTTGGCTATGTTGTCAGAAATATTACCAGTTGTGTAGGCAGGTAAATTTGTCGCTTTGATGAATATAATTTATTTTTCTTTAATGGTTTTCTATACGAGAATGGCACTGCAATAGCTGAAATATTACCAAGAAAATTCTTCTTTATCCTCCAAGTAATTAATGTAAGTAATAATTTGCTGTTTTAGTATTTCGAGAAGTTTTCTTTTTAAAAGGTTGTGGTCCTGCAAAAGTAGCTGCACAATTGATAGAGTGCGATAGTCGCGAAAGAATAATGTAATAAATTTGGTTAATGTAAGCGGATTTAAAAGCAGTGCATTTTTTTTATTAAATGTTTTTGTTCCGTTTAATAAAGTTTATCAGTTCATGTAACAATGTTTTGCGCAGAGTTTATTTTAATTTGACAATATTTTATTTTTAAATACGTTACAGGTGGTCCATAATGAATTGTAAAAGATAATTTAAACATCTGTAATGGTTTCGCTAATGTTTTCGGGGCCGAGAAATGGAGAGGCAGCAGACTAGTACACTTCAAAAGTTTGACGATCCGAAAACAGAAATATTGAAAAAAAGATTGTTGAAAGCTACGACCACGAACGTTAGTGGTAATTTGTCGCAAAACAATTCGCAGAATAATGTGCTATTGAATACTTTACGCGTAAGTTAATATATACTCGTTAATTACGATATATGTGGTGCACACTGATTGACATTGACTTGTTATTTTTCAGGCGCCAATCCCGAGCAGTATGATTGTATCCTCGATGCAGGCGCCTCAGAGCTCTATGCCGATCACTCACAGCTTAGTTACACACTCCATAGCCCCTGTGAAGATTCACACGAGTAATTCGCCATACCCTTTACAACTTTCCACAGTGCATGTGCCAGTTCAAATACCGGGTTCCACTTCAAATATTAATGTCCCCGTTCAGCTATCAGCTGCTACTAACACGGTACCTTTACAAATAGCCCCCGTAAGTCTTCCACTACAGGTTTCAGGCACAACTAATGTGCCCGTCCAGCTGACCGCTGGAGACACAATAAATGTTCCATTACAATTACCTACAACGGCCCAAAACATCCAGCTGACTGGGCAAACATTGCCATCTATGCCACTTTTGCAAAACACTCAGCCTATGCACAGTTCAATATTTCATGTCCATATGGGATCAAATATAAGACCTACTAATATTGAATCAAACTCTGATATGAGTGTTTCCAGTTCTACTCAGCTTCAACTTCCTGATTCTACTGGAGTACAATTAAAAATGAATAATTCCACGGCAGTGACCCAAGTGCCAGTTGGTTCTAATTCCACTGTTGTACAAATTCCCAACTCTCCTAATAACTCATTACAATTAGCCCTTCCCAATTCTGGAAATCCTGGGCCAGTGCAACTACGTAATGCTCCCAGGACTGTTCCTCATGTTGTCTACATTCAGACTCCTACTGGTTTAAAACCGGTTACAAGTACAGAAGTAATTAGCCAAGCCAGTACTAGTGGAAATCCTCCACAGATTATAGTGAGAAGACCGGTAAGTGTGATATTATTATATGACTATTTATTTTATTGTATAAGTAAGTAGACATTTGAGAATTTTTGGCAATACAAAGCGATGATTGAATGATTTTACGCGAATATTTACATATTGATTGAAACTAGTTTATGAATTTAATAGTTTTAATTTTGATTTTTAATACCTGATGTTTCAAACGATTTCCAGCATTGGTGTTCTTTATCTGTCCCATTATCATGAATGCTGGAAAGTGTTTGAAACATTCGGAATTAAAAATCAAAATTAAAATGCGATAAAACGAAAACTATTCTGGTTTGCAATTATGTTGCCATCTTTAAATAAAGTAAGCCCCGGCTACCTCACTCACAAGACGAAAAGCAGAAGTGTGTCAATTCTACTTCTGCCGGACTTCTGTGAGGCCGTGGTACTAACCCTGGCGGACCTGCCCATTCGTGCAAAAGTGAACTCTGTTACGTGACCCTACCACAATTAATAGTTTAGTTATTGTAGTTTCATTAAATGTACTATGTTTATAATTCGATGACTCCGTAGCGTAGTTACTAAGATATTGGCTTCAGCGTCGGCGGTCGTGGGTTTGATTCCCACACAGGACAAGTATTTGTGTGACTCACAGATACTGAGATATGTATGTAAAATGTCCTTGCAACACAGGATAATATTATCCCAAAGTAAGTTTTAAAAAAATAACAAATTTATATACACAACACTTTGTTTAGAATTTAATAATTTACATTAAAAACATATATTTTCATGTAAATAGACATTGTGCACTGATTAAGAATCAGTGTGCAAAATCTGTAATTAATTTCCAACTAAATTAACAACAAATGTTTTTTTTTATTTATAGGGAAAGATTTATAAATAAATTAAAATGTATGGATGCTCCATATGTAAATTGTTCAATTTAACTACAAATGTTTTTGTTTTTTAATACAAAATGTAGTAAGGTTGCTCATAAGTTTTTTTCAATTTCAATAATTCTTACTGTCACATTTTTATTTTATTATGTATATTAATTAGAAGTTAATGAAAATTTAAAAGTGGTTTTCAATATACTTCTCAGATATGTAACCAGACATGTTGTAGTTGTTTCCAAATTGAATTGACAGTTAACAGATGTGTTATTAATTTTATTGATTAAGTCTTATGGGCTGCGCTATGGTTACTTTTTTGAATAAATATTTTATTTTAAGATAAATAATTTAATTTAATTTAATAACTTTGCATAATCTACTTGATCTGTCTATCTAGTCCCATCATAGTGGAGCTAAAGGTTATATTCGTAGGTGGGGGAAGTGTGATTAGCAAGCAAATTATAGCTGTCTGTAGTACTTATCTGTTAAAAAAAACACAGGTAGTCTCATTGGCACAGGACTGCCAACTAAAGTGAAAACATAAAAGATATATCAAAATCAAAGTTGTATAATATTTAATTCGACATATTTTATAGGCACTGAACAATAATAGCAGTATTTATATGAGTTATCTATAGTGGGATAACCAATTGTTTTTTTAAATTCGGCCCTGCAATCAGATATACAAATAATCCAATAAGATTATTTTTTAAAGAATAAAACAATAATATTTATATAATTATTTATTATTAGCCTTATGCAGAAGAAGCATAATCATAATTTATTTTTTCTGACACATTATAACATCTAACAATTAATAAATATATATATAAAAAATACAGCTGTAAACAAAAAATGCCTAATGTTAAGGTGTATTAAGTAATGTAAAAGTAAAAGATTTCCTTTTCAATTTCATACAAATGAAATATTTATAGAAACAACTCGAATTAAATGAATGTATTTTATTTACATTAACTATTTTAAATATTTTCACACATTTTTTACGCAACATTCTCTAGTCCCAAACTAAGCAACGCTTGTACTATGGGTACTAGAAAACTGATAAACATACTTAAACATACTTTTCTTTTGTAAATAAATACATATTATGCATATAACACCCAGACACTGGAAAAACACTATGTTCATCACACAATATTTTTCCAGTAGTGGGGATCGAACCCACACCCCCTGGCGCAAGAGGCAGGGTCACTACTCCCCACGCCAATCGGGTCCTATTAATATTTATTTTTTTATATTAATAGAGCCACAATAGAAAATGTATAAATAAAAGTTTGCAAATAAAGAAGGTTTAAAAAAAGTTAATAACTCTATTAAGAATAACTAATTTGATGACTCCGTGGCGCAGTTGCCATAGTATTGGCTTAGCGTCGGGGATCGTGGGTTCGATTCCCACACGGGACAACTATTTGTGTGACCCACAGATAGTTGTTTCGTATCTGGGTGTTTTTCCACGTGAGATTTATGTTTGTAAAACGTCCTTACAACATGTGTTTTTACAAACATAACATGTTCCTAAAGTAAGGGCAATGTTTTTAAAAAAAGAAAAAGTATGAAAAGAATATTATAAACGCGTATTCTACGCAGACGTAGTCGCGGGCAGCAGCTAGTTTAGAATAAATTCAGGAGATTGATCTGCAGCCGACGTTCCTCTGTTGCAGGTTACCACTAACTCAAACATTCATTTAATATCGAACATGAATAATAAGCCGAATATAGCGCAAGTCCCCAAGGGCCCAGGGCCGAATAAAGCTTCCATTCTCGCACCCGCAAACACATCGCAACCGATCGTTATCCAGAAGCCCAAGGCGAACGACAAAATGATGGTGCCAGTGAGCATCGCCCCAGTGACCCAGGGCAAGCAGGCGATCGCATATTTAGGCTCCGTAAAGAAGAACAACAGTAAGAACACATCGGAGAACCAGTCCATCCTCATATCGAACAACCAATCGAACGTCAACGCTAACAACCAGAAACTGTTCTTGACCCCGATGAACATGCCGAAGATACAAAACACGAAATTCATTCTGCCCGTAACGCTGCCGGCCACGATGGCCTCCAAAGGTCCCATCATCAATCTGCAGATCGCCAACGGACAGATACAGAACGATCCGCAGGGGAATATCACCGTCATGCGAGATTCAGCGCCCATAGACTCCTCTGACATGCCGCCGCTCCAGCCCCTGCAACTGCTCAATATGAACGGCAAGGACAACATGGTGCCTCAGAGTCCGAAGGGTGAGAAATCCTTCGCCATGTCCATACCAGGATCGCGAGCGGAGCCCACCGGCGAGCAGGGCGAGTACACGCTGTCGATACCGGACACGAACGCCTCCATGAACGACGACATTTACACCGTGTCGATAGCCGACGAAGAAGGCGGTCAGACCCACGAGAACTCCTTCACCCTGGCCATTCCGGAGAAAAGCAAGAGCCTGCTAAACAAGAACGTGATCGACAGGGACATGGGCCCCGTCGCGATCGCCGCGCCCGCGATCCTCAGGCGCTCCAACTCCGACAACAGTGACAGGAAAGTGACCAACGTGAACGTTAAGAGGAGGATTTCGCTATGCAACGAGAACCTCACCGGCAAAGCGATCAGGCTGCCCCTCGCCCAAGCGCGGGCGGACAAGATGGACGGGCACGTGGACGACGTGAACGACGACCACCGCGTGCCGTCGCTGTTCTGCGACGAGAAGCTCGACAAGGACTTGGATATGAAGGCGAACGTCGGCGATTCCGACCTCGACGAGGACAAGGATAGGATCAAATTGATCAGCGAAGTCAGCAACGACGCCTTGTACCACCCGCTCGACGGTTACAAGCCTCGGGGCGGTGTTAGGCAGAACAAAAGAAGCGAGCCCTCGTCGGAGGAGGACCCCCCGGGACTGATATGGAGCAACGGCGTCGCCCGCCTCCAGGGCAGCGGCCTGCAGTTCCAGACGAACGAGTTCGGTCTGATCGACTTGGTCGACAACAGCTCCGACCACGGCACCGTCGGCGGCTCGGGGTCCAAGTACAGCGCGCAGCCGAAACAACGCTCGGAGGGCGCGTCTAAAGAGAAGAAGCCGCCCTCCCCCGATGACTTGTACCGCTGCGAGGGGTGCGGCTGCCACGGCATGGCGGCGGAGTTCATCACGGCGAACGTCTGCAGCCTCAGCTGCCAGGCGGAGGTGCAGAAGGCGTCGCAGAAGAAGCGCGACCGCGAGCGCGCCGAGCTGGCGAAGAAGCGGAACAAGATCAAGAAGCTGCTGATGAGGAAGCAGCTGTCTGATTTGGACGGGCAGCTGGACGAGGTCGCGTCGCTGAGGCACTTCGACACGATGCCGGTGGAGACGCAGCTGACGGAGGTGAGCCTGCTGAAGATCGGCGAGGAGATTGAGGGGGACGAAAAGTATCCCTGGATGTGCGGCAAGAGCGGCTTCTCGTGGATGCGCTACCTGGACACGTGCAAGGCGAAGGCGGCGCCCGTGAAGCTGTTCAAGGACCCCTTCCCCTACGGCCGGAACGGGTTCAAAGTGGGCATGCGCCTGGAGGCGATAGACCCGCAGCACCCGGCGCTCTTCTGCGTGGTCTCCGTGGCGGAGGTGCAGGGCTACCGGCTGCGGCTGCACTTCGACGGCTACGCGGACCTCCACGACTACTGGGTGAACGCGGACAGCGTGGACCTGTTCCCGCCCGGCTGGTGCGAGAGGAACGGCCGCCAGCTGAAGCCGCCGGCGGGCCATTCGGCCGCCACCTTCTCCTGGCCCTTGTACCTGAAGAAGGTGCGAGCGATCGCCGCTCCCAGGCACCTGTTCCCGCATACCACCACCACGGTGAGTCAGTCAAATATCTTTATTCAATATAGAAGCATTACACTTACTTATTGATAGTCAAAAAACTCTACCACCGGTTCGGAAGGAAAAGCACTGAGAAGAACCGGCGTAAGAAACTCAGCGGGAATTTTTTTTTAACTTGACAAAAAGAAAACAAATATGTGTACAATTTATTAAATTCCACTTGAAAGAGCCTGGAGCGATCAATGGAGTGTCCAGATTTATTTAGTAGGTATACTTTAGACTTGCAACGAATCTATACGGATAAATAAAATTGCGAGTGTCTGTTTTTAATATTCAAATAACCGCTTTTTACTAAATGCGTATGGATGTATACACGGTACATAAGTATATCAAAACAATTTTTTTTACCATTTTTACTGGCAGATAGCTGATGTAATAAGGAGTAACTTAGGCTACTTTTATTTTATAAAATATATTTATTTACATTCCACGCGGACGAAGACGCGGGTACAGCTAGTATTAAATATTCCGCGACCATTTTGGCCGAATAGCCGAATATTAGCAAAAATATCCTGGCGGGAAAACTTGTATCGACGGGATTGTTTCTCGTTCGTTGTTTCCCCTCCCTCAAGTTTGGGTAATTCTCTGTTCTGTTTTTTTTTTTTAATTTTGAAGATCTAACTAGTAATAATGGATTACGACCTCTAAAAAGCCATTGCCTATACATACAGACATACTTAGAGGGCTATGTAAATGATGCAAAAAGTTTTGTGTGAAAAAAGACTAAACTGCACAACGCCAAAAAAATTTCACAAAAACTTGCACCATAATCTTTTATAAATTTTAATTAAGACAATAAAAATGCGTAAATTTTTTTTTAATTGTGTAGATAAAATTGTCGCAAAATATTTCGCCGCTAGGAGTTTGTGTTGGCGCATGAAGGAAGCTCATTAGATGAAGCTAAGCATTAAAAAAAAACCGAATTAGATTGGAAGATGTCTAAATTTTCGCGCGCTGTGAATATCGACCATTTAGATTAGTGGCTAGGAAGTGGCCGAACAGGATAAAAATTGACGGATATTCGTATGATTTACACCCTTTAGTACTGAAGTCATCTAATAAAATATCACTAGAATTCTAGACAGTACCTTCCTCGTCACAGTATTTTATTATGCGATAAGGTGGCAAACGACACGGCGGTTCACGTGATGTTAAGTGTTCCCCGCCGCCCATAGACATTTGCAACACCCGTAGGGTTGTTGTCTTAACTGCGCCGCCATATTTAAATAAAGTGGGTCCCGGCTACCTCACTCACCAGACGAAACGCAGAAGTGTACGGGCGCGTAAGTGTTGACCGGTGTAAAGTAGGAGTGTAACACTTGCCTACCTCAGCTAAAGGTCAAGGTTGTGGTCGACTTACTACCAGAACCCAAAGTCCAAGTAATACGACCGCGCGTAATACAACAAACCAAATCTCTTTATTGAATATAGAAGCGTTACACTAACTTATTGATGGTTAAAACGCTACCACCGGCTCGAGAGGAACCCGCGGAAGAAACTCGCCGGGACTTTTTTCTTTATCATTATTTTTTTTTTTTACCAAAGACACGTTTACAAAGAGCCGTGTCGTTCCCAGACCGTGAAGCCGAACGGGTTCCGCGTGGGCATGAAGCTCGAGGCGGAGGACCTGCAGAACGCCATGGTGTGCGTGGCCAGCGTGGCGGACATGCTCGACCACCGGCTGCTCGTCAGCTTCGACAGCTGGGATCGAGCGTACGACTACTGGGTTGACCCCGGCTCGCCGTACATACACCCGGTGGGGTGGGCGCGGGAGAACGGCCACGCGCTCACGCCGCCCAACGGTGAGTGGACCCCCCCAACCCCCCAACCCCCCCGCCTTTTGTTTTCAACCCGACTTCCAAAGGATAGGGTTCCCGACTTCGATGATCCTTTGTTTGATTTGAAAGCCGGTGCTTCCCATGTGGTCCCATGTTAATTTCGTTGGTGTTGGATCTGGGGCTCAGGAGATGCGTGGGGGACTTCTGAAAATCAATTATGAAATGAATGCAGAGCGAGATATTTGAAGTCGATTTTTTTTTTCGTCGGTAAAAAAAATGGTGATTGCCTTTCTCTTTCGACCGACTTCGATATGGGAGGCTCTCAATTTGGTGTTGCATTTCATCACCTCGCAATTCCGTCATTTATGAATCGTATGTTAAAATTACTTTCGCATTGGATTCGCTTTATCATATTAAAGTAATGTAAATTAAGCTATACGTCCCACTGCTGAGCAATGGCCTCCTCTGTATAGAGGGTGGGTATAGAGCATAGTCCACCACGCAGCCCCGATGCGGATTGACCGAGCATCACATATGTTTGAAATATTTTCTTTCTTGTTATTACGAAAATATGGGGTTTCCTCACGATGTTTTCCTTCACACCTGAGTAAGAATTAATTGAGCACTTAAAATTAACAATTTCATCGGTTGCAAATTGAATTTATAGCGAGCCCAGACAATGAGCTCTCACGGCACTATTTATCTTATCATTATTTATACAGGGAGGCTTTTCTAAGTGTATCCATTTTTTTTTATTAAATTCTAGACATAAATAATGTTATATTAAAAATGATAAATATTTAAAATCACTCATAATTAATCTATTACATTCATTTGAAATTATCTCAAAAAGTGCGTGATTTATGGGCACCTCATCTTATCCTTTAAACGAGCAATTCTTGTATATATATATATATATATATATAATCGGAATCTCGGAAACGGCTCCAGCGATTTTCATGAAATTTAGTATGTGCATAGATTCCGGGGCGAAAAATCGATCTAGCTAGGTTTCATTTTTAGAAAATGTCCTTTTATCCCTGTTTTCAGGGAATGAAAAATATAATTCGAATATGACGGTAAATTTCGCCGCAAGAGAAAATGTCATAATAGCTCAGTCGGTAATCGGGCGGCCCCAAAACAGACGGCCGTGGTTCGCGTCACGATCATTTACACATTTATTTTTTTACTTTTTTTTCGATTCCAGATCATTGCTTTCTTTATTTTTAATTTTTTGTCGATTTGTTATTTTGTTATTTTTTTAGAGCTTTTTAAAGTTGTTTCTTTTGTGAAAAACACCACTTCATATTTTCTTATTATTAGGTCGGTAAGATCCAAAAATTTTATGCATATTTCATTACTCAGTAATTTGTATCTAAATGTAATTTACAAAATACACGATTTACTAAAAAAAAAAAAACAAACCAAGCAAAGCTCGGTCCTCCGGGTACTTTATTTTACGCGCGATCATTCATAACTAACACGCACACAAGTTCGTTTCAAAAGTATACGACGGATTTATGAATGACTACCGCATTGTCAACAAGTTCTGTTTTTTAGGGAATAGAATGGCAATTTAAAAAAAATTGTGTTTATTTCAATAAACGATTATACTACCTACCTAGTCTGAACCTCCTATGGGAATTTGAACCTCAGGGCTCAGGAGATGCATCTGGGAACTCAAAATCAAATAGAAAACGAGTGACGTTCAAAGTCTGTTTTGTTCTTTGTTCATGAAAATGTATTTTTTTTTCAACACTTGTTCAGGGCAACGCGCCAGCTGCAAACTCGTCCGAGTTTCTTTCTTGTGGGAGATTATGTGTATTGTTTTCTTTCTGTTTTTTATACCGACATTAAACTTTACTCCAACCCAAATATATTGCCTGTTTTATATACCTATATACTGAGAAACCGATGAACTTCAAGAGACGTATTAAGGTCTAGAACGGCCAATACAAGTGCTAATTCCGTCACTTCAACTCTCTCGAATGGTGATGGATGGCTAAAAATATGATGATCATTTTGGCATCTCGTGAAGGAGATGCTTTAATACTCTTCTGTCTTACAATAACCGGTCACTTTCATTTTATTTCTACAGTTCATACAAGTTTATTTATTTATTCACTTAGTTGCACCAACAGAGTAGACACAGTCAAAAGTTAAAAAGAGAAACATAAGATTGGTGCTACTCCAATTTTAGGTTTTTTATAGTAACAAATTAATAATTAAATTAAAATTACCGCTACGAAATAAATGATTCATTACAATAAGAATAAAAATATAAGAAAGAAAACTGTCACACATTAATGACATAAGAAATATAGTTATATAGTAGTTTGATGCATTTAATATTTGAGAGTTTGAATAGAAGTAAATACATTAAGTAATATAATAGAATAAGTTGTCAGAGTTTTAATAGAATTTGTACGGAACTTATCATGGGGGCCGTGCCTTTCTTTTTTGGTGGGTTAAGAATAAAATCCATACTAATATTATAAATGCGAAAGTAACTCTGTCCGTCTCTCGCTTTCACGCCAAAAACTAAAGATAGGATAGCCTAAGAAAGGACATAGGCTATTTTTAATAGGAAAAAAGTGTTGTAAAGGTTGAAAATATCTTTCTTTAAAAATATATATAGATTTTAAAGAAAGATATTTATTTAAGGGCTTCAACGCGAGCGAACCCGCGGGCGAAAAGCTAGTAAATAATATATATTTAAGTGCGAGAATTATTAAAAAAGAACCGCTTGATATTTCGACCATTGTTACAGTTTGTGGTTAGTACATATCTCTTTAGTTCGTTTCCTCTCCGCGCAGTTGTAATGCGGTCCATTCGGCGATATGAAATGTTTAAATATTTCACAAAGAAACAAGTCCCGGGACACTATCGCCCGGTTTCTGAAACACTGATCATCGTAGATGTTAACTAATCAGCTGTCAAATGGCCTTTCAAATGTTATTTGAGTTGCCAAAAGTATTGTTAAACTCTCTGAATTGATCAGAACGATCTTCTTAATGATTAGAATGGGGCGTATATATATTTTTAACTAGCCGCTGCCCGCGACTTCGTCTGCGTAAAATAGGATGAAAGCGTAACATTCAGACAGAAAGACAGATATACATAAAAGTATGTATATGAATTATAGCCTACGTCTTATTCTGATCTATAAGCTATATTATTGTGAAGTTTCATTAAAATCGATTCAGTAGTATTTACGTGAAAGAATAACAAACATCCACCCATACATACAAACTTTCGCGTTTATAATATTAGTAAGGATAATTGGCATGTACCTATACGCCAGATTGGCATTGGTAGTAGTGAACCTTCCTCTTGCGCCAGAGGGTGTGAGTTCGATCCCCACTACTGGAAAAATATTGTGTGATGAACATATAGTGTTTTCCAGTGTGTTTATATATGTATAATACGTATTTATTTACAAAATAAAAGTATGTTTAAGTATGTGTATCAGTTTTCTAGTACCCATACTACAAAAGTTGCATAGTTTGGAACTAGAGAACGTTGTGTAAAAATGTGTCTGAACATATTTATTTAATGACAAATTAATTAGTGCATAGTAATATGGTAATATTAAACGCACGAGACAAATGTAAAACCTATTCTGTCTCGCTTAAAAACGTTCATATGGATAGTCTGTAATGACAGACTCTACATTTAAATATTTCCATTAGTATCCTCACTATACAGCGTGTCTTTACAATCGCGACAATAAATGTACACACATATAGAGGATAACTTTTTAAAATTGTATTAAACATTTACATTTTTCAAACATCAATATTTACCGAGTTATCAAATTTTCCAAAACAAAAAATATTAGAACACCCTTACGTATAAAACTGTAACGTTAAGTTCATTTGTAAAGGGCACAAAGTATATGAATGGGTTGAATGAATTTAAAAGAGACAAAACATACTGTTAGAAGGAGAGGCTTGTAATGCGACGTTTTGTGGCCACGAATGAAAAAGTCTCTGAATGTATGAATCAGTCAGTTGTAGTTGCATAGGATGTTACAAGTTTTGTTTATTTTTTAGTTAATTAGTTTGTTTGAAAAATATTTTTTTTAATTATGTATTTTTTTAACGTTAATATTTTTTATGATTATTGGCAAGTAGCGTTACACGTGTGTTCATTTACTGTCGCCGTTGTAACGACACGCTGTATATGTATAGTTGCTATGAATAAATAGCGACGTGAAATCGATCGCCGAATCATATTTTAATGAGTTTATCATCTTCTGAATGCGATGCTCTTAATATGTATACGACTGAGTTAAAAAAAATAAAAATAAAAATATCTTTATTCACATAGACGCTTGCGCGTTCTTATGAAACGTCAAAATTTTACAAGAAATTAACACGTTCGTAAGTTACCACCGGTTCGGAAAGCAGTTTCTGTTGAGAAGAAACCGGCAAGAAACTCAACAGTTGCTCTTTTTAAAAAAATCAGTTTACAATATAATAGTACATGTACAATAGTCTTGTTTTAGCCTACGTGAGTGAGTTGTCCCATCTACTACTGATATAGAGCTCTGGATGGAAATCGATTGTGTTTTCACATTTCGATCGAACATTCGACTGGAGTGAGGTGCGGCCATACGACCAATAAACAATAACATGAATTGCTAGACTTATGATTTAATAATACTCGGACAATACAGGGTACAGCGATCCATATACACTTAGGACACACATATCTAGGGCTACTTAGGGATGTCGATGTAAAAAATATCATTATCGGCCTCGATATATCGAAGAGAAAATATCGATATTTTCTTTTAGAAATTCCGTCGTCCAAAAAAAAAGTATGTCTAGTATTACCTAAATACATAAAAACGCACAAAATTGTTGCAACGCGCCGACATGATCCATCATTTGAAAACAAACACACCGTGTTCGTATATACTTTTATCTACTGTTAATTTTATTATATAATCTATAGTATGATTTTATTACTTTTTACTAAGATAATTCGCTAAGTAATATTTTTATGATGTAAATAATATGATGTCGAAAGTAATCAAGCTGATTTCTTTCCTCTTCAGTTTTGTTATAAAGTTGCTATAATGATTATCTATCTGCATTTATCTTTTCCTAGATTAAGAATTGGACGGTAAAATGACAGGTTGCTTTATAAAATTGATAATTAGTAAAATAAAATGGCCCGTCTCTAGATTTACAATATGTTCAAGTTTCTAGTTTATCAATTTTTCAATAAGCATATTTTGTAACGTGTTGTTGAGTTAAGTCTTATTAGAAATCTTTACTTTTCTAGTCTTACTTTTGCTGAAAAAGCGAGCGACCGAAATGTTATAAACTTTACTTTTGATAAAATAAAAACACAAAGTAATGATGAGGCATCTTGTATATGGTGTGCGACAATGAATTCGTCATTGATTAATTTTTCAACGTTAACATTTAACCCTTACAGTTAGCTTAGTAATAATAACGACATTTACTCAAAGATTTTATGAAATGATTTTCCAGGAGAAGTCTAAAATCATTTTAATGTTGATTAAATATTGATATTAAACTGCTTCCTGTCAGTCTGTGGGGGAGGCCCATGTTCAGCAGTGGATTCAAACAGTCTGAGATGATGAAAAATAAAGAGGGGGGTCATTTGGGTTTATGTCGTTTCACTTAATTAATCTTTTTCCTTCAAGAGGGATGATCTGCTCCCGAGGGCAGTCAGGTCTACAGTCTTATATAAGAGTACGGCGTTATAGAAGCGTCGTTTTATTCCATTCGAGTATAAGTGCCTTCAAGGTATCCAAGACGTTAATCAATACACTAGAGCAATAGCCTGTATTTCTGTAAAACAAATCACAAAACTATTGTAATGTATACAAACGAAGAATCTGATTAATATCACTCGGTGATCGACTTTACGACGATTTGTATTCATAGTAACTTTATACAGTGTGAATACATATGTGAATAAAAAGTTTGTCTTTCGATCCGATTGCAACCGACGTCTAGACGTTTTGAAGGCCGCCATTTGCGGGAAACGCACGCAACGAAGTCACTAACGAGTCAGGAGGTGATCGATTATAATATATTCTTGTTATACGTGTACGTCCCTTCGGTTTCGAAAAGGATTACGTGTTCAAGTCGCATTAAATTAGCTTCAAGCCGGCACTGGCGCGGCGTAAGGCCTATGTCAGCGCTTACTATGACGAACATACGCGAAACTGCAATGATTTTCTTAAAATGTTTCAGAGTAAAAAAAATCTTTTTTTTCTCCTTATTTTTTTTCTAAAAAAGACACTACCCTTTAAGATAACGTTATCCTGTGTTGCAAGGACGTTTCACAAACATAAATTTCACGCGGACGAACACCCAGCTGCGAAACAATTATCTGTGGGTCACACAACCAGTTGTCCCATGTGGGAATCGAACCCATGAACCTCGACGACGAAGCCTTAACTGATCGGCACTGCTATATCGACAGAGGAAGATAAAAGTATTTCAATTAAAGCAAAGCATGTATTTTTCCCACCCTTGAATATAAAATATTCAATATCAAAATCGTCGACGACAGATTCCGTACACTCAAGGAGAAAATATCGATATATCGAAAATATCGATATATCGATATTTTCTCTTCGATATAAGGGGGCCGATATCGTTTTTTTGATCATCGATATATCAATAATTATAAAATCAATCGTCAACCCTAGTCACAACAAAAGTATAAGGATGCGAGAGCTTGTATTTAAATTTAAACTTATTACAACTGCCTCATTTCATGTATCGAATATAGTTTTTTTTTTGTTGTTTGTGTTCCCTCGAAACACGGCACACGCACAGTCTTCATGCTTGTCACTGTTTGCGTACAAACAGGAATGTCCCTGCTATCAACGACGCGCCGCCCTCAATTTCCCTCGACGGGTGCGCTCGTACCAAAAATCGTATCGCCGCATTTACTCGGTGCGTTCGAATTTCAAATTATTACTTTCCATTGAAGGAATGCGCTTTATATTTGTTTTCTTTTTGTTTGTGGCCAGTGTCTATATCTCAACTGTGTGTTTTTTATCTGTCGTTAATAATTTGATTTGATAGAAATAACATGTTAGACACGTATATGAATTGGTGCCTTCAAAATATTCCTGTCCAGCTAGAAGCGCTGTTTGTTTTCTTTTTAATTGTTTATTGCTTCGATTGTATCTTCTATTAATAATCTGGGTCGTTACGAGTTCATTCCTCTGTTTTTAATGGAGGATACAAATAAGTAATGCATTGTGGTCTGGTTTGAATGTAACATTATTGAGGGCGCAAAAACAAATTCATATAATCTGCTGTTAAGCAATACGTGGCTCTTAACAATGTTAATAGGTAAATTATAATTTGCAATTACTCTTAAACTAACACAGATAGACGTAAGAATTATTTTATATAAGGAGAATTGTTTGAAAAGTAAAAGGTAAGCCCCCCAAACATCTAGAAACACAAATGAACGTAGGTATATCATTAAAAAGTCGTAAAATATTATCGTTAACAAAGCAAAGAAAGTATCGCTTCCCTAACCAAAATTGATAACTCTACGTACCCTATAGGTTTTGGCCCGAAAACTTCCCGCTGTCATAGAATCACGAAATTTGGCAAAAAGCAAGGAACAAATAAAGGAAAAATTCCGAAAAATAAAAAAGTTGAAAATTAAAGTACTCGTGAAAATCTATCCTTGATTTTTATACACCTTATAGGGTCTACAGACCTCAGTATCTGGTATAAATTTCAACTTGCTAGGTCCACCGGTTCCGGAGAAAGTCGGTGGTGATTATTTACCAATTTCATAATGGCGGTCTAATGGGTACAGAACCCTCGGCGCACGAATTCGACTCTCACTTGAGAGATACAGCCTGGTGACAGACGGACAGACAGATAGCGGAGTCTTAGTAATACGGTCCCATTTTACCCTTTGGGTATGGAGCCCTATAAAATGGGGCGCACAGAACGTCTGCCACTGGCATCGAACCCACAACCAGGCTATGGCGCCCGACAACTTGCCGGTGAGCTATCGCGGCTCCATTTTTAATTCCCCGCTCGGTTGTTCGCCGTCGTCCAATATCAGTTGTCGGCGCTCGCTCGCCAAGGCGGCCGTATGTCGTGTTCACGTCGAATGCGACTCGTAATTATCGCAGAACACACGTCTCTTGTGACGCTTAATACTAGAGTGATAATCTATGCTCGTCCATTGGTTACCAGCTCGGTTGTTCCGTGAGCTTCGAAAAGATGTGTTTTGTTTACTCGCGACTGTCTCGTTTATTGGATGTCGGCGTTGATAGCGGGGCCGATTTAATCGATTCCCACTTAGGCTATCTACTTTGTTTTGTTATGAATTATGTTTGATTGTATAGTTGCCGTATAGGGATAGATGCGGGTGAATACAAAAGGCCTACACTAACATTATGGGAGCCTATTGATGTTATACCCCGGGAGTACGAAAACCCAAGTTTAAAAAAAAAACACCGGATGCCTTACAATTGGAAAATGCTCTATAGTGTAAGTCGTCGTGATAAAGATTTGGGATAGTTGACTTGACTAACAAACTCTTTTCATACCAACTAGCATAACAGACTTTTTTTTTTCTTAGCACTCAGAACGTTCACCGTTGCATTATCGTGCGCGGACTGTAATTTATTTGAGGTCATCCACACAATTAGCGGAACGCAAATATCAACATGTTTTATAATTGCTTAAAAAATACTTAAATGGTCGACGGACTGTGTCGCGGCGGGACCGACCCCGCACCGATATACCCCAGTTACATTCAATTAACTCTACGCCTTGCGAGTTGAAAATAACGAAGTGCACAAAAAGTGTTTTAATAACTTTATGCAGAGTAGTAATTAGTAGTACATCGCGCTGAGTAACCGTGTCTGTATCATTTATTACGCGGCTGCTTATGTCTGGCTTGGGTTGTGTAGCAGTGCCTCTAGAAATTATTTTTCATTTTTATTTTGCTCCTTTGTACGGCATCTGTATAGTCGGCGAGCGTGCAAAACAATCTCCCGATAAAGGGCGACCAACAAACGAATTTGACAATCGCTCCTGATTTTCAAAGATGAAAATATCCATTTAGGTAAACAATGCAAACATAGCATATATGTCATATATTCGCCTCCTTACTGATGAATCTTTAATAATTATACTTTTTTTTAAGACTACTTTATCCTGTGTTGTAAAGACGTTTTACATACATAAATTTCACGTGGACAAACACTCAAATCCTTATTTACGATCGCTTTTAATCATAAAGGTATATTTTATGTAGACAAAAAATTTTTACCCGCCTATACTGGGGCCATTGCCTATACCATTTCCGGTATATAGGAAGTAGTTATTGTTTTTGTAACTTAAAAAAACATCCTAGTTTTGATTGTTCCCAGCGTCTATAAAATTAAATTTTATTTGCTGCTTTGTCACACGTTCAACATTTAAGAAAACCGGTCTTCTTACTAAAACATACTTTTTTGAATTGCTGATATATTTAATTTTTTACCCTGTATAAATTACTTTTATTTTCGGCAAAGGTTTTTCGCAATCGGGCACTCTATACAATGATTTTTATTATTTGTACAACGTTCTAAACATCTAAACATTACTACATTGGCAATTTACTACTTGCATTGCATATGCAATATAGCATGCGTGGGAAGTCGACGGATGCAGGTGACCGTGCGGTAGGTCGGAAACATAGTTTCAGCAGTGGACTCTAAAAGGCTGAACTGATGAGGATGATGCAATAGTTCAAATGAACAAACGCAAAACGCATCAGTTACGATAGGTGAAATTAAACTCGGAGGTAATCACAAAGAGGGGTTATACGAAATAATTTAGCATTATCGTCTAGGGCACTAAAATACTCTTCATCCAGACTGTGGTCCATATCACGGAACGTTTTCCGTGCACAATACGTCCATTAATTTGTGAAACACGCAACAATGTTACGTAGTCTATATGTTTCCCCGCAGACTATAAGGATCCGGAGCGTTTCACCTGGGAGGCGTATCTGGCGGAGACGGGGGCGTCCGCAGCGCCCCCGCGCGCCTTCCGCCCCCGCGCCCCCCAGGGCTTCAAGCCCGCCATGAAGCTCGAGGTGGTCGACCCCAGGGTGAGTGGAACTAGTGGGGAGCAGTGTTAGTGTAATAAATGCAGAAGTAGGGGGAACCCCCCTCCCGAACTAGATGGAGTGACGAACCGGTGCAGGTGTGCGAAGTCGATGGATGCAGGTGGCTCAGGAACGTGCTGCGTAGCGGACTCTGGGAGAGGCCTTTGTTCAACAGTGATGATGATTGTGAAATACAGAAGTAGTTCTGTCAATTTCTAACATGTTCAACTTCGAGTTTGCGCCGCAATCGTTAAACAAATTTGTAATCTGGAGCGGAGATAACTTATACTCAGTTAGTCATTGGGAACCGTTTAATCCTTTTATTTCGCGATTAAAATTACTTTTATAAGAACAGCCCGATTAGTTAACGCACCCACGAAAACGCTTTCAATTCAATGATAGCAATAAATACATTAGCATTGTGTTTAAAATACCATTAAAAACCAAATACATGTAGATGCTCTCAACCACAAAATCCACAAGATTATCTTTACCACCCACAGGTTTGATAATATTATAAAGAGGTAAACTTAACAGCTTCTCTTGAACAACAAATTTACACATTCAACACTTAGTAATTTTATAAATTATTTGCCGAAAATCTAAACTAAACACTGAAATCGTACTTAGGTCATTAAAAATAGCAATATTTGTGTGTATATTACCGCTCCTACACTCGCACCTTTATATATCAGAGCGGATTGACTTTGCAAAAAATGGGGTCAAGGTTGAGATTAAAATGAAAAGACAAGATTTGTAATTATAAATTAAATTTCGGACCATTGGCAAACTTAATTTACGTTGATTAGATTCACGGTCTCATTTCGATCATGACTCTTCGATATTTTTTTAATTTGTATAAATACGTTTAATTTTTTATTTCTAAACGGACAAAAACGGCACGGAAGAGTTAACGAAGCGTCACGTTACAGGCGTGGGGTAACTCGAGCATAAAATAATAATTGTTATTCAAGTTAGTTAAGTCAGACTTGATTAAATTTGTAAAACAAATACTTGGCACTAACAGATAATTTGATTGCCAATCTCTCAAAAACTCGATCAAAACACCAGTCCTATTGCTTTGTGGTCTTCATTTTTACCTTACAATAACGATTTATGTTGAAACACTCACTGTAATTTGTCATTGCGTCAAAGGTACTAAGCTCTTGCGATATTAATCAAAATGGCACTGAAGTGTGTGTATAATTAGACATTTTGTATAAAATCTGGCCAAGTGTGAGTCGGACACGCACACATGTCGTATATCTTGTGTCCATGAGATACAACCTGGTGGCAGATGGATGGGGGAGTCTTAAGTAATGGATTCTTTACAGGAGAGCACAAAAGCTTTTTATTACTTGATTTTCTATGAATGGGTTCATAATCCTACTCCTATTTTCCGTGCATTATAAAGAACTAAATTTTATTTATTTAATTTATTAAAGAAACAGCTTATACACATCCCACTGCTGGGCAAAGGGCTTCACAGAGGGCATCAGGGCACAGTCTACCACATGACCCCACTGCGGATCGGCGGAAAAACTTTATAATTACAATATCATGCGATTTCCCGCAACTTCAAATCGGAACCCTGTTTAACATGGCTGGTGCTTCCGCAGGTGCCGTTCCTGATCCGCGTGGCGACCATCGCCGAGGTGAAGGGGCACCAGGTGCGCGTCACGTTCGACGGCTGGCCCGACGAGCTCTCGTGCTGGATGGACGACGACTCGCCCGACCTCCACCCGGTCGGCTGGTGCCTCAAGACCGGCCACCCGCTCGAGCCGCCCCTCAGTCAGTATCGCGGCCTAAGCAGCCTCCCAACCGGAGGATAACCACATTTCGACAATAAGACGACAACCACTCTGTTATATAAATAAATGAAGATCGTTTGCGCAAGCAATGCATTAACTTACCATGACACCTTCGATTAGCCTCTGAACCCACATAGGTCCTTATGGACAATTTTCAATTCTCTCTCTCACTGAAGCCATACTTGTCAAACAAAGTTGTCTTTGTCACACATATCATCAGTTCCCCGGGGTTGTTGTAAGGCAAGCGGTCATTTTAAAACCTCGCAGAAGACCGACGTGAAGTGGAAGTGTTATACTTCTGCGTTTCGTATGGTGAGTGTGGTAGCTGGGCTTTCGCAACCCATCAGGTGTTGCAAATTTCCACCGGCGGGGTTGTCCACTTAACATCGGGTGATAAAGCCAATACCACTAACAACATGACTCGTACGGGCTAAAGGCAATGGATTGTGATGATATTCATTTGATTTATTTTACTTCACCTCCACGTGCGGTATGTCGCTCTGCAGCTATGGAGGAGCTGCGCGTGAGTGGGCCGTGCGGCGTGGGCGGCTGCCGTGGCCTGGGCTCGGTGAGGGGCGGCGCCCACAAGCAGCACGCGGCCGCCTCCGCGTGCCCCTATCGGTCGCGGCTGCCGCTAGACCCGCCCGACCGCCTCGCCAGGTGGGCCACGTTCATCAAAGGCCCATAAGGCAGTTTGTCCAAATGTTGCTACCTGCACTCTCTGACCCAAACGCGTACTAATAACTCAGTAGCTAACCAAGATTACTGATACGCACAATTCTATAAAACCTGCAGACATTTCATAAAGGAAATGAAAGACAACACCTATCCTATAAGTATATGAGCATTAGGTAATTCAGAATCATACTTGACTTGATATTATATTCTTCAGGACCTGACGTGTGTATGATATATCTTATACCATCAATAAGATAATTATGTAAATAAATAAAAATTGCACTTTGATCAAAAATATGTAAATCTTATATTCTTTTTATCATACACAAAAGTAGATGAAATTAAATAATATAATAATAGACAAAATAATGGACAAATGAAAATACTTGATTAAAATACTGTAGTAAATCAAAGACAAAATAACTTTTGTGCACAAAATCCATCAATTTCCTAATAATGTTGTACATAAGCATTTACAGTGCTTATGTTGTACAATAAGCAATATGCAGCATTTGTAAAATGTACAATCTCTGTTTATCTAAGTAGGATTAACAGTCATGGAGGTGACATACGGAATCTGGTTTAATTATTGTTTTTATTACAGTGTGTCAGCTAAATCGCACAAGTCTCAAGTACAGAGCGGCACTCCGACCAGTGACATGTTAAAAGAAAAGTAAGCATTTGCCGATGACTTAGTAATTCATGTCACAAATTAAAAATGTTAAATGAAACAGAAATTAAATGAAATATTTTATTGAATAAAATAAAAAGGAATAGCAGAAACAATGTTGAATTTATTATGTTCTAGTGTTATAGGAAAAGTGTGGTATAAATAAATTAATTTTTACAATTGTTTCAGGTTACCAAGGGGGCGACCACCAAAACATAAACGAGTTGAACTTGCAAAAAATGAACATGTAAGTAAATCTATTGTATACAGTGTATCGTTACAACCGCGACAATTTAATTCATTCAACCTATTTATATTTTTTGTGACCTTTACAAATGAACTTTACGTTACATTTTTATACATAAGGGTGTTCTAAAAATGTTTGATTTGTAAAATTTAATAACTCGGTAAATATTGATGTTTAAAGAATGTAAATGCTTAATACAACTGTAAAAAGTTATCCTCTACATGTGTGTTCATTTATTATCGCGGTTGTAACGACACGCTATATATACACTACTCTAATGAAAAATATTTAAGTAGCTTTAGAAAATTGTAGCAAAATTCTAGGTTTAACATAGTATTTCTAAAGATATATCAACATTACATAAAAATATTTACTAAATACACTAATAAGTTCATTGAAATATAAAGTTGTTTTTCTAGAAAAAATATATAATTATTTGTCACAAGAATATATTAAAAGAAAAGATATTATTTCATTAACATGCAAATAAACTCCGGTGGTAGGGCCACGCAACAGTGTTCACTGTTGCACGAATGGGCAGGTCCGTCTGGGTACCACAACCTCACAGAAAGTAGAAGTACATTTCTGCATTCTGTCTGATGAGTGAGGTAGCTGGGGCCCACTTTATTTAAAGACGGCAACGCATTTGCACCTTTGGGTGATGCAAATGTCCATGGGCCGCGGTTATCACTTTACATCAGGTAAACCGCCAGCATGTTTGCTACTTTGCCACAAAAAAATTTAGCCAGCATATTCTGTATAGTGATAATTTTATTCAGTTCAAATAATCCCAATTTTATTTAATTTAAATTGCTTATTGAGTACCTGAGCTTCAGAATTATATCCAATAGGGTCCAAAAAATCTAAGGTCTATAACATTTAAACAAGCTGATTTAAGATTTGATATTAATGTTTATGCATTACCTATTGCTGTCTTCAGGGCTCTGATGATGAATCACTATCAAGTGGTGCTGGTGGCACAGGCAGTGGGATGGGAGGTAAGCGTTGGAGGGGCAGCACTACCAGCGAGTTGGCAGTGCGGTCGCAGGCATGGCCCCGACCTGCCGTTCCGAGGGCGCTTCTTGCAGCACATGTGGCGGAACTATCATTGCCATCAGACCCAGTATCCTGGTCACAGGTCTGTCATTATATATCTATTTAATCATTTCAACTTTTATAATGCCTCATTTGGTAAAATTTTGAAATTACTAAATATATTATGTTGCTAATATTAAGAGAATTTGATATTACCTTACAATCTCTACTCAAACTAATAATTTTGTCACACAATAGGTTTCTAAGAAATAAAATTCTGAAATCAATTCAGTAGTGAGATAGACAATCACTTATGTGATAAATAAATCATATTTAGAAAAAATGGAAAACTTGCTAAATTAGATTGCTACATAGTTTTTAAAATAATACAGACATTAAGAACCTTAATTTACTTTAATCATTAACCTAGTTTAAATTTACACTACACATTTGTATTGGCTTTGGCGCTGGAGGTCGTTAATTGGATTCCATACATATTGTTTCGGATCTGGCTGTTTGTCTATGTGATATTTATGTATGTAAAATGCCCTTACCACACAGGATAATGTTATCATACAGTAAGGAGCAATACTTTGAAGGGAGACTACAATTGATATTTTAGGTTGCAATGTTCGATTTCATTAATTATGAAACATTAACAACAATAACACCTCTGAATGAGTTGATTGCTCGTAAGCAATTTCTAAAAGAATTAGTTTTATAATATTTTAATGTTTTGATGTAAAAATGACAAAAAGAGGATAGCTACGGAATTTATTTCGTCTGTTTTTTTTTTTTCGTTAAAGAGACCTCATTACGAAACGGTGGTAGATTTAGAGACAAAAACAATCGACATATGAAATGTATGTTTGTTATGTCGATGAATAAATAATTTTTACATCGTTAAACGCAGAGCGAGGTGGCGGCGCTGGTGTCGCGCGTGGCCGGCGCGGCGGCCGGGGCGGCGGCGGCGGCGGCGCGGCTGTCGGGCGCCGAGCTGCTGATGGCCTCGTGCGAGGAGCTGGTCGCCTGCCTGCGGCTGCGGCTCGGCCCCGCCGTCAAAGTGTACGCGGCCGTGCGCCAGCTGCGCGACTCGCTCACGTGATCACGGCCCGCGGCGTGCCGCGCCATCACCGTTTTTATATGACTCCGCTGCGGACCGCTGCTCTGTGACGCATGCGTTTCTAAAGTGCAGCAGAGCGCGACCGCTCTCACCGCAGAGACTTACCCCGTGTTAGTGCATGTGTTCAGTGCCGTAGGAGTATGCCCGTCGCGGCATAACTTGAACCGAACGGCACCCGTCCTTGCCAGAACCGTTTAGCATATAAATATTAATTTGAAAGAATATTGGGATAGGGTTTAGTGAGCAACATTGGTACAATCTTTGGTTGAGTGTGTCCAGCAATTTGCAATAGACTTTAGCATAACCTTGAACTGCCATTTTATAGCAAGTTATTAGTTGTTCTATGTCTATGTGCTGTGTATTATTTTTAGTTCCCATTCATTTGGTTGCCAGACCACTGAGTAGAGGTAATTTATTATTACATGTCACTCAATTATAATACATATTTAGCATTCTTTTAGGTATGTATTAAGGTTGGTTTAGGTTACTGAGAAGAAGCTCTAAAATAATTTATTTTATCATAATTTACAAGTTATGTTTGAAGTTAGGTTAAGTTATAAAAGCTCAATGGTATATTTTATGAAACTGTTGAGAAACTATTATTAATTGAGTGCATAAAATATGGTGATTTTTCCAATTCATTTCTACAAGAAAAATGAATGCAATTCACAAGTTACCATGTTGAAATGAACATTAAAGATTTTGTACTAATCATATATTATTGTCAAGTGTTATATTTACAATTGACTATGTTGTTTTTGTGACACGGGAGGATTATCAATTAATATATTATTGTAGTGAATTATTGGACATTAAGATAAAAAAGTACTTCTGAAAGACTGTTTCTGTGCTTAAAGTATATATTAAACACTTCTGATATTCTTTTCATATAAATTAAGATGTATTTGTGTAAAACTGAATGATCAATATTTTCACATTGTAGATTCGATATAATACCATTTGGGGTCAATTTGCTGACAATAGTTATAATTTAAGCTACATGTTGTTTATTTGCCTTAGCTATATGAACAAAATTAGCACAAAATGAGAACTAAATGTGAGTCAGGTACTGAGGTTGTGATATTTTCAAATTGGTTAGTAGTGTTATGATTAATTCATGTCACAACAAACTTTTATTTGTCACAAGATGGATTTTACAAACAGCTCTTTGGGCGTTCTCATTTCTCACGTTTATGACATATGAATATTAAACTTCTGATGTGTATAATATTAGCAGGTTAAGAACTAGCTGAGCCAGGTACTGAGCCAAACCAAAGATGGCAAATTATAATGTATCAATATCAGATAATATACACACCTCTCTGTAAATAGGTTTTATACCAAAATGCATATTTTGGTTAGTCATGTTTCTGTTAGTAGATGTGTAAATACATAGTCTATAAAATAGTGCAATCTAGTTGGTTAAGACTATAGATATCATATTAAATTATGTCTTGAATATACATGGACAAATTGGACTGGAGTAAATAAAACTGATGTGAAGTAATGTCAGATCTCTACATCTTTTGATGTTGGTTCTGTTGATGAGCTTCTAAATCATGAAATATCATGAAGTCATGAATTTTTCATCTAAAATTTGTCGTGAATGGAATTTTAGATGAATTTCCTTTATGACAATAGTTTTAAAATATCTTTATCTTCCCATATTTTTATTGTTTACTTTAGATTTTTCTCATTTATGGCGTATTGTAAATACTTGAAGTATTTTATTGCATCAGCATTAAAAATGTGTACTTATTTTATTTTATTCAAGGTCAATAGAGTCAGAATATTATAAAATTTTAAAACTAACAAATTGTTGCCGTCTCAAATTCTTGCATTTATAATATGCAAACAAATAAACCATGAAAGTGCTAAGTATTTGTAAATTTAATATAAGTTAGTTTTATACAGCTTATCTATGTGGGTTTTCCAAATTTTTGTAGTGCCTTCTGGGAAATGAATAATCATACAGTATTAATTCTTTTCGCATTGTGGTTATATATATATATATATATATATATATATATATTATTTTTTTTATTTTCTTATTATCAGGTGGCTGTATGAAATATTTAATTCAAATCTTGACTCATAATACAAGTTAAAATTGAGGAAATAAATTCAACTGGAGGCATCATATATATGCATAATTATATGGATTTATGATTTCAATTGCTTTTTTGAAATTATATTTTCTGTTCAGCTTTTAAAATATTTTTGTGTGCCTCTTAAAATTAAATTCTCTATGTAAAAATCTTACATGGAATTGTGAACTTCAAATTGTTACTTATTGTTAAGATTTGTATATAGTGAAATGTTTGTATAGGTTACACTATTTTTGCAGTGGCCATGTACAGAGTTACTAATGATATAGTGTAAGTTTTTACACAACATTTAATGCTAAGGAATGTGCCATTTTCACTGGCACAGGCTATTCTAATCTGTTGTTCTGTAATTTAATATAAATTGTCAAATGAATCTTTGTATTTTTTTTTCTAAAATATGCCAAAATTTTACACACTAGGTAGGTTAATAAAGACAGCCTTTTTTAGCCTTTAACGACCCGAATGGCGTTGTGGGTAGTATACCTGCCTCCTGCGCCAGAGGGTGTGGGTTCGATCCCCACAACTGGATAAATATTGTGTGATGGACATAGTATTTTTCTAGTGTCTGGGTGTTAATATATGTATAATATGTATTTATTTACAAAAGAAAAGTATGTTTATCAGTTTTCTAGTACCCGTAGTACAAGCTTTGCTTAGTTTGGGACTAGAGAATGTTGTGTAAAAATGTGTCCTTAAATATTTATTTATTTATTATGGTACGTTAACTACTATAAGTTCCCTTATGCAATTATAAGGCAGTTCTAAGTCGTGAGTTGGACTTAAGTAAGATTACGACGCCGAAGGCAGTTAAGGTAAAGTGTTTGCTACAATTTCTCAATCACATTCGCCCGTTACCGTTCTCAAATAAGAATATAGATGGCGCTTTTATAATTTTAATATTTTATAACCTTTTCCAGTTTTTTATTATTTTATTGTAACCAATTATTTGCATGCAATTAAAAACTCTTTTAATGATGCCAAAGAAGTATAACTTAGTATTGCACAATCATCGATTTACTGGCTATCGATAATACAAACCTATCGAGGCTATCGATAGTACCAATTTCAAATATTTATTTGCCTTAAATAGGGTTACAATGATTATAGGTACATATCTGTCGCTTTAACCTATTTAGCCGTTTAACAGCATGCAAATTTAGCTTTAGCAATTGAATTACTATGCCGTCGTCAAATTAACAAAAATATAGTAATAGTATTTAACATAATAAAATCAATACAAAAAAAATAATAAATTTTGTCCCAGTAGTTATAAATGTCATTACCATTATCGTACTCTAGAGAGTCTAAAACTATATCAAATACTTTACATAACCATACAAATAGTATTATAATAGAAGGATGTTGTGGTGTTAAAATGAAAATATCTAGTTAAAATACATAAAATTTGTCAAAAATTTTCAGAATTTAAATATCACTATAATCACATCGTCTAAATCGATATTTTTGTCAAAAACTAATGGAATTTGCAGTACTATCGATAGTATTGCTGTTATCAATAGTATTGCCACTTGCAGGGCTATCGATATTGTCGGCAGTATTGACACTTGACAATACTATCGATAGACTACCGATACTATTGCTTTTACCTTAACTATCGATAGCAGACTATCGATATGCAACACTAGTATAACTTCTCACGCGCGAACATAGGTACACGCATCCATTTTTTTTGTAATGGCTTCAATCTATGAGAAGGGATATGCGGAAAACAGAATCAAATCAAAAATCAAAATCAAATGTATTTATTCAACATAGGAGCATTACACTCACTTATTGATAGTCAAAACACTACTACCGGTTCGGAAAAGAAAGCCACTGTACTGAGAAGAACCGGCGAAAGAAACTCAGCGGGCTTTTTTTTTTTTTTAATAAGCAGTTTGACATAAATTCGTTAAAATACAATATAAGAACTCCGATTGAAAGAGCCTGGAGCGATCAGTTCATTACCAGAGTGTGTTATCATTTAAATAATCATTAATATTATAGTAGCCTTTAACACACAAACGTTCTTTTACTATTTTTTTAAATTTAGCTATTGATGCATTTTGAACGTTTTCTGGAATTTTGTTGTAATAACGTATACATTGTCCCATAAAAGATTTACTTATTTTACGGAGTGTACTTGTGGGTAGGATCAATTTATTTTTGTTCCTAGTATTTATATATTTTTATGGACATACAAAACATTTTCAAAAATGTATTGAGCAGCAACGGTCAATACCTTTATCTCTTTAAACAAGTTTCTTAACGATTCTTTGGGGCCCAGATTGTAAACTGCACGAATAGCTCTCTTTTGTAAGATAAAGATTGTATTAATGTCGGCCGCGTTACCCCAAAGCAGAATGCCATAAGACATTCTACTGTGAAAATAACTAAAATATACCAAGCGAGCCGTATCAACATCAGTTAACTGTCTTATTTTTTTGACCGCGAAAGCTGCTGAGCTAAGTCTACTCGCCAGTCTATTAATATGGGGGCCCCATTGCAGTTTGGCATCAATAGTTATGCCAAGGAATACAGTTGAGTCAATAGGGTCCAACGCTTCCCCATATAAAAGTACATCAGTTTTTACATGTTTAACATTGGAGGAAGTTGTAAATTTAATACATTTAGTTTTTTTATTATTCAACAGTAAATTGTTAGCACTAAACCAATGTACTACAGTAGATAGAGTATTGTTTACATCGTCATAACTTAAAGAACGTCGGTTTACTTTAAAGATTAAAGAGGTATCATCCGCAAACAATACTATCTCATGATTATTATTAACAAGATAAGGTAGATCATTTATGTAAATGAGGAAGAGAAAAGGCCCAAGAATAGATCCCTGCGGGACCCCATATTTACCAAGGCCCCGGGAGATCTCTTGCCATTCACGTCAACTCTCTGAATTCGATGGCTCAAGTACGATTTCAGAAGATTGAGTGCGGCATCTCTTATACCATAGTGGCGTAGTTTCCTGACCAAGGTCTCATGCTGTACACAATCGAAAGCTTTGGTTAAGTCACAGAATATTCCTAAGGCATCCTGCGACTTTTCCCAGGCTTCAAAAATATTCATAACGAGCTGAACACCCGCATCAGTTGTTGAGCGACCCCTAGTAAACCCATATTGCTTGTTATGTAATAAATTATGAGAGCTAAAATGCTGTAACATTTGATTCAACATGATTTTTTCAAAAATTTTACTAAGAGTTGGTAGTACAGAGATATTCTAAAATTATTGGGGTCGGAAGTACTACCAGATTTAAACACCGGAATGATTTTACTATGTTTCATAAGGTCAGGAAATTCGCCACGATTGATACAAATATTAAAAATAGTTGCTAGGTAAGGTGATATTACATCAATAATAGAACTGATCACCTTAACCGAGATCCCCCATAGATCTGCAGTTCTTTTAACATCTAAAGTTTTAAAAGTTTTAACAATTTCTGTCTTGTTTACAGTAGTAAATTTAAAGTTGACTTTACATTCCATAACATTCTTTTTTAGTAATGACTCAGCAACTGTCGGTGAGGAAAGAAGTGACTTGGTTGTTGAAACTGGAATGTCAACGAAAAATTTCTCGAAGAAAGTAGCAGCCTGTTGATTTGAGTTAATAGAATTATTATCACTAGTTAACATTAGGTCAGATTTGCGCTTCGTGACTCTTCCCGTTTCGCTATTAATTATTTTCCAAGTCATTTTGATTCTATCAGGTGCATTTTTTATTTTATTTCTAATATATAGAGATTTAGCAGTATAACAAGCTTTTTTAAATATTTTAGAGTAGGCACTAACCATAAGAAACAAAACATTGACTATGATTGTATGTCCTTTCACTATAAAGTTCATACATTCTACGTCTACTATTATGAATTCCGACTGTTGCCCATTCATTGAAAACTACAGAGCTTTTAGGTTTGACTGTCTTAGGAGTAAATATAGTATTAAATTCCACTTTAATTAAATTAAATAATATGTTGTAAAGTGCATTGGGACTATCATTATAAGGTAGATACGTTAGCTTTTTTGTTATATTACTTCTAAACTTCTCAACTCGAGTTCTATTTACAGGAACAACCATTATTTTTTGTACCTTAGCACTACTATTTTTTATATATGATTTAAAAGTGGCAAGTTGTCCGCAATGGTCTGAAGTAAATATATTAATAATAGACTTGTTAATTGGGTTACAGTTTGTAAATATGTTATCTAAACAAGTTGCGGAAGAAGTAGTGATTCTAGTTGGTTCAAGGAATAAATTGGCAAGGTTATATGAATTTAACAATGATCTGAATCTAATAGAGGTGGTAAAATTTTCTAATAAATTTATGTTAAAGTCACCACAGACAATAATATATTTATTAGACTCAGATAACTTCAACATCAATTCTTCCAAAACATTTTCAAAAGATTCATATAACGCACTAGGAGATCTGTATACGCATACAACAATGAATTGCTCAAGCTCCACACAGGCTATTTCAATAGTCTGCTCAACAGAGAGGCTCACAACATCTTTGCGGTTCTTAAATTTTAAAGCATTATTAATAAGTATAAGAGAGCCACCACGTATCGCTTTTTCTCTGCTGAACAGACTAGCAACCTGGTGACATCTGAAGTTAAATATGTACTGGTAGTTTAATAGCCAATGTTCAGTAATACATAATATATCAATATTGTTACTGTTCAAAAATAACTCAATTTCCAAATCTTTACTTAACATTCCTTGGATGTTTTGATGGACCAGGCTAATACAATTTAATTTAATACTACAATTAATGTCTTTAGACATATTTCAGACACTCGCATATTGCATAATGGGGCGAATACAATGGTTCAAATCCGTCGGCAGGAAGATAGCTCACCTACTGGCTAGAGCGTTTCAAATTCTTAGGGGCGAAAAACATTTCGTCCAATTTTGAAAAAAAAAATTTTTTTTTCTTATTTGATGAAGTTTTCATTTCTGTCGTGTAGTTTTTAGCACACACAATTTTTTATACTTCAGGAAAACAATCTATTTTATGATATTTTTTTTTTGATTAACTTCATTTGATAATCTTTCCATTAGTTTTATCTGTGAAGAGAATGAATAATGACGCTGATTGGCTTATAGGTCCTTGATACCGAACCTTAAAAAAAATGCAATGCTGTTTTGAAGTTTCAAAAGTTGAAAATATTTTTTTAATCTGTTCTATTACAAAGTTATACTAACAACAGAACCGTGAGTTTTTTATTAGAAATAGAAAGAGATTAATGAGTTTCTGCGATTTAAATTTGAACTAAACCAGATTTATAATGGCTCTATATTGTGCAAGTAAGTTCTATATCATATAACACATTTCAAATGAAAGTGTATAAACAATTGGTGGGAGGCATTATCATGCCGGTTATTGCTTGAAATTTAATTAAAAAACATGTAAAGACCTTACATTCTAATAAATTTTTAAAATACTTTAATATCACTGATAACTTTTCTAAGAAATCTGGTGTCCTTCATTAAGGCGGCAAAACTTTTAGTTTATGGTGTAAATTCTAACCTATGCTTTGCTTACAGTATCAAATGAAGTACCAGAAGTGCCTGTTGTATCCCCATCGTCTGGTGCTGTTTTTGAGAAAAGGATCATAGAAAAATATATTATTGAAAATGGCGTGGATCCAATAAGCGGGAAAGAATTGAGAGTGGAGGATCTTATAGAAATTAAAAGTAAGTTTTGTAATAGGCTGTTAGTTTTAAATATTATTTACAATAAATTATTTTATATGATAAACTATAAATAAATTAGACTGCAATAAATATTATTAACATAAGCACCTACATCGTGCATTATATCTGAAAAGCTAGTAAAGAGGAAATCAATAGCAAAAAAATATATATTTATGTTTTACCTACACTTTTAGCTCCACCTATCGTGAAACCTAAGCCCCCAAGTGCTACTTCCATCCCAGCGACATTAAAAAGCATGCAAGATGAGTGGGACGCACTCATGTTACACACATTCACACAGAGGCAACAACTCCAAACAGCAAGACAGGCAAGTTGAAACAGAAAGACATCTTTTTATGTGTATCAACAGTTGTTTGTGGAAATATAATTGAAGAAGCCAATTATCTAGTGAAATGAGAATATACATATAAAATCAATCATGTTTAATCATACTTATGTACTATCCTTAATACAAAATCTTTATATTTTGATTGGGTACATAGTAATACATTGAGTATTTTTATTATAAAATCACTTTTGCTTCATACTGTTTGATAGCAACTGGTAATATTGTTTTTGGTAAACAGACTTTTCTATTATTCTTTTCACTCTTGCCTTATAAGAAACCTGTATTTTCATAATACCAAAATACTGATGTAGGTTGATGGTTTTACTTTGGTTTGTGCTTTGAGAGAAGTTGGCAAACAAGCTTGCCATTCACCTGCTGTTAAGTGATAACTGCCACCCTATGATATTTGCAACACTGTTACACTTCAGACTGGTCTTTTGTGAGGTTGCGGTATCTACCTGCCCATTCATACAACAGCACAGACTGTTGTATGGCCCTACCACCTTAAATCAATTATACATAATTAATAAAAACTTTCTCAAGACCAGAGAAATAATTGGATATTTAGCTATTTTACAATGTAAAAATAGGTAAAAGGCTTGAAAGATAACATAAAATATTGCAGGAGCTTAGCCACGCTCTGTACCAGCACGACGCAGCCTGTCGCGTGATCGCGCGTCTCACCAAGGAGGTGACAGCGGCCCGAGAGGCACTGGCCACCCTCAAGCCGCAAGTCGCCGTCGTTGCGCCCCAACCCACGCAAGTGGTGTGTTTTATAGCATTTATAAAGAAGCCCTTTTTACATTTTATTTTTCAATACATCTTTTTTTTATTCATATAAACATGGAATCATTATATGTCTTGCACCATATTACATATGAGATATTTCATTATTATTATACTACACTTATCACATGCTCAGCGGTGAAGGAAAACATTATGAGGACATCTGCATATTTTCGAACCGAAAAATGACAAAGAATTTAATCATTGATATTATTTCGAAGATAATGTGTGAAGTCGGAATCCGCGGTGGGTTCGCGTGGCGGCCTTTGCCCAGCAGTGGCACATGTCCAGGCATGATGATTGTGTTTGTGTGTCGTGACATGGTATACCCAGGCAAGAGTTACGTAGGGAGACTGTGTTCAATGTCATCCAATGGCACCCCCAGGCGGAGGGCGGCGCGGCGGCGGCGGCGGGCGGGCAGCCGGCGGTGGGCATGTCTGGGGAGGTGGTGGCGCGGCTGCAGGAGCGCGCCACGGCGCTCACGCAGGAGAGGAAGCGGCGCGGGCGCACCGTGCCCGAGGGGCTGCTGCCCCCGGACCAGATACGCGCCTTCATCACGCTCGCCTCGCACCCGGTACACCCCGAGCCCACCCCCGTTCAAATTCAAATGTCTTTATTCGACATAGCATTACACTCGCATATTGATAGTCAAAATACTACCATTACTACCTACATGGGCCTTGGATGCCACGTTTCGCCAGCTTGGCCCAGTTGCCAACGTTCTGCAAGTGTTGTGTGCACAGTTGGGTGTAGTGAACGGCTATTATGAGGAGCCGTAGCTGCTTGTGTAAACTAAGCGCAGTTGTGATACAAACATGTGCCATATATTTGCTTTGTTACAACATTAATGGAGCTAAGCATGCAATTAAAATCTGTATAAAATATTTGTCGTCAGAAAAGGGATGCGCGTGTAAAATCAAAAGAAAAATAGTTTAATTTCTTATTATAATATTCTTATATTAATTAATAATAAATTATTATTATTTTAAAAAATATGATTTAGTTACATACATACATATTTTATTTTCTTTTTTATTTGAAAAGTTGCCAAATGAGCAGACGGTTCACCTGATGTTAAGTGAATAACGCCGCCCATGGACATCTGCTACAACAAAAAGGTTGTCAACGTATCTGCAAACCCCCCGAGGGTTTGCAGATACGTTGCGTTGAAAACTTTTTTGGAAATTGGGCTCCAGCTACCTCACTCACCAGACGAAACGCGAAAGTATTTGTCATACTTCCGCTTTACCCTGGTCTTCTGTGAGGTCGTGGTACTTACCCGGACGGGCCTGCCCATTCGTGCAACAGCAGAGGCTGCTGCGTGGCACTACCAGCGTAAAATTTATACAGCGTAAATATTTAAATATCAGATGCCAATATAAACGCATCATCGCCGTAACGCGTTTCCGTTGCATTGTCGTCGTCCATATCATATAATTTAGTTAGCCTCTTAGTCGCGTCTAAAGAAGGTTTACTTCAAAATTTATATAAACTATACCCTTTATTTAACCCTCAAGAAGTTAGGGTCAGTCACAGATATACAAGGTTTTAATTTCAAATGTGGCAGGTGATATCATTTGAATTTATGATATCAGTGCGTCATTTTTTACCATGAAAACTCATGAAGATATAACGATAATGTAGGAAAATCCTATATAATGTTTTTAATTCGTCTCAGCCACTAGGACATGACTTTCTATGAACATCTTAAAAAGCAATAAGTGAGTTTGCCTTATGTACTGGCATCTTCAGGGTCTCCATTCGGCCAGCGTGCCCGGCATTTTGGCGCTGGACATCAACCCGTCGGACCAGAGCCGGCTGCTGACCGGCGGCAACGACCGCAACGCGACCGTCTTCAACAAGGACACGGAGCAGGTGGTGGCCATCCTCAAGGGCCACACCAAGAAGGTCACGCGCGTCATCTACCACCCGGACGAGGACACAGTCATCACGGCTTCGCCCGACCACACCATCCGTGTGTGGAATGTGCCCACGTATGTTGAACTTTCCTTATGCTCGTAACATTTTGACTAAATAAACTTTCGGTTTTGACTGAATACGGGCATATTATTTAGGTATCTTGGTGTTCATTAGGTTTAGGGTAAATTAGGAACCCTGAGAAGATGAAACATGCTATATTTTTTACACTGTTATAAATGTAAATAAAAAATTAATTATTCAAAGATGTATCATTATTAATACAATGATAGTTTTGATACTTCGAATGTCACAGATACACGAACGGTTCGCTTCTAATGACAGTACTAATCTTCTGGTACCAATCTGCCTATGAGTAAGGAAGAGACAGATTAGTCTCGCCTAATCATATCGCATCTAACACCAGTAGCGCTGCAATCATGATCCTGCTAAACCGAATTTATGATTGCAGCTCGCAGACGTCCGTGATCCTGCGCTCTCACGACGGGCCCGTGACGGGGCTATCGCTTCACCCCACCGGCGACTATGTGCTGTCCACGTCCACAGACCAGCACTGGGCGTTCTCAGACATCCGGACTGGGACTCTGCTCACCAAGGTGAGCGACTCGTCCGGCGTCAGCCTCACCACCGCCCAGTTCCACCCGGACGGCCTGATCTTCGGCACCGGCACGGAGAACTCGCAGGTGAAGATCTGGGACCTGAAGGAGCAGAGCAACGTCGCCAACTTCCCGGGCCACGTGGGGCCGGTCACATCCATATCGTTCTCCGAGAACGGCTACTACCTGGCCACCGCCGCGGAGGACGCCTGCGTCAAACTGTGGGACCTGCGCAAGCTGAAGAACTTCAAGACCATACAGCTGGAGGAGGGCTACGTGATCCGCGAGCTCTGCTTCGACCAGAGCGGCACCTACCTCGCGATTGCCGGCACGGACGTGAGGGTCTACCTGTGCCGCCAGTGGCAGGAGCTCAAGGTGTTCAACGACCACACCGCCTCGGCGACGGGCGTCCGCTTCGGGAAGAACGCCCAGTACATCGCCTCCACCAGCATGGACCGCACCCTCAAGCTGTACGGCTTGGAATAGATTTCGAGCAGTCACCGGTTCGGTTCGGACGTATTGTGATCTTGACACTTCATAAGAGACATAGGGCCAGACAGACAATCGACTTTATGCTCAGTTTCATCATAAATATAGGCATTATTGTTAATTTTGTGATGGGGGGAAAACAAAATAAAATTAAAACAATAATGCAGTTTCCATTTCAGTGATTAACATTATCATAATTAAGTATAAAGATTTATTTTTCTTTGATTTCTTATTGTTTATCTATTTTTATTGTTCATTAATTAATACAAAATGGAAAAAAATTGTATAATTATACTACAACTATAGCCATGATATAGCTGTAAAGAATGAATGACGCAACCTATCACTTTTTCTAGTTTATAGTCAGTGTTAGTTATAATTTACTCATAAATAAAGCGAGTGTAAGCAATTGGATTTTTAATACAGACGCTTTATGGCCTTAAATTCAGATGCTCCAACAATTCACCTATACATATCAATTTTCATCTGAGTGCAGAGACAAAGATTAAAACAAAACATTTTTATTAACAGAAACAAAACAAACTATTATATTAACTCACTCTATACATTTTCTACTTTGAGGCGTTCCCATGGATCTCTCGAGTCTAAAGTTCAACACCTATGAAATTAATATGGGACCAAATTGCAGCTAAACTGAATGTTAAACAAAAATATTTTTTAAATCGGTTCATAGTTAACTGAGTTCCAAGGTAACAACAAACATTTAAAATATGCCACCAAGTTGAGAACCTTGCTCTTTTGAAGTCAATTAAAAAATAAAATTAACTAACAATTTAAATAGCAAAAGCGACATCTCAAACTTCAAATATTAATTGTAAATTTATAAGGTTTTTTTTAATGTTAGAAGGCGGCAAGCGAGCTTGCTTCACATCAACTGTCAGCTGGCGGTTAACCTACTGTTAAGTGATAACTATCGCCCATGGACATTTGAAGTAGTAGTAGTATAGTTCATGTAGAATCGTAGATGATGCCAAGCATTGCTAAAAATGCAATAAAAGTAATGTAGATAGGACGTCCAGAATGTTGCGCTATAATGACCGCTTAGCTAAGTGTTTAGAGCGTCGGGGCGCGTTTCAGGTTCATTTCGTGACAGCGGCTTCAAAAATTTTCGGACAATATATCTACATACACATTTTAACTTTTATCTTAATAGAGAATACCGCTAATAGATAAATCAATTATAAATGTTCCGCAATAATAAGCTCACATGAGTAGCAGTAATTTTATTTATTTTAATAATTTACAATGAACAATTGATATCGTTTAAATATATACACATAGATTACACAAGTATTAACATAAAGTCTTTCTAGCATATTAATAATTAAAATGTGGTATTTATACTCGACGATAAGGATCAGTGCTTTTAGCGCCATTTTAGCAATGTTAATTTATTGACCCGCTCGTAAAACTTCCAGCAATATCACAAATCAAAAACAAAATGTACTCTACATAAATGCGTTTTACTCAGATTTGCTGTTATAAGTATTAAGTTTGAGTATATCGCAAGATATTTTTTATAAAGCCGGAAACCACACATGCATTTTTTACATACAGCCATATTTTTTTAAATATTCATTATCCTTCAAATGTGGTCAATTAAATAAGTAAAATGTACAATGCATTCAGAGATCAATGTCAGTGTGGACCGCGCTTTACACGAATGGAGTAAAATGCAATGTTTTTTTTTTCTTATCATATATAAACATAGACAACGAACCGAAACCGCGCGTCCACCTTCGGACGCCAGAATTTTTCCACCTTATAATAAAATTTTCCGAATACTCTAGGGGTGAACTATTAACTCGTGTAAATAAACAAACGGAAAGGAACGAATTTTCATCGCGTTTATGATTATTTCTCATATTTACGCGAACGCTGCACAGGTTAACTGTAACATTTTTCAAACCGTCAGTTTCGAGGACTTCTTAACAAGATATGATGGGACAAAATTGCTTCAAAGTAGTCGAAACTCACGACCTCACTCAGAGACTCCGATTATCGCTTAACCAGTAATTAGTTGGTTGCAAAACGTGATAATGCATAGAGTTGGGTGCAAACAGATCTCTGAGAATCTCTGAGATCTAGATAGATCAAAATCAAAGGACAGTCTCGTCCGAGTATTGGTCTAAAACGCCAAGTATTCGCGTAAATATGAGAGATTACCACGGAAAGGTTGTCGTTCCGCCAATTCGACGGCCGGATGACGTCCACTGTCCAGCAGAACGGAAGAACGCTCGGAGAGTGGAATGCGTGTGGACATGGTGGCGGCGAGGTCACGCGAAGATCAGCCACAGCACGAACAGTATGGCCACCCAGAGGAAGATCTTCGACAGGAACTGCTCCTCCTCGTACTGCGCCGTGCCACGGGGGGCTGCAAAAAAATCACATCAAAATCAAAATATCTTTATTCATTATGAAACGTTAAAGTTTTATATAATTTTTATTAATTTTAATACGTTCGGAAGTAAGTTACCGCCGGTTCGGAAAGCAGTTTTTGTTGAGGTGAAACCGGCTGGAAACTCAACAGTTGCTCTTCAACTAGTATACACAACTAGAGTAGGCAGAGATTAAATAGATAACATTTATTTATCTGCTACCAATTCATAGCAATGTTAATCGAGTATACAGAATTAGTGTCGGCACTGATTTCATCTATCAGATATATTCGCCCATCTAGAACAGTAATTGACAAACTAATGGGCTCGTATAAGACAAATATATCCATCCGTATTGCATGCGCTGCTCGGTACCAACGAAGAAATGTCGACCTGCACAGCCACTGTAAGATGTCGAAGATACTTCTTTTAAGATCTCACAAAGCGGCTCTCAGAAGGGGCCGCAAATCACCGTAACCCCACTATGGGAAAAGCCATCGTGGGACATCGGTGATACAGACACGTACCAGATCAACCAGATACAGTCTACGAAACCACTGCGGGTTGGCTGACTTCACGTATTTTCGAAATATTTTTTTGTTGTTATTTCGAAAATATACAGATTTCCTCTCTATGAGCACGTGATAACTCAGAAGTTAAAATGAACATTTTGAATAGTTATTAGCAGTTAAATTGAACACGAATACATTGAATTAATAGCGAGCGCCCGGACTGTCTATCAAACTAGTTAAAACTTTCCATTACACGGGTTCTACGACCGAGGGAGCTTTGTAATGTAATCTCCAGACTGAAAGCATAACATTGACATTGCTCCTCGAAAGATTGCCGACCCTAAAGCAATTAATTAAATGATTTAATTTATACTAATATTGCATGTATCCTTTTCATAAACATTTATTACATTCGTGTGTTCGTAAACTGCACCGAGAATACATTACCTTTGTTATCATGTACGGTAACGTATAATTCGAGAGATTATTAAAAAAAAAAAACAAGGCGCGAGTTCGTTGCACTCGCTTCGATCCTATACCCCAGATCCGAATATTAACTATCGCTCAATATTTATGAATTCGGAGGATACTAAACTCGTATATTTTCTGGCGCTGTACACTAAAGAATCGAATTCTTCAGCACGAAAAGAAAAATACGACATAATAACAATAATAAGGATATTTGATAGATAGATAGATAGATAATCTTTATTTGTAAAAACATGGTATACATACATTGCATGCAAGATATTAAATATACATTGTCCTATCATGTCCAGGCCGTATCACGGCATACAAATTGGTTACAAGAGATGGTGCATTGACCGCAATATTGTTTATTATAAACTTTATACTATTGCCAAATATAATCACATGTCATTATTCAGTCATAATAAAATTAATTACGAAATTGATTAATAAAATTGTTACAATAAATAATGTCAATATTAAAATAACAGATGATAATTCAAACAATTTACAATTTTCAGTACATAATATAATGCAAATTAAATTATATTAAAATAAGAAGTAATTTTGAATATTACGAAAAATTGTCTTCCTTCAAAAATTCTAAGATATTGTAGTTGCTCGATTAATTAAAAAATTCTTTAATTGTCTTTTAAGATCAAGAGTACTTAATTCTTTCCACGATTTGGGCAATTTGTTAATATTATCGGTGCCATGCAAAAGATGCTCTTACGAATAAGGGCAGTTCTAGCGCCATGAAGGCAGAGCCTGAACTGTACACGTCTATTCCTAGGTGCTACATAGATAATACGACGACATAGATAAACTTGAAAATAAATTGAAATTAGACCTAATAAACATAACTGTTTCTATGATGTATAATGCGGGCAAAGTCAATATTTTAAGTTCTTTAAAATGTGATCTGCAACTTTGCACAACTGTGAACTACAACCTATGTATGTCCCGATGCTGAACAAAGTCTGTACAGAGGGTTAGGGCATAGTTCACCACGCGACCCCACTGCATATGACTTGCTAAGCTATTGGGGGTCGTGGTTTCGATTCCCACACGGGACAAGTGCTTGTGTGATCGACAGATAATTCCAGATGTTCCGGATTTGGGTTTGTCTCCCAAGGAGGGTTCATGTCAGGCAAGCTGCCGGTCGTGCCGAAAAATATAGCCAAAACAGCTTACAAGATGATTCACATGTTGTAACGACCCCACCTATGCGGGATAAGGGCAGGAGGGAGATGATGATGATAAGTGCCAGCGCCGGGATTCGAACTTGAGTTGATCGAGGGTATTAAATTACAAGCGCTCGGACAGTGAGCTATCACGGCATATATATGCTGTATATCGTCGTTAGAAACGCGACAATAAATGAACACACATATAGAGGATAACTTTTTAAAATTGTATTAAACATTTACATTCTTTAAACATCAATATTTACCAAATTAAATTTTACAAAACAAACATTTTTAGAACACCCTTACGTATAAAACTGTAACGTAAAGTTCATTTGTAAAAGTCACAAAGCATATGAATGGGTTGAATGATGAATTTGCAAGAGATAAAACATACTGTTAGAAAGAGAGATTTGTAGTGCGACGCTGCGGCAACAAATAAAAAAGTGTCTGATTGTATGAATCAGTCAGTTGTACTTGTATAGGATGTTACAAATTTCGTTTCTTTTTTATTTAATTAGTTTGTTTGAAAAATATTTTTCTTTAATTATGGATTTTTAAAGTTTTATATATTTTTCTATGATTATTGGCAAGTAGCGTTAGATGTGTGTTAATTTATTGTCACGGTTGTAACAACACGCTGTATACACTTATATACATCCCATGATATGTCAGTATGTATACATAATTATAAACAATTAAAAATATTTGAAATTTCGGAACCAAAAGTCGAACTTGATCACGTAACACTGCCGTTCCAATGACAACGCATAGAGAATGACTAGATCTATATTCTATACTAGACAGTTCTAGAAACTTGAAAGTCGAATGGTTATATTTTTTTTAAATTTATTGTGACCTAGTCCATAGACGACCGCAATCCCGATACTATAATAATCACGCAATTTGATATCAGGTTTGTAATAGCTATTACCGCATATCAGAATTTTATCACCAAATAAAAGCTGATTTTAATCGGCCAAATCGTATTCAACTTTATTACCAACGGTGTATGGATAAAGTACGTATGTCCACATAGTCTCGTTTCATTTATTTTTAGCATATAGGTGTTTAGACTTACCAAATGCGAGGGCATCACAGTGTTATTTTTTTGTCATATTGTGCAAGTTAATATGAAATTGAGGCTCGCTCTTGAATAAGTAAATTAAAAGTTGTGTAAATTACAGAAGTGAGAAACTTATACATCTATTTTAATTTTTTAAACCTGCCAATCCAATTGATATGCATCTTATATTAAGCGAATAGCAACATATTACGAATATAAAATATAACGATATTATTTCGTTTTAGAAATATAATAATCATTATGGAGGTTAATTGTTTTCCTGCTCATTTTCACAACTTTATGCGCATTTCTTAGTGCTGGTAAAAATAAAAATCAGTTATTAAGTTTAGCTTTGCAAAATAAGTGCAGCCATGTTAATTATGTCCATTTATTATAAAGACTAGCGAACCGCCCCGGCTTCGTACGGGTTCAATGTAGATACTAATGTGACGCAGTGTGGAGTGAATAATAATAGATACTACGGTATATCTTTATATAAAATATTTATATACCACACATTGTTGTATTGTACGTGGAGGAATTTAGCTCCTAAATGACAAATCGTGTGAAATTAAATTCTATTCTTAGATATTTTTTTTTATTTGTCGATAGTAGTCCACATTAACCTTAACGATAATTGTCCTATGTCAATGTCACATGAAGTTTATGGTTTAGACAGTTTAAAAATTCATTGCTATCTTTACATAGTATAAACTGTTGTAAACAACTCTTCGTCCATATTTAATTGACGTGTCGAAGTGTGTTTCATGTTACAGTAACCATACATACTCAAATGCAATCGCGTAGTATTGCAATCCCGTGAATATATGAAATAAGGGTAAGGTATACCTTTTTTAGGGGTCGGTAGAGGAGTTTGGGGGGGATAGAAATACGAAACGGTTAGGGACTAGACCCAGTGACTACGCGCAGTATAAATAAATAAATATTTAGGACACATTTTTACACGTTCTCTAGTCCCAAACTATGCAACGCTTGTACTATGCGTACTAGAAAACTGATAAATATACTTTTCTTTTGTAAATAAATACGTATTATAAATATATAAACACGCAGACACTGGAAAAACACTATGTTCATCACACAATATATTTCCAGTAGTGAGGATCGAACCCACACCCTCTGACGCGGGAGGCAAGTATACTACCCACTGCGCCATTCGGTATGTTATGGGTCGGAGACACTACACGCGTACCTGCACTGGGCCTCGGGTCTCCGAAGTTGAAGGTGGACGTGAACACGCCGAACGGGAAGGCGCCTATGCCGAAGGACATGTGGAAGCCCTCGCCGAACCCGAACCCGGGGAAGCCGCCGCTGTTCTCGGGCTCCGTGCGCTGGCCCGCCGGCCGCGGTGGCACCTGCAACGCGACAACTTGTGTAACTGATGTTACGCTTTCAGTCCTTAGACTAATGGAGCTTCATTGAACGCACGACAACTTGTATCACCACAATTATTTCGGCAACAGTACACCGTGGAACGTAGACCTCGCCACAGATTACCACGGCGCAACCACCCGAGCTATACACAGGCGCAGTTGCCGAGGTATTGACTTCGGCGTCGCGGGTCGCGGGTTCGATTCCCACACGGGGCAACTACTTGTGCGACCCACAGACAATTGTATCACATCTGGATATTTGTCAGCGTGAAATTTATGTTTGTGAAACGTCCTTACAACACAGGGTAATGTTATCCTATATATTGTAATAAACATCTTATTACATGTTTGTTAGGTACCAAAAAAAATCCACCTCACCCGTCTTCCAATCAGGAACAGCGTGCCGGTTTTATCCAAGGTTGAGATACATCACAGATTAATGGGGAGCAAAAGTCTTTTCTGAGATCCATCACAGAGGATAACAGTAATTTATGATAAGATGCCAGAAAATAAAAAAGGTACAGATAATGTATAACGGATTTTAATATTATTTTATAAAAAAAAAAAAATATAAGTTCGGCCCGCTTAAAGTTTTATTTGCCATTGGGGCGGTGGTTCAGAAACATTTTGGGACCACCGATGTAGTCGAGCTGTAACTAGCTAACGTTATACGTTTGAAAGCCTACCAAGGTGCAAGTAAGCTTAAGCTAAAAAGTAAGCTGAAAGTATCAAAAACTCCTTCGCAAGAATGCGTCATCGGATTGTGTGCAAACTCTGAAAATTAGCTCTAAGGTGATATGCTTGTTCAACGTATCTCATTACACATAACTCTTGGAAACTGTGTCGCGGGAAAATAATAATACTTCGTCATTTTCCTTGATTTTTTTTGTAAATCCACTTCCTTCTCGTGTTATGTTAGGTGTTTTATTGACAATGAAGTGTTGATTGACGTCTTCGAGTGAACTTGACTATTTATTTCGTTTTTATATAAATTTTCTTTACTAATTAATCTACAGATTATTTAGACTTAACTGTATTGGCGTAATCAAATTAGATGATATGATGATATAAGATTTTGTTAGATAGTATTGAAGGACGGAATCTGTTACAATTTTTGAGAGCCGATTTTAACAAGATGTGTAGTCCGCAGACGTTTTTCTGTTATCATCTTGTGATAGTGCTTTATCCTGTCATAACCATGAACAAATATATTGTATATATACCATTGTAACTAATAAACGGCGCAACTAATTTTAATTCCAATTTAAGAGTTAATATAACAAAAACTTGCGCAGCTTGCTTCGCCAGGATTTCAATTTCATATTTACCAGGAATTAGGTTTACATTGAAGGCATGTGTTTTGATACAATAATAATGTTTGAACACATAATTATACCCGAGAATATTCCAGCGGGAAATGTACATAATCCCACAGTAAAAAGTAAGAGTACCTCATGTTTTTCTTCAGCTATTTTAGCTCAAATTTAAAATTAATAGTCAAAACTTTAATCGATGAGATCTATACGCAAAGTAGGTGTCTGATATCAAGGTTCATTTTATGTAAATTTAATAAATCATTAGAGCGCGCGTTAAGATTTCATCGTTGACGAGAAAATCTCATGGAGAATTATAATTGAATGTTAATGCTCAAAGCTATCAACATTATTCTGTCGTTTCGTTCAATGTCATTACTAATCATTCCCTCTATTCGATGAGGTTTTGAGCAACTTGCTGGTGCTTAAAACTTGTTTACAAATTATTACCTCTCCCACGATCTGTTGCCTTTAATAAGCCTGACTTTATGCACATGCGAGGGTTTTGTATCAACTACACATGGTGAATTCGAATCCCGCCCTACGTTAGTTTTTCAACGCAAACATATTGCATGAATTATCACGACATCAAGATTGGCATGAAATGCCTTTTTACGGACTTATCAGTGGTTGGCAAACACTGGCAATGACTATTGTAAAGTTCATGGCAAAAAAAATAAAAAAAAAACAAAGTAATTTATTTATTAACGTAAGAAAAAGACATTTCGTCTATCGATGGTCATTATTTTTTTTTAATCTATCGCCGTTTCGTAATGACAGGCACAGACGAAAGAAACTCCCTAGGTTTCCTCTTTCTTTCTTAAAACATTAAAATATTATGTGCAAGCGACTTCTAACTATAATGAGGTTAAATACTTGCTCAGTTGCCGACCTTTTGAAATGAAGCGAAATATCCATCCGAAGAAAGAGCAAATACTTTTACTGAAATAGTTTGTTCACCACCAGCGGCCATGTCACCATTTTGCCTGTTGACAGTTGACACCATAGCTGACACCGTAGTGTTTACTATTAGATGGGATGGTTTGCCAAGTATATGATAAAGGAAAATATAAATAAAGTTGTTTGGCTCTTCATTCTTAATTAGTATTTATCCGCATATCCTTACTAATTCTTACTTATATTATAAACGCGAAAGTTTGTATGTATTGATGGATGTTTGTTACTCTTTCACGTAAATACTTTTTAGATTTTAATAAAACTTTACAACACTATAGCTTATACATCGGAATAAGACATAGGCTATAATTTATATACATATTTTTTGTATATCTGTCTTTCTGTCTGAATGTTACGCCTTCATCCTATTTTACGCAGACGTAGTCGCGGGCAGCAGTTAGAAATTTATAATTGACAGCACATATTAGCATTTTAGCATTCGGATTAGAACTGTGAACGAACTTGAAACAGGTAAATGCACGCAAGAAAGCATTCTGATGTCTTTGTTTAGTATAACTAAAGTACGATGAACCCGCTAAACAAAGATGTAGTCGAATGCTCAATAAGTCGTTGCTTTATTTTTAAACCTGTCACTAATTTTATATGTTTTGTTCCTAAGGAGGATTGACAGCCCAGGACATGCACTAACCAAGGTTTGACATGAAAGTGCAAGCTTCATTGGCACAATTAATTACTCAAGAGGTAATTGTTTCCCAATAATTGACGTCAGGCTGGCGGCCGATCGTAAAACAGCCAAAACCGATTACAACATGATTCACATGTTGTCCCGACCCCAGTTAGGTGGGATAAGGGCAGGAGGACGATGATGGAATGACGGTAACACTAGTGAAATAATAAAGGCAAATACAACCGAACCGACAACCTCTTTTTTTTAATGTAGTTTCGTACTTTTTCTACAAATTTAATAGTTTGAACGGACTATTTATTGCTATAGTATTTTTTGTATCTGAAAAGTTGCCAAGCGAGCAGACGGTTCACCTGATGTTAAGTGATTACTGCCGCCCATGGACATCTGGTACAGCTGAGGCAGCGGCGTGGCCCTACCACCGTGTACTGTGATATTCAAGTATAACATTTAAATTCGTACAATTATCACACGGCTAAATAAAAATATAAATTCTTACATTTCTCCTATACAACAACATTAGTCACTGTACTTATATATTAAACAGAAATTTATATGCAAACATGTTGGTTTCCCTTTCGAAAAAACAGCGAAAATAATCTAAAAAAATGTATGGCGGTATCTAATGAAGTGGATTAACGCATAGAACATACTTTGTCCCATTTAATCTATCTATTTATTTTTATTTAAAAACAACCGTATCTTTATCTTTGGATCCGGATCGGATGACGTCCTTGCTTTCAGTGTTAAGAACGATATAAACCTTATCATCTGCTTTTTTTTGTGGCATGCAAGATGGCCTCGTTCGTTCACCTTACGTTAATTGATAACCGCTGCCCATTGACATATGCAACACCCGTGGGGTTGCAGATGCGTTGCCACTTCAATAAACTGGGCCCCGACTACCTCACTACCTTTTTTTTATGTGACTAGTTGCCAACGGAGAGAGCGGTTTACTTGATGACAAGTGAATACCGCTGCTCATGGACATCTGATACACGAGCGTTGCAGATGCGTTGACAACCTTTTGAAAATTGGGCTCCGGCCACCTCACTCACCAGACGAAAACCTTGTACTACGTAGGGTCCCGACGAATAAACATACGTTGTAAATTACTTAACACTTTTTGCTCAATATAGAATTGAAACGAATAGGCAGTTGATAATAGTAGTATTTTATGTAAAACTTTCTTTCAATGCGTTCTATATTCACCGTGTGAAAATGAAAGAGAATTATTAAAATTAACACGAAGGCATAGATGTTTTGGTGGTCAATTTTACGTTAATTTTAATAAATTTGAATAATAATGACTACTTCATATCTTATCTATCTATTCTTACTTTAATCGCATGGAATCAAAGGTCACGAATATTAAAATATTTTATCAAGATCACGATTTGTAGACAATGGCGTCTCACTAGATGTCGGATCAAGATTAACATATTCTTTTCGCTGCTATAAAATTAACAAATTTTATTGAAAAAGACCTTTGCAAAACCCTATTTTTACTACATACAGCGCTAACTATATCAGTGTCATCGTATGAAGGTTAACGGCCAGCACGAAGTTAGAGGTCGAAGAACGCTCCTAGCTCTTGATTTAATTAAAATATTCACAAATCCGATTGTCTACGGGCCTCTTGGAAGGAATACCATTAATTAGATTTCGAAAATAAATAAATCTATGACTAACGGCTTTTTTTTATTTCTATTATTCAACAGTAAAGACAGTTTCGTGGTAGTGTCGAACAGCCATCGCTGTTGCACAAATGGGCAGGTCCGTGCGTGGTAGTACCACGACCTCACAGGAGACCGGCGTGAGGTGGAATTGTTATACTTCTGCGTTTCGTCTGGTGAGTGAGATAAGCACGGCCCGCTTCACTAAAAGACAAAGCGTCTGCAACCTACGCGTGTTGCAAATGTGGCAAGGTGGCGGTTATCAATTGACTGCAGGTGAATAGCCAGCTCGATTGCCACATTCTTGGCCGTTGACATTCATAAGTTCGCGCAGTTTCTTTCGCCTGTGTCTTGATGTAACTCTTAATTCGCATTGCAACATCCACGCGAATGAAGTCACCCGTTTATGTATAAAAATTTTCTTGTCAACTATAAATTTTTAGGGTTCCGTACCCAAAAGATATAACGGGACCTTATTACTAAGACTCCGCTGTCCGTCAGTCTGTCATTAAGCTGTATCTCATGAACGGTGATAATTACACAGTTGAAATGTTCACAGATGATGTATAACAACAAATACGAAAAAAACAGAATAAAAAACTATTTTAGTGTGGCTCCATTACAACAGACATGATTTTTTTTGCCGTTTTTATAGATGGTACGGATATAATGGTACGGAACCCTTCGAGTACGTGTCCCGACTCGGTTTTTTTCATTATCTTTTCGACTTGATCTTTAGATATCGCAACTTTTAATAAATAGCAGACTCTGATATCGTGGTAGCTCAAAGTGCTATAAGATTGAAGCGGATCAAGTTTACAGCTCGGATATACATACGCAGCTGTACATTAATGAAACATAAATTTTGAATCACAAATAAAATCGGTTCTGTAATGCTGTTAATCACATAATTATAGTATACAAACAATGACAAATTATAACACTTTATAAATAGTTTAACAGATTATAATGGCTCTCTGCAATCAGACGTGATTTATTTCGCGAGACAAGATATACATTTATATACAGCGTGTCGTTACCACCGCGACAATAAATGAACACACATATAGAGGATAACTTTTTAAAATTGTAATAAACATTTACATTCTTTAAACATCAATATTTACCGAGTTATTAAATTTTCCAAAACAAACAATTTTAGAACACCCTTACGTATAAAACTGTAACGTAAAGTTCATTTGTAAAGGTCACAAAGCATATGAATGGGTTGAATGAATTTAAAAGAGACAAAACATACTGTTAGAAGGAGAAGCTTGTAATGCGACGCTGTGGCGCGAGTAGTATAGGATTTTACAAATTTTGTTTCTTTTTTACTTAATTAGTTTGTTTGAAAAAATTTTTTTTTAATTATAGATTTTGTTTAACGTTAATATTTTTTATGATTATTGGCAAGTAGCGTTAGACGTGTGTTCATTTATTGTCGCGATGGTAACGACACGCTGTATATATTATTTTAATATGGGGTTACGCGAAGATAAATTTGTTTCTGTACGAAACGTCCACGCTACATTGTCACGATTACGACGGAACAGGTTTCGAGTCGCACTTATCTCCCCGGATTGCGTAATGGCGAAGGCCGTGTGGCGTGCTCTACTTTTAACTGTGGTATGGCCACGCGACAGTCTTTGCTGATGCACGAATGGGCAGGCCCGTCCGGGTAAGTACCACGACCTCACAGAAGACCGGCGTCAAGTGGAAGTGTTACACTTCTGCTTTTCGTCTGGCGAGTGAGGTGGCCGGGGCCCAATTTATTAAAAGGTGGCAACGCATCTGCTACCTGGTATTGCATATGTCAATGGGCGGTGGTTATCACTGAACATCAGGTGAACCGCTAGTACGCTCGTTACCTACTAACATTAAATAAAACGTAACTTCTAAATTCATAGTATTGATATTTATCTCATGATGCTAATTTATAAAATACTGTAGTGTTAAATTGCGGGAAAACATTAACATAATATATATGAGACTTTAACTGATGACTCCGTGGCGCAGTTGCCAAGGTATTGGCTTCGGCTTTGGGGGTCGTGGGTTCGATTCCCACACGGGACAACTATTTGTGCGATCCACAGATAGTTGTTTCGGATCTGGGTGTTTACCATTACCCTTACGCTAGGATATTATTATGCTTACAATACAGGATAATGATATCCTAGCCTAAGGGTAATGTTTTAAAGAAAAAAATATATTAATTATGTAATAGTAAAAGGGTAATTTTCCATTTAATCAGAATAAGTCTATGAGTTGACACGATATGTCCAAGGAGCTAATGCTCCATTGCTATCTTACTTTGTAACATTTATAGCCCATCTAGTATAGTAGGCGAGTGGCCGTGCGGTCGTTAAAAGTAGACTGATTAGAAGTTAGATTTACTTTTTCTCTTAAATCTTCATGGTTATACAGCGTGTCGTTACCATCGCGACAATAAATGAACACACGCAGTAGTGTGTGTTCATTTATTGTCGCGATGGTAACTGGTTTGGCTGGCAAGTATGCCAATAATCATAAAAAAATATTAACGTTAAACAAAATCCATAATTAAAAAAAAATATTTTTCAAACAAACTAAGTAAAAAAGAAACAAAATTTGTAACATCCTATACAACTCGCGCCACAGCGTCGTATTACAAGCCTCTCCTTCTAACAGTATGTTTTGTCTCTTATAGGTAAGGGTGTTCTAAAATTCTTTGTTTTGGAAAATTTAATAACTCTGTAAATATTGATGTTTAAAGAATTTAAATGTTTAATACAACTTTAAAAAGTTATCCCCTATATGTGTGTTCATTTATTGTCGCAATGGTAACGACACATTGTATATACTTTCAGTATATACAAAGACTCTTTTTTTAATAATGCGAGGTTATAATTTAGAAGTGTGTGAATTTGTAAATTTATACATGACGTTGTCAACAACAAAATGGCGGATTTTTTTTGTGAAAATAGCAAGTTTTATATATTTTTTTCTCGAAAACTATAAGCGGCTGCCTAAGTCTTTTTGTTGATTATCACATTAATGATTTTTCTATAGCTTAACAGAATAAAGCTTATAAGCACAAAAAAACTTATAACCATAACTTTAAGGCTAAAAACCTCTAATAAATTTCTTAACTCCTGGAAACATGATTTATAATTTGTAGAAGTTGAATAATACTACTTCTTGCCTCTTATAGGTTAATCATGAATTGCAACATCCACTCATCACAAAAAACCAAGAATACTATATGAAAAAGATAAATGTAGTACATTATTATTCCTGTGGTTGTTCAAAAAAAAATTTTAAAAATTTCTTTACAAGCAGTACCATCTTTACACACGGGGCCAATGGCCAGGCCCCCTGTCGACCTTGCATGGTCTACATATTCGCTTAAATTATATAATAAAATAAAATAAAGGTAAATATATTCCGACAGAAGATAATAAAAAAATTCAAAAAATATGAGATAATGACAGAAAAATGTTTTGGTCATCCACTTCTTTGATTTTCCACATGTGTGCCGTAGGGCCCCCGATATGGCCTAAGACAGTATTGTTTACAAGGCAAATAGACAAACTGTTACAGTCTAGACTTATTAATTGAATAAAACAAATTGATGTTTTGCTTAATTTTGTAAAAAGATTAACTAATTTGAAAATGCCTGGAAAAAAAACGAATTTATCACAATAAATTAAAAATTATGATTTTAAACCCTTAACTTTATAAATATAACATACAAGTCACCATACCATGTTTGCCACATGTTATTAACACTCACCTTATTTCTAGGATCCTCCTGCTTGGTATTCCCCCTTCCGTACAATGGTATCACTTTCTCCCTGCTAATGGCCGCTTTGCAAACTGGGCATACTTGCCGACTAGGCCGTGTCTCTAGCCATTGGTGTAAGCAGGGCCAGCTAAAAACATAACATTATCTTCCAGTAGAAGCATTTAAACTTGATTTGTCTAGATAGTGGATATTCAGTATAACTAACCATGTGCTCATAATATAACCAGTGGTGGACTAACGGGGGGACGAAGGTACGGCTCGCTCCGGGCCTCTGGTCCTGGTGAACCCCAAACGCCTTTATGTTCACTTGAACAAATCCTGAACAAGGCTTATCCCGTGGACTAGTAAAATAACTGATTTTATTTTACTAAGTAGTCCTTGTCCCAACTGGAGTTGGGAGGTCTCATACAAATATTATTACTTTCTGATAAAATACAAATAAGTAGATACAGCCTGAACTAATAATTTACTGCTACTGCTAATCTTTCTAATCTTGTTAGTTTCACTTTCACTTATGTATTACAGTTTGTATGTTATTACTATCCTTGGTCCTTTGCTAAAAGTTTTCTAAACTATGTTGAAGTGTGCACAATCATCCAAATTGCTCAAAACAATTGATAGATATTATAGGAACATTACGAATATTTAAGAAGAAATTGGTAGTATTTATTACATGAGTACAGATGGAATATATATGATAAATTTAAATATCAATTCGCTTATATTTATGTACTAGGTAAAAAAGAATAAATTAATAAAGAAAATTTCGCTCGTTTGCTACGTACCAAAAGAGATGGCCGCACATGCTCACCACAGCATCGCGAGCTGTGTCTAGGCAGATGTTGCACTCCAGCATACGCTCGTCGCGTTTATCATCTTCGCCTCCAGCATCTCCACCAGGCGCCGACGCACTTGCCTGAGCTTCACTCGTCTCAGCCATCTCTCAAGAAACCAATCTTCTTATTACGTCACTTAATTATTTTGCACAACACTACTAAAATCACAATACGAAATGTCCTTGTACTATATTGTAATGTTACATTCAGTTACAATTTTATTCTTTGCCAAAACTATAAAATAAACACCATTAGTATCTTAGCACATTACAACAATTTAGTCGAGCGTCAAACTAAGTTTGTTGGATTTTAATTAACTAAAAACAACTGGAACACAATAGCATCCCCTTCCCCGCATTTGACATCTTTCTTTTCTCGATTCTTGTTGTCAATATCGGCATAGATAATAGAATACTGCCGAATCATCGCATTAGCCACGTCGAAATTCGTCAGTGTAGGGATATTAAATCACCTTTATATAAAATGTATAGTATGAATTAGCAATTCAATAATGCAGTACCTGACATTTTCATTCCTCAAACATGGATCAGATTAGTATAGACATTTATTTTTACAGTCCATTAGTCTTCTCACTGAGCAACGATGCAGCTTTTTAGCACTGACTCTCCTAGGTCATAGCCGTTGATAACGGACTGGATGGAGTCAGTTCGGTCCTAATTATTTAGCTAACCCATTTCAAAAGCGCAAATAATTATATAATCATATACCTACCAGTTTTTTGAAACCGCGCCTGCATTAAACATTGCGCCTGGCATAGCACGTTATCCTATGAACGCAAGGTCCTCGATTCACAGCCTAAACGCGATATCCTCGCGTGCCAGACCTTATTGGTTATTGTTATTTAATGTTGCATCTGCAACTTACAGAAGTTAACGTATTTAGTAAATTTTTTTTGTTAATCTTTCATAAATAACTCAGTTGTCGTAAATTAATTGTCGTTATTTAATGTACGTAAGCGATCGTAGGACATTGGTTTGTCAAGTGATTAAATCAAAATTTCGACCTTATCTATTCCTCAAGATATGTTCCACTATCACAGTAGTCCAAATCGAAGTTCCATCAGAGTTTCCAGTCGTGTCGTAGTCGGGCACTAGCTACTTTGTTCTCTTGAGTCCACGGTTTATTTGCCTGCCGGGCTTCTTCGAATGAGGCTGTCAAAGCAGCCGGACTAACAACAAATCAAACTATTTAAAAAATTATGCAGAAACTAAGTAAGAAGGTGGCGAGCGATATGGCGATTCATCTGATGTTTAGTGATACACGCCGCCCATCGACATTTGCAATACCCGTAGAGTTAGAAATGCGTTGCCACCTTATATTAAAGTGGGACCCAGCTACCTCATTCACCAGACGAAACGTGGAAGTAATATTACCGAGCAGACCTGCCCATTCATACAACAGACGAAGCTGTTGCGTGGCCTTACCACAGTTAAATATATTTTATCTTTAACAAATTTTATTTTTACAAGATGCTACTAATATAAAGCTTTATGAATTTGTAAGAACTGTATAGTAGATTTATTTGTAATTTTTTTTGTAATAAATAACTATTCATTGCGCAATACGACTAAAGATGATAACTATATCGTCATTATATATAAGTTTTTTTTTTTTTTTTTTCTTTTTATTGTGGCATTTTGTTATCCTTTATGCCAATGACAAGTAAAAGGAAGGAAACAGTGGTTTTGTTGAAATATAAATTTATTTCAACAGGACTAGGAAGCGGAATTTGGAAAAAGGAAAATAATCAAGAAGATTTACGATACATATATTCAATGTGATAAAGTATTATTAATTACAGAATATTTAGTTTTATTAATATCGTATTTACACAAATACACATAATATATATACATATATACACACATATATATGTATATATATATATATATATATATATATATATATATATATACCCATATATACACACATACATACGCATACATTTATATATATAAACCTATTAACCAAATTATACTATAGTTTTATAGCATTTTTCTGAATAAATGAAGCTAATGTTTTATATACACAAGGGTCGTTATATGCTAAAAGGAATGGTATATTAATAGGAAAAGGTATCCGAAGCAATAGAAGATCAGTAAAAAGAGAGGAGCGGTCATATAATGGGCAAGAAAGGAAAATATGGTTCAAATTTCCTTCTTCCGTTCCACAAGCACATAAAGAAGTATCTACAACATGAATCTTAAACAGAAAAGACGGAGAACAGCAGTGACCTAATCGCAAACGAATTAAAGAACTAGTACAATATTTATTTAAATTGACTTGAGTGTACCAAGGCTTATTTGGAATTGTCGGTTGAATTGAGGAGTAGAATTTTCCTTTCACTAGGCTAGGAGATGTCCAGTAATGTTCCCAGGACTCTTTCAAATATCGCTTCGACAAGGAAAGAAGATCGTGACAATAATTAGTGTAAGGATATATATCACCGCTTAACACGGCTTCATTTGCTAACTCGTCTGCCTTTTCATTTCCTTTAATGCCGCTATGCCCGGGAATCCATGCAAAAACTACTGTAATGTTTTTAACTTGGCATTTGTATAACAATTTTCTTATTTCTAAAATTATAGGATATTGGCATTTTGATTTAAGCGGAAAATGTGCTAATGTTTGTAAAGAACTTAGAGAGTCCGTAAAAAATATAGCTTTACATAAGTTTGTTAATAATATATATTCTACTGCGCGAAATAGACCAAAACATTCCCCAGTAAATACTGATGATTCAGGAGGTAATTTAATTTTTTGTACAATATTATACTGAGAATGAAATACTCCAACCCCAACACAACTATTATTGGTATGTTTAGAAGCATCACTATATATATAGTGCCAATTCTCCCAGTTATTTTCAATAATGAATTTAAAAGCTGTATGAATCTCTATTTCATCTTTTTTTTATTCCAACATTGAGTTTTATGGAGGGTGTAAGAGTCAAGATTTTATAATCGGTTTCAAACAGTGGAAGAGTTTTGGAACGATACATGGGGGCTTCAATAGCAAGATATTTTTGGTAACTTTTAACAAGACATGGCAATTCCTTGAGTTTCCAATACGAAGATGAATTAATGACTTGACATAAGGTTTGTAGTTTTGTTATTAAAGGATGGTTTAAAAATTGTAAACAACGAAACAGGAATCTATCAGCTAAATATTGTCTTCTTAAGTGGAGCGGCGGATCTCCACATTCTAATTGAAGAGCATTAATGGGACTGGATTTCATTGCACCAGATATTATTCGTAAAGCTTTTGATTGAATTAAATCGATTTTTTTAAGACCAGATGCGTTACAAGGTTCCAATAAAAAATGTACCATAATCTACAATGCTTCTAATGATAGCGTTGTAAACTAACTTTAAGGAGATGGGGTGCGCACCCCCCCATACACCAGAAAGGCATCTTAACATATTTAGTTGACGTTCACATTTTGCTACTACATAATCGAAATGCGGAATGCCAGTAAGTTTTGAGTCCAATATTAGACCTAAAAATTTTGCATTATTCTTAACTGGAATTGGACTATTTTTATAAGAAATGTGGATTTTTGGAAGAACACGTTTTCTGGAAAATACTACAGTGGTACTTTTAGAGGCAGACAATTCAAGACCATTTGATTCACTCCAAATACTCAATAGACGCAAAGATAATTTAAGCACTCACAAGCTTTATGAGCAGATTCATCCGAAACATACAGAAGTAAATCATCTGCATACTGTAGAATATTTGCAGACCCATTAAGGAAATGTTCTAAATCATATGTGTATATATTATAGAGTAACGGACTAAGAACAGAGCCCTGGGGTAATCCTTTCCAAGTCGTCCTGGATATTTTATGTCCATTTTCTAAAAAAATATGTATAGTCCTCTCATATAACATGTTATAAATGAAGTTAATGAATATTTTTGGAACTTTTAAATCAATTAATTTCTGCCGTAACAGATGCGGAAGAACACTATCATATGCAGAATTTATGTCTAAAAACGCAGATAGAAGGAAATTATTATTTGTGAACGCCAGTCTTATATCAGTAGTTAAAATACTCAAGCTATCTATCGTACCTCTTCCTTTCCTAAAACCAAATTGACTGCTTGCTATTATATTTTTATTTTCAGCAAGCCATTCAAGCCGGTTTTTCACTAAATGTTCTGCAAGCTTACCTATTACAGATGATAATGCTATTGGCCTGTAAGATGTGGCCTCAGTAGAAAGTTTCCCGGGTTTAAGAATAGCAATGATTTCCTGTGTTTGCCAAGACTTTGGTATATTGCTAGTTGCTATTATGGAATTTAAAAGATTTAAAAAGTAAGACAAAATTTTTTCGTCTAAATTTGAAATAAAAGAGTATATAATACCATCCTCCCCAGGGGCAGAATCCTTAAGATATGATAATATGCCTTTTAATTCTGACATAGAAAACTGCGAGGCTAATTCGGAGTGATCGTTTAAATTACACTCTAAATTTGGGTGGCGAAATTCTGGAGCAAAAGGGGGGGCAAGTCGGTCTGTAAAATCTTCAGCAAGATCTATTGGAAGAGATATTGAGGGAGAACTAATTTTACTACATCTGAATCGTCTGATATTTTGCCAGAGAACTGAAGGATTAGTATTAGGAGAGATCGATGAACAGTAATTTTTCCACCTCGATTTTCTTCATCTTTAAAATTTTGTGTGTGTTGGTACTTATAACTTGAAAACTTTCAAAATTTTCTGATGTCATAGATGAACAATATTGTCTTTCTGCAGTCTTTCTTTTTTTAACAGCTTCAGAGCATTCTTTATCCCACCATGGCGGGGGTGAAGCTTTTTGGTAGGTATTTTCTTTTAAAGGAAAAGCTTGTTCCGCAGCGTTATTAAGAAAATTTACAAAAGAATTATAGGAGTCAATTTCATAAAATTTTTGGACATCTGGCAAGGTAGAAACGTTCTGTAGTGTGTTGCTTTTGTAAGTATTCCAGCCTTTAGTACTTAATCTGTATTTCATACGTGAACGCGGAACTTTTTGATTTGGAAGGTTATAGAAAGGAAACGAAATAATTATTGGAAAATGATCACTGCCATAAGTAGAAGACAAAATGTCCCACTCTAGAACAGAAGAAAGATTGGGAGTACATATAGATAAATCTACAGCACTCACACTCTCATTCGGTTCTGTACGTCTTGTCGGCTTTGAAGTATTTAGAACACATAAATTATGATGATCAAGGATATCTAACATTAGATCTCCATTAGGATTAGAAAAAGAGCTACCCCAGGATTGATGATGACAGTTAAAATCACCCATAACCAAAAATGGCTTTTTCAGTGAAGATAAGAGATGATTAACTTCATTTAAAACTTGTTGAGATGGGTGAGGAACATAAATAGATACATAACAAACATTATTGTATGAAATCGCAATTGCCGAAAAGTTTATCAGAGTGTGGAGGCAGTGGAACATACGTGAAAATAACAGTTTTTTTAATTAAGATTGCTACACCACCATATCCATCCAATCTGTCTTTTCTATGGCAAATGTATCCTTGCATATTAAATGATAAATTTGGCCGCAGCCAAGTCTCCGAAAGAGAGATAAGGAAAGGATTAAATTTGTTAATCAAATATATCAATTCACTTTTTTTATTAACTATGCTCCTGCAATTCCATTGTATAACTTTGGCTTGATTGTCCATTGTTAAGAATTTGTTTAAGAATATCAAATGTTTGAGCAACGTTGTTCGGTGAAAATTATTTTACTTAGTAACAAAGAATTAATTAAAGGAATTACAACATCTGTAAATATGTCTTGTTTTTCATTCCCATTGGGTGTTAATGCACATCCGTTAGACGACATTGGCATTTCAAAGTCCTTAATTAGAGCTTGATGAGCTGCTTTGTCATAGCCTTTGTTGAAATGGGGAAGAGGTCGAGTTTTTAAAGAAACTGTCTTTTTATATGAGTTTTTCAATGGTTGGTTAATATGTGATGACAAAGAATGTTGTGGCCTCATAGACTCAGCTGAATATGTGCTAGAGGGAACAGATTTAAGAATGTCAACATAAGACTTAGTGACAGGGGGGAGCATTTTGGAAGCCTCTGCATATGAGATGCAGTTTTGTGCCATGGTCAATTTTATTTGTTTTTGTCTAGCCCATTCAGGACATGATTTGCTAATAGCAAAAATGTGACCCAGAACAAAGGAAACAGAAAGCACAGTCATCATCTTTATTGCAAGAGTCACTTGTATGAACATCTCCACACTTAAAGCAGCGTGGTTTGGACCTACATTGAATTTTAGTGTGACCATATCGACAGCAGTTGTAACATTGTATAGTAGGATATGTGTAAAGTTCGACAGATAAAGCATTATAGCACATATAAATGTGTTTTGGAAGAACCTGACCATCAAATGTTATAACTACTGTCTGTGAAGGTTTCCAAACTGGAGACCCATCAACAGTTGTTTTATAATTTAATCGTCTTATTTTTAAAATTTCACCACAACCCATTGGCACAGTTATGTTATTTTTAATTTCATCTGGGGACCATTCAGCTGGCACTCCTCTTACAATACCCATCCTAGTTATGTTGAAGGTAAGGTTCTGTGTAGACAAAGAAGGATGATTAATAAAAGTGTTAGCATCAGTAAAATTGGAAAATGCAAGGGAAATCTTGTTCCTACCAATTTTTTTTATACTGCCATTGATGATATTCCTAAATGCATTTTTTTTTAGAAAATTGCCAAAGGACACAGGGTGGAATGAAGTACCATCATTAAATGAAGATACTTCTTTTTGAACATGTATAATATAAGGTGATAAGTCACTGTTTTGGTAAATCTTTCTATATTCGACACTAAGTTGCTCGGGCTCTTTTGATTCTGTTGTTACTGGTGATGCAACATTATTTAGAATGGTGCTGTTCTCATCACTATCGCAATGACAGGCATGCTTAGTTTGGTCATTCTTAGTACCAGAATGACTGCTCCTCCTTTTTTTATTGCAATGTTTGCAAATTTTTCTGCAAACGTGAGCGTTTTCTAATGATAAGAGTATTCGACGCATCAGTGTCCATACAAGACTCGCCATTAGAAAACTTCTACATTGTACGCAACCTCGGGGACTCCACCCCCGGGATCAGGGGGTTCATTCATTATAATAAAATATATAAAACTTACCTAGGTATAGAAATTAAACTATTACTATTAATAATTAACTACACAAAGTAAAAAAATTACATATATACACAAAACTTCTCTGATTATTATCACTAAAATTAAATAAATGTGATTTAGAGAAAAAAACGCGCGCTTAGCTTTCAAAGTTTCCCGCCCTTTTTCTACTATATATAAGTTATAGCGCAATGAGATTTATTTATATAGATTAGAGTCCACTGCAACAGATAGCCGCAAAGACCATCCGCAGTATAAGAATATTTAAAGTGATTTCTTATTAATTACTTCTCACATAAAATGAATTGGCTATTAAATTATTCTCATTTATAATCAAATATTATAAATTAGGAACCTTATAAATAAAAAAAAAACTATGGAGAAAATAGATTAATAGATTCTAGTTGTCATTATTCAACAATAATAATCGAATAGCTAAAAAAATCGTATAATTAAACGTAGTTTTAAACAAAACTTAACTTTAATAAAATTAATTAAAACCATTGAAGCGGAAATTTATATATAAACATATTTACTATACATTTGGCATATGTTAAAAATCGATATCAGCACTTTATCGAAAGACTACCTACTCACTACAGAAGGCAAGTAAAGATCAAGTGCTAACCATAATAACCAGTCGTCTCTGGTTAATTTTATTAGTAATAACAAATATCTAGTTCTACCTTCTGTAATCTGTTTGGTTCTATTCTCGTAAATGGTTTCACATAGCACTCATAATTTGTTTTTAGTTCTTACTTATCAATTCATTGCAAACATTACAAAATAATAACTGCGAATTTTATATTACTTGAAGTATTTTATTAATGTCACTTGTAAAATAGTGGATGCGTTCTAAAATATGTTGAAAAACAATTGTGACGTCACATATTCTATCAGCTGAAGAGTAGGTGTTTTTACGGTAAAGAGCTAAAATAACAAGATGGGTGGTGCGGTAAGCTCCGGGCGCGACAACAATGAGTTGATAGACAATCTGATGGAAGGGAACTACATTCGTAGCCCGGATGTGGAGCGTGTTTTCAGAGCTCTCGACCGGGCTGACTATATGACTCCCGATACCAGAGATCAGGCTTACAAGGATCTCGCCTGGCGAAACGGGCCGTTGCATCTCTCATCTCCATGTATTTATAGGTAAGTACCTTATTTTGACGTTGCAACTATAATAATTGTCCATCGGTATTGACTATTGTTATTCTTTGCTAACTGCTCTGTACAAACTGAACTATATTAATTGTATAATGGATTTAAACATAGAACTTTAATTTGTACTTATACGCCCGAAGAATTTTTTAAATATTTCATCAATCAAATACTTTTGTCCTTTGCTGCGTCATCCTTGTGGTATTCATTCAAAATAAACACTTTAATTTTAAGCAATCTTTAGTCTATTAAAGTATATTTTTCAATATTGTATCCAGTCCAATCCTAATAGCCTCATGATTCCTCCCAAGGATTATGCTATGAGGGTATTGAAATTAAAAATACTTTAATTTCAATGGAGAGGATTGGGTGCTACCATCAGCTTAGTTTATTAAAAGGTGTGGGTTTACAAATGTTCATGAGTGGCGGTTATCACTTAACATTAGGTAAACTACTGGCTTGCTTGCCACCTTCTCACATAAAAACAAAATCAGGTAATAGTTTTATTGTATACGTTATGATATAGGTTTAAATTGCATTCGGCCTAAAATTGCCTAATAATCTAATGAAATAGAGACAAAATTTATTATTGACCCTTATATATTTGTGTTCTAAGTGAAATTCCATTACTCCAATAGCGAAGTGATGGAAGGACTGGAGCTGAAGCCAGGACTATCATTTCTGAACATTGGTTCTGGCACTGGATACCTGAGCACTATGGTGGGGCTTATCTTGGGTTCCGGAGGTATCAACCATGGAGTGGAAGTACATCCTGTAGTTTTGGAATACTCATCAAAGAAGAATAGTCAGTTTATTGAGAACTCACCAACAATAGATGATTTTGACTTCTGTGAACCAAAATATTTCTTAGGTGAGTGGAGCTTGAGCAATAAAATAAAAGAAAGTACAGTAGTACTGAGCCCTGATAGCACTCTGTCTAGGCACTCTCCTTCAATTCAATGTACTGGAGCAACCTGAGTTTGATCCAGTTTAATTGTTAATTTTAAGTGCTGACTTATTACATGATCAGTGCTGAAGGAAAACATAGTTAGGAAACCTGCATATTTTCCAAATAATAAATAAATAATAAATAATAAAGATATTATGTGAAGCCTGCCAATCCACATGCCCTACTGTGCACACAGGCGTGGTGGACAATGCCCTGATACCCTCTGTACACAGGAGGGCTATGCCCAGCTGTGGGACATGTACAGGCTGTTACTTACTTTTACAGTAGTACTCATATTGAATTAGAAATTCAATATTTCATTTTTCTTGAGTTTCAATGGTAATCAATATTGTTAAGAAAAGACTTTTTTGAAAACATAACATGAAATGAAACTCAAAGTTATTAATTCAATTGAAATTTGTTGCAAGCTTGTTTGGGCTTTCGCACCCGACCATTTGTTTAACAGCAGAAGGTGCTGTTATATAAATGGGCAGGCTCACCCCTAATATAGATTTTCATGAGCAGTGGTAATTATATATCAAAAGATGAAATGCTTGCTTGTTTGCCACTTTCTCACATAAAATGAAATAATCTCCACCGTAATTGAATTGTGTGGTCAAAATGGAACATGCTGTGTCCTAGGCAACGGACTGTGCCTGGCGCCCCTGCAGGCGCCTTATGACCGCGTGTACTGTGGGGCTGGTTGCCCTGATGAGTACACAAACTATTTTAAGCAGCTGATAAGGGTATATATATATATTTTACTATAAATTATAAACTGGTAAAATCCTAAACATCTAACAGCAGTTCATCGCCAACCTTTCTAAATTAATTGTTGTTGTTGGGTTTGAATCCTGGCTTAGTACAAATCCACGGGGATTCAAATTCACTGGTGCCAACACGGCTGGCACCAAATCATTTACACATGCTGCTGACTTATCTCATGCTCAACGGTGAGGGAAAAATAATGAGGAAACCTGCACATTTTCGACATAGTAATAAAAAAAAATTTCAAAGGTATGTGAATCCAGAGTAGGGTCACACAGTAAACTAAGCAGTGTTGTAACTTGCAATTGAAGATTGTTAGATGTTTTATCCATTTGATTTGTTTTGTCCATATGAATCTTCATATAAAAGATATATCAGACATGTATAATATTGGATGAATTTAAAATGAACCTTAAGATATTGACTTTTGATCAAACAAAAAGAAAACCTGGATGCTAAATGGACAGATAGGCAACTGCATTAAAACACACTGTTAAAATAGAATTGTGTTTAATTATTAGAATACTTTAGAGTTGTAATAATTTAGTCTCTAACATGAATGATTCAAGCGGCTTGATTTGAGCTTTGGCATGAGCAACACTTTGGTGCCTAATTGATAGTGGAGCACACCCAACTCACATAGCGGCGTGAAATATTGTTAGGATATATGTTCTGAAATACTACAAGTTTTTCAACAAGTATTTTACATTCAGGCATTAAATGCAAAGTAGGCTAATGTGTTTATTGCAAATGGCTAAAATATCAAAAAACAAAGCTTTATATTTATTTATAGCTTCTATTCATATCATGCTACAAACCATTGAAACTTTCAAGCTTAATAGATGAAATTATAGTATTAGTAGTTGTTGTAGTAGTATAGCTTTTGTATCATCATCACCCTCCTACCCTTAACCCACATTGGGTGGGGGAGGGTGGGGGAGGGGTTGGCACAACATGTAAATCATGTTGTAAGCGGTTTTGGCTATGTTTTTATGACCGCCTGTCTGACGTCAATTCTTGTGAAACAATTACCTCTTGAGTTATTGGACTTCCATGTGAGAACTGGGCTAGTGTATTTTCCTCCAACAACTAAATCTGAGAGGCAAAAGAAATTTGTAAGGATAAATAGTTTATGATAATAAGCATAAATTCATAATTTATCTCTTGTCTGAATTGTTGGGCATATCAAGACTTTCCTTCTGGTGAAGGAAATGTTGGCGAGTTTTTGTTAAAAGGATTCTATTCCTTCCAAACAGTACAAAAACGTTTAGTCTTTACTGTCAAACAATATAATACTTTTTAAAATATATGACACATATGTGACGTGTAATATGTAATTATCGTATTACCTAAAAAAATTATCTGCTGAGTTTCTTTTGTTTCGCCGGTTCTTCTCAGGTCAGTCGCTTTTCTTTTCCGAATTGGTAGTAGAATTTTGACAATCGATAAGTAAGTGTAATCCTTCTTGTATGCATAATGTAATTTTAATTTGAATTTACCATTTATAGCATTGGTGCCAAAAAGTGTATTTATTCTTAAGATTGGTGGGATTCTGGTGATGCCGTTAAACGACACGCTTCTGCAAGTGAAACGTGTCAGCGAGACGGAGTGGGTGTCACGCAGTCTACTGAATGTGACGTTTGCCCCCCTTAAGCTGCCCTTAACCGATAACCCACCAGAGCTTATTAAACTTGGTGCGTATTCAGTGCATATTTATTATATCTTTTTATTTAGGGTTTGTTAGTGTTGACCCCTACAGGATCTAAGCAAAGAGGGAATGGAAGGTATGTCTTTGATGAATGAACATTTATTAAGTTCATTAAATATTTCTTTGCCAATCTAATTGTGCTATTATCAATCGACATTACGGTTTGATTGAATTTGATTTAAGTAATCTTTTTCTTGTTTATTCCTAATATCATGAAGAGGCTCCAGCAAAAGTCTGCATTTTTATTCCCATCTTTGTCTTACTGTTACCTACGGGACCAGACCTCATCTCTTGTCTCCTCCGGGGGAATTTATGTAGCTTATTTCTGACACGTGTTGTGTATTCTCTGATCATAGTGAACTATGATCCGAGAGTACAGTGTGATATAACGTGGGTTTCCCTGTCCCTGATTCTGTGGAGTGATGTGACGTGGGTTCGTTCTGCAGAGGAGCAGGCGCCGCCGCGGCTGCAGGTGCTGGCCAGGGGAGTGGTGAGGAGCTCCATGCGGCTGGCGATGATGCGCCGCCACCCGGAGCTGCGCGAGCCTGTGAAGCCGCCCTGCCCCCCGCGCCCCTCGCGCTCCCAGCGCCACACCCGCCACTGCCCGCGCCGCATCCGGATCCCCATCGATGAGAGGCCAGGTGACTTCGGATGTGGTACCTTGCGAATGAGCACTCGCTCGGAAACCAATATAATTCTGTATTTGTAGATGTATTCTCGAATTCGGTCGTAGGCAATTTCGACATGCTGCACGACCTGGACCGCGAGAACGGCGCCAACGAGATGAACGCGCTGCTCAGCCTGGTGCTGAGCATGGGCGACAACAGGGTCGCGGGCGCGCTGAGGTTCGACTCGCCGTCCGCGTCCTCGGCCGAGGAGTCGGACGAGGAGGCCGGCGAGGTGGTGAGGCCCGAGCCGCCCGCCGAGCCGGAGCGCGACCCGGCGCTGAGCGTGGAGGCCGCCCAGCGCAGGATCGACGTGGTCTTCCGCAGCTTCCTCGGCGAGCGCGCCCGCAGGGCGGCGACCAGCCCCAGACCCGCTCGCTGACCTTCGAGTTCCGCGACTCCGCGTCGAGGTCCAGCCAGACGGGCCCCGACGGCGCCCCGCGGGGCCTCAAGCCGTGCACCAACCCCGAGGTGCCCCCCGACGTGGAGGTGTACCTGGACAGCAGCCTCGAGGCGCAGCCCAGCACGTCGCGCACCGAGATGGAGTGGGAGGAGTCCAAGACCGAGGGCAAAGGCGACTCCACGAGCGAGGACGACACGGAGACCGTGCCGAAGGGCAACGCCAGCAAGCGCCAGAAGCTCGACAGCGGCATCGGCGAGGGGAACACGCCGTCCGGCTCCTCGCCCGAGAAGACCGAGAAGAGCGAGGAGTCGGAGATATGCGAGGACTCGCCTCAGTCCGACAGTCACAACGATGACGCGGAGCCAGTGCCAGGTATGTATGCCAAGTAGAGATGTGTAAGTAATTACGCGAGTATGGCGAGCAAAAGGATGTGATGCGTGTGCGAGCGAGATGATCGCGCGCTTCGGGCGGCATCACATTGCCCGCCTTCGCTCTAGGCCAGGGGTGAGCAACCTTTTTAATCAATGGGCCAATTTAAATTTAAATTTTTTTTTGGCGGGCCGCACATAATATTTTTTCGAAACTTTATTTTTTTTAAATATTAGAATAATAAAATATAAAATTAAAAAAAAGTAAATATTTCATATACAAATTTTAATGCGAGGTAAAAACAAACAAGAAAAGAACAGAAAAACGAACAAAAAATATTTCGGTTCAGTATGTTTACCTACCATTTTATTACAATAAATTTTATAACAATGTATTGATGGGAGAAATTCGATAAAATAAATTCAATTTTAGAAATGTTTGGCGGGCCGCATAAACATGTTAAACGGGCCGCGCGCTGCTCATCCTTGCTCTAGGCGGATAATATTTTACATTACTTGCAATAAAACCGCGACCGTAATGCAATATAAAAAAGATTTTTTTACGACGTTACGTACAAAATGTGTGCATTCCCCGCGCAAATACGAATGTCATGCTGTAATACAAAAACAAGCTAATATTGCATGCTATTAAATAATAAGTTGCGAAATTACCTCTATTTTTAATATTTACATTTAGAATATCATATACTTAATACGCTTTAATCCTTAAGTACGTAATAGTAATGAAATTAAAATAATAATATGCTTTAGTCCAGTATGTTACTGTAAACTGTAATGACATCGCAACATCATCATCACAGTATAGACCTATATAGACCATAAGAGGTAATGTAATGTGTAATGCTTTTGAGTGATATTACTTCGATGAGTGATGTGATAAACATCACATTACTTTTTGAAGCACTGTTACTTGCGCATCTCTAATGCCAAGGGTTGCATTAGCTATCCGATATCTGCGAAATCGCCGCGCGAATTAATTATAATATGTTGATATATCTTCTTCCTCCTGCTTCCTCTTGGTCTGCTGTTAACATGTTCTTAATGCTATCGATTAGGTTTCTTAAAAACTGGCTCCTCACATAAAAAAAAATCCCGCATTTGGAACCCAGAAATGCGGATGTATGGAAAATTTTATAAACGGATGTTCCGTTTCTCTTGACTCATTACCCGAATTCATTTTCTTCGGCCTCAACGCTGCAGTTGCTCTAGACCTGCTAGACTGGGTTTTCTGACATCCTGCAGATATTTTTTCCCATCGTCACTGTAACGCGTTCGAGGTAAGAATACAGTGGACAAAAATTGATACAGCGTTTACGTGATAGCTCTATGTGAGGCCGTGGTAGATCAGTGTCGCAGTGTCGGGTGCTCGCCTTTAATTCAATATACTCGAGCAACTTGATTTCGATCCCCGGTGTCGGTACCAATGAAATCGTTAATCAAGTGCTGATTTATCACGTGCTAGCTTAAAAAATAACAAAATAAAATATTTGTATGATATGTGCAGTCCGCCACGAGTGGGGCCGCGTGGTGGGCTACCCTCATACCCTCTGTAGACAGGAGGCGTCTCCCAGCAGTGGGACATGTACAGGCTGTTACTTTACTTTGCCGTACGTGACCGGCAGGCCGCCACCGGCAGCCGAAGCGCACGCGGCTGCACGACCCCGCCTCGTCCACGGACGAAGAGGGCTCCGACGACTCCGAGGCCGGGCGGCTGCGTCGGCACAAGAAGCGCGCCGCACAAGGGGGCGACGCCCGGCGCGTGCGCCTCTCCATCGTGATGAAGCGCGGCGTCAAGGAGCTGCCGCTGCCCTACGCGCTCAAGAAGTACGTGAACCTGGGCCGCTGCTTCCAGTTCTAAGCCGGCTCGCCCGAACCCCGCCACTCGTCCCACGGAGACTGCGAGAAGTGGACGCGTGTTCAGACTGTTGGACAGGTGAGCATCGATGCCCAGTCACGGCCTCTTGGGGGACGCGTAACTGGGCGTTGGCTAGATTACATAGTCCTCATAGCGGATGGCTTATTTAAGAGATGTGTCACAAAAACACCAATGGTTTCATTGTCGACTGCATGTCAATAATTACATTGTCAATGCCTCCCAATTCAGGTTAAAACTGCATTGTCTAATGAGTAGTTCTTGTCACATCTTTTAATCAGTTATGTAGTGTTCTTCGAGTGTTACTGTTTGGAAGTGTTGGTTTCAAGCTGTGATTCAGCAGATTTGGTACACCCACAAATTATATTATATCATTAAAGTGTTTAAGTTACATACTCATTCAACATATTCTATATAAATGAGATAAGGAAGTGCTGTTCATGTAGAATAAACAACACCAATTAAAGTGTTTTTTCGATGTGTTGTTACTTCTGAGCATAGACGGTTTAATTTGCAATACCACAAGACATTAAGGGGATTGTTTAATGTGTAAAGGCACTCGTTTAAATTTATTTGTAGATGAGCCACCTTTCGGAGCTTTTTATATAGCTATAGGGATGGTGGCGTTAAAATATATAACTTTTCGTTTGTATGTTAGGTCTGTCATAATGGTTAATATGTTGATCAAATTCTTAAATATCCATACATATTATTCAGTCATTCTAATGTTAAGAAATGCATAGTTGCGGTCACAGGGCAGGACCTGCATTGTAAGAGACTAGTTGTAGATGCTGTAGAAATTACAGTTACCTTTTTTAAAAAAAGTCGGTTACTGTTTTTTTACCTTTTACATGTCAATAAACAAATAAATGTTTGGTTTTATTTGCTATAGTATCAGAAAACAGCAATATTAAAATGTGAGTCGACCAAGTCTTCTCTGTCACAAATACATGAGCATACTAGGGGAGCTAAGAACTTTAATCTGGACACAGGATTCTATTAGCGGCTAATAAACTAATAATAGCGGCTAGTAAACTATATGTCATTGAACAATTTATGAATTTGTATTGGAAAGTTATTCATGTAGATTCTAAAGATGTTGCCTGTAGCTTTAATAAGCAAACTTAACTGCCATGTAACTTAAGGTCATGTGTTAGTTATTTTGTATAAATATAAGTTATTTACATTATTAATATTAATATTGAAATGGAAAACATTAAATGCATAACACTCAAATAATCAATTTGCGGGAAGTAGATTTTGCCAATATTATAATTCTAACCTGTGACCTCAACGTTTATACTTATTAACTTTAAACAATATAATATATTACAGTATGATTCTTTGCAATGACAAATTATGTCGTATTGCATGTAGCTTATAATAAGATTATTTAAGACAATGCTTTGTTTCAATGATTTTTAACCATTTTCTCCGATCATTGTTTTGCAAAAATAATTCCAAATGTAAGGTATTTGTGTAAGTTGTTGGTGATAAAATATTATATATTGGACTAGATTTTTTACCTCCTCTTTTGGAATATCTGATTCCTCATGGCTCAGATTCGGAGTCAAAGTCAAAATTTCTTTATTGAATATAAGCTTAATTTAAGCTCTTATAGAAAGTAAAAAAAACTAGCACAATAAAATTGATATTTAGGTTTTAATGGCTAAATAAGTGTGATACTCGATCTTTGTTGTGTAATGTATTATTCATATATTTCAAGAGAATACACAATTTTTACATTGTATAAATAAAGTTTTAATGCATGAGAATACATTATTTTGATTAAATATCGAAATGAAGTGTCGCCTAGTTTTTAAAATAATCTTTGGATCACCAACTTACATGAATACATTTCTTGTAATACTGTAAACAATATCCGTTATTATTATCGCAAAATATTTTCATAATAATTGGTGTAAATATTATTTTGTAATTTGTTTTTGTTGCAAATAAATATTCAAATTTATCAGTGAAACACTGTTTTATTTCATATCTAAAGGTAGAATCTGAAATGAACTTAAATTACAAGGATATACAAATATTTTATAATTATTAAATATTGCACAATAATATTCCATACACATAAATGCTTATCAAAAATTCTCGATAAATCACGACTTATTACGATGGAACATATTGTGATAATTAGTGCGTTAACGGTTTTTAGTCACCAAAATTCTAATGAATCAGAAAAAAAACTTAAAATTTATGTCAAACTTTATCATGAAGTAATCATGGATCAATCTGGAATTACTTTCATATTTAAGTTCTAGAATAGCAATAATGAATACATGTGCATCATTATTTAATTCAGCACAACAGCAATTTTCCTAGACATAAGACCGACTCAAATTATCTACTTTTTATAAGAACTGTCTCCATAAGTAGACAACGTGTATTTGAAGCGAACAGAATATTTATGTACTATGTATAGCAGCAATAGTAATTTTTATTTAAGCTTGGATTTGTTGCCTATTTACTATTTCCAAGTAACGGGCTGCCCAGGACCGGGATACGTTCAGCAGCCAAAATATTTTATTTTACAAAAATTGTAAAATAAAATATTTTGGTATATTATTATTCAGTCATATCCATATGCATTTAACAAAAGCGGAATTAATTTATTATTACAGACACTCCAATCCAATTTTATTTATCTATAGTATGGAGATAGTTTAATTATGCATCATACCTCCTTCCCCCCTTTACCAGTATTTTCAAAGTATAATAGGTATGTAATTAGAATAATTGTGTGGCTCGGTCGGATGCGCGTACCCACCTATATCGTATGTGCGTCTGTCTACCTGCTTACTTAGCATACACTTTTATACGCTACGCGATATTTACCGTCGAATTCATGTACGTATTATACAACGTCGCGTCCTAAACTCCTAAAGTGTTGTGCGGTTCTGGAGCACTGCAGCACACGCAGCTGATGCCGCCTCCAGTAACACCAATAGTATATCATACACAACAAGATCGGATTTGGACCATCGCTCCGCCCGTGGTGGCTGGTGTGCGACTGCGGAGGAAGACTATGTGATGTCGTCGTGTGTCTCAGTCGTTTGATTATTTTTTTTATCTACACGGTGGACGGATAGGGACACGTACATAGTATAATTGTGTACGTGTGATGATGTTTCTTACTTACATACATGAACGTTTTCTTGTTTATTTAGTTTGTTATGTGGGCCCATCCCGGCGGCACTGCAATGCCGGGCCGACCCGTGACGGGAGTGGAGCGAGCCCCGAACATCCCGTAGTTTTTCAAAAATCAGTTTAATATACTGGTCCCGCAGTGCGGGAACTTTCAGATATTAAGCTGAAAAGAACAGATACTACACTTTGATCTTAGCCAAAAGGCCGAGAAGCGATGTTAAAATTAAGCAATCGAGGGGTGTTATTCAATCTGAGAAAATCTCAACATCGTGTTCTAGAGATTTGCTATATACCGATCAGCGCCATCTCTTGTCTACTTGCAACACTTGATTGCGAAGTACTTAATGGCGTTAATGCTATCAGATTACTTAGTATGTATGAAGTCATTTCTAATGTGGTTCCTTAACGATATTAGAATTAACTATAATTATGTATAATTATATATATAACTATTCACTACTCATCATCAGCGTATTTATTATATGTGATATAATTACTTAAACAATGAAAACAAATATGTGTACCTCACGCAGTAGTAATATATACTTGCAGAAATAATAGTAAATCTTTTTATTTCATTTTAAGACTATTAATATTCTTTTTAGAAAAGACCATAAAAAACAGGAAGAAGGGGCGTTCAGTAAAAACTACTACTAACTTATGAAATATTTAATTGCATATATAAAATTTTATAAAACTATTTTGCACTGATGCCTATAATTTTGGAACAGAAAAATAATAATTTCAAAATATATACGAGTACCTGTATTTGGTGGGGGAAATACGTATTATCATCATGGCAAAATATAATTAACAAAAAAGATATTTGATTAGGTGACGCAGTTAGTAACCAATTAGCTTTGTTGGCGGGTCATGGGTTCGATTCCCGCATGGAGCAAATATTTGTGTCAACCACAGAAAGGTTCTGCTATGGTGTTCTGTGGTGGTGATGTTATTGCCAATGATTCTTCTTTTCGTAAGCAAAGTCAAACACGTCACACACACACACACACACACACGGAAGGTAGTGGACACAATTATTTCGTAATTACGTTTTTAGCTTATCTATTTAGGAATTCCTTGGTGTGGTGTATATTAAAGTTGAAATAGAAAGCTATTGGACAATGTTGACTTTGTATACTTTGCACTTGGTTTATATTTACTCCGTAAATAATTAATACAGGTACATATAAATTGACACCAACTTAAGTATGTATTTGCTAACGTTTCTATTTGACAATGTTGATCTCACAATTTAGTAAAGATACTGCGTGTCTATATGTTATATGCTCTGACGGAGCTTTTTCCATTCCCAATTCCTACAATTCGCGAAACACATTTAATACAATAATTTTGTTTCGAGATTTTTATTTTTGTTTAAATAATTCTAGGTTTAATGATCTTTTTGTCACGGTACCTTAATTTTGGCTGCTTGAAGGGTTTTTTTTTAGCTTTTTATTTAGAATGAAACTAAAACGGTATAAAGTTACGTAAAAAATAAACATCGATATTGTCATAATTTTGTGCATTGTGGTTTTTATTTTGCTTACGTTGTATCAATGATATTTTTAGTATAAAATATCATCGTGTCGTATTAAAAAGAATGATTCGGGGATTTTGGCAGGGCGAAAGGAAAATTGAAGAAAATTTCTGATTTCTATGAGAGTATATATATTATGTTGCGAAAGTGATTGAAGTGGTAAAATCTGAAGAACACTGCAATAAGTCTTATTAAAAATTGTAACACTGCAATAAATCTTAGTAAAAGTGTCTGTAATAAAAATTGAAGACAAAGGCTTGAATCACATTGGAAGTAGCGTAGCGATTATTAGACTAACGATATAATTACATCATTCATCTCATTCACTATTTAATTATAAAGCTAAGCACGCTGTTACTACATTTAGGTGTTTCATGGTGTTTTCGTAAAAGAACAACCAACGTTATAATAAAATGATTTATTACTTAAAATAAATACAGTTTACATACAGGTTAGCGGTGGGCCTTAAGTTTTACAGCTTTATACAAAATATCTCTTATGTATAATAACATTTGAGTCTTATTTTACCATTGGCAATTACGATCGGCTGAAAATACTTTTAATCATGCGTCATTTACATTTAAAAGTTTTCTATATAAAATATCATGCGAATTCGAAACGGAGGTAGCATTCCAATTTTATTCTATATTCAAACGATAGATGGACACAGTCTTACCGAGAAGAGATTTTACGGTAGTTTTATCAATATAATAGGACACATTCATTCGGAGTGGAAGCGGCTTCCAGCGGTGCTGATGTTGAAACTCCCTAGTTATTAACCAGAGAGGTTTTTACCAGAGCGTCAACGGCCTCGGCACCTGTAGGATTGCAACGAGAGTTCCCTGCCAATGTTTTTATTTGGAGTGGTGAGTCCAGTTACCACTAAGGTTTTAATCAGAGCGTAGCGACGGGCTCGGCACCTCTAGGGTCGCAGCGGGAGTCCCCTAGCACCACTTGCCGTGCACCGCGCCGCCGACGCGCACCGGCACGTGCATCGTCTCCGGGTACAGGTCGTCGGCGGCGGGCGCGTCGCGGCCGCTCAGGCCGCTCAGGCCGCTCTGCAGCTTGCGCGCCGGCCGCGGCGTCGCCCGCCCGCCCTCGCGCATCCGCTCGCGCGCCCACTTGTCCGCCGCGTGCGTCCTCTTCACCGGCCTCTTGCTCGGGTCGCCGCTCGGCGCCTCCGAGGGCGTCTCCGACTCGCTGCCGTTCAGTATGGAGTGCGCGCTGCGCGCCTTGTGCAGCGACAGCCGCAGCGGCTTCCTGGGCGGCGTCGGCCGCGACTTCCCCCCCTCCCGCCCCTCTTCGCTCATCCCGTGGCCCGCCCGCGTGGAGCCGCCCTCCGAGCCGTACGCCTCGCCGTTCGGATAGTCGGAGTACTCCGACTCCAGCTCCGAGGACTTGGCGCTGCGCGAGTGCACCTTCGACGACGACCGCCTGCTGGACTTGTGCGCGTTCTCCAACACCTTGCCGTCTATCCGATGGTACATGTGCTTCTCCGTCTCCAGCTTCACGTCCTCCGCGCTGTCGTTCTTCTTCATCTTTCGCATCCGCTGCGTCCGTTTCAGCTGCTCTATTATCGACAACGTCTTCCTCATCCGCCCAGTTGGTCTTCTTTATGCTCTCCTCTATTCTATCCGCGGCCTTTTTGATCTCGTAGTGCCGGGGCTCGCACCTCTTCGAGTGCACGTCGACGTCCAGGTCGCTGTCCGATCGGAAGTGGTCGTCTATTTTCGATTGGGGCTTGTTGATTTTCTCACACTTGATCCTCTGCTTCTCCATGTGCCGCTGGTTGCGCTCTATCATGCGTATTGCCGCGTCCGTCTCCGCCCCGTAGTCGGCCGCGCCGTGGACGCAGTGCTGCGAGAGGGAGTGGCGCAGGCGGCCCGCGCGGTGCTCCAGGCTGTGCGAGCTGTGGGAGCGGCGGTTGGGGGTGGGGGAGGTGCGGGGCGAGGTGGCGATCCTCGACGAGGCGCCGGACGCATTCGACCTGGGCCTCATCACTGGCAGGTTGGCCTCCGGCCCCTCGAGGCCGGGGAGTTTCGCCACTATGGCCGTGATGTCGGGCCCCTTCTGGAACACCTGCACCTCGGACTTGGGGCTCGTCCTGCGCCCTTGCTTCGGCTCCGTCGTTATGCTGATGTTGGTAACGTTCTTCTTCGTTTTGTTGACAGTTATGCAGCTGTCGCTGCTGCTTACTGGGTGAAGCTGAAAAAAAATTTGCTTTCATCAATTGTTTACTAGTAGTAGTAGTAGTAGTAGTAGAAATTCATATCGCGTGCCGTGATAGCTCAGTGTCCGTGTGCCCGGTTTTGTTTCATTATGCTCGAGTAATATGAGTCTACACAGGGGTCGTGTGGTGGTCGGCGCGACGGGTGCCGGTGTACCTGCGTGTGCTTGGCGAGCAGCTCGGCCACCTGCTCCTCTAGGTAGGAGATGCGGTGCGTGAGGCGCGTGTTGTCGGCGCGGAGGCCCTCCTTCGCACGCTCCGCATCCTCGGCCGCCGTCCTAAGCGCGCCGAGCTCCGCTCGCAGCGACGCCGCCTCGTTCTGCGAAAGTAGCTCATGTAAATTAGTATTCCTCGCCATGAAATTTTTTGTACTTGTTTTAACTTTTAGCACGCGAGAAAAAGACAAAGACGCTCAGACGTACAGAACGTCACGTACAGAACGTTCCAACTAAAAGAATATTTTTTTTTTTTTTTTTTTTTTTTTTTTTAATCTTTGATTGCCACCTTCAGTAAAAACAAGGTAACAAGGGGTGCGGACGGAATGCCAAAGGGCATTCTCTACCAGTCAACCCAGGATGTGGTGAGTAGTTTCTGTATTTATGAATATTTTCATAAATATGTGGTACTAAGTTTAATTATACAACAGCGTTATAGAATATTGCGACATCCAAGGGTTTAGTTCCACTAAAAGATATATTTTATTAGTACCAACAGTCACATTTTTTACCTTCCATCAACATATTTTATATATAATACTAGCTGATCCGACAAACGTTGTTGTTGTAGGTGTAAGTTATATACATAAGTACAGCTTTTGGTATATGTCAATAAAAGCAGTCTTGTCACACACATCGTCGAGTGCGTTTCATTTATTACACCTTTGATTACTACAGTTGTTATGCTTATATATATATATATATATATATATATATATATATATATATATTGTATATATATATATATATATTCTCATACCTATAAAATCGGTCAAGTCGTTTCGGAGGGTATAAACACTAGAACTGTGACACAAGAATTTTATATATTAGATAAAGTATTAGAGAAGTAAGTTAGTATTATTATATGTATGTATAATATATATATATATTTACTTTAGTATATATAAATATATAATACATATAATAATACTAACAGTACTATTGCTGACCAATAAGTACAGTTATAACAGTTATAACAATGACTCTAGGTAGGTTAGATTAAGGTAGGTGGGGGTAGGGCGGGCCGCTAGTCTTGAAAAAAAGTGTTTGTTGGCCAATTAGGTATCTCAATGAAATGTACAATTAGTCGATACACGTCGGTGCTACCGACCTGTGTGAAGTGCGTCGCAGAAGGTGCCGAATGCGCGACCTTCTGGTCACGAAGGACGACGAGACGCGTCGTGGCGGCGTTGCCAAACGCCCGCTGCAGATCCTCCTGACACTTAAAGCTTAACGCCGGCGTCCCGTTCACTTCTAATATTCTGCAAGAAACGATAAACAAACTAATTATGAAGTTGAATATTTAGCCACAGGGATTTTAGCTTTATTAATCATTTTTCTTTAAATGTAGAAAAATGGCCGGGACGGTTATCGCCGCTGCCTACAATCCTTTATTTCGAAACATTTTTATATTGTATTTCATTTTTTTATTTTCATTTTCATTTTCTTACAATCACAATGAGTGTTAACTATGAGCGGAAGACACTGTAGTCTGTTACACAGTTCTAAACTATCCAGGCTACAGGGCTTCTAATGATCACATGTTTTTCACATTTTTTTGGTAACCAATAAACTTTTTCGCGGCTCTGGGAATCGAACCCACGTCTTCGGGATTCACGCCCTGCGAACGTCTTTTATCTGCATTGTTTTTTATAGCATTTGAAGCAACGCTAGGCGCAATCAACCCTTTAGTTTATTGGCTAAAGCGTCAAAGCGCGAATCCCGAATACATGGTGGTTTGATTCCCATAGTGGCGAAAAACTTTTCGTACTTTTTTCTACAAATTTTAAAGTTTAACCTTAAGTGCAGAGATGTGCATTATAAAAATTTAAAATTACCAATAAACTTATCACCACTTCGACGAAAACTTTTCATCCATTTCTGTACACCTTTTTGAATTTCATCTTGTGCAGAGAATAAGCAGTATAAAAATAATATCCTTTAAAAATTATTAATTCTGTTGAGTTCTGCGGCCTTATACGACCGGCTTAGACCACTTCATATTGTACATGTACACACTTTAAGCTACGAGTATGTCAGACCTTTGGTATTGTGGGGAAATTCTCTGTTCCTGACAATTACTGGCCTATAAATATTATACAATATTTTTTATGTTAGAACATAGTGATACAAGTCATAACCGCCGACTATGGAACACACCTGGAACACCCGTGGAGTTGAAGATGCGTTGCCACCTTTTAAAAAGTAGGCCCTGGTTACCTCACTCACCAGAGTAGACGACGGTTAATACCTCCACTTTGGTATTCTGTCAGGCTGCGGACGAGCCTCTGCCATGTGCCCGAAGCTGCTGGGTGGCCCTACCATAGTCCTACCGTTAGTGTCTACACCTTAGATCCGTAGCCAATGCACTGACTGGCATTCGTAAGATAGCCTGGTTGCAGACTTTGGTCTCATAATGGGGTTGAGAAATACTTAGCAATTTTCGCAGTCGTGTTTGAAAACGCTCGCAGTATAATGATTATTTATTAAAGAAACAAATGTTGTGACCGGTTTTGATCATTCAAAAACTGTTTGTTTTTGAACGAAATATGTTTGGATGATGTTACCAGAATAGTTGAAACATAACGTCTTTCCATCTGTTACCTCGTCTGTTTTCGCGGCAGTGTTTTGCAACTATAAGAGTTCTAACGTTTTTATATACCTGGTCAATGGAAGCCGCGGGCACATCTTGGGCTTTATAAATATCGTAAATAAATTTTTCGTCTGTTAAGGAAAGCCGGAGTAATTTACATGGTAAAACGGGACGTGCTTTAGCTCTGACAAATGGGGGTGGGTTATTCGATAGCCACTTATTCCGTCCGGAACGAGGGCCGTATTATCGAGGCGATATCCTGAATATACCGCGCCAACACTGGGCGTTGACAAATGAATGTGGACGCGGTTAGGGTCGCGACACACTGCGCTGGAAATACGCACTTCAGTTCTACATAAACATACTATTCATTTACAAGCATTGTAACAAGTTATTTTGTGTACGCTACCCTTTCTCTCTCTCTCACACACACACACACACACACACACACACACACACACACACACACACACACACACACAGTCTTTTTTTGTTTAAATATGTTGTATAAATTAAATAAGGTGTTGTTTGTGCTTCTGTTCCAATAGAGGAAGTCGACACTTAAATTGTAGAAAAAAAAAACTGAATCGAATAAACATTTATTTTATTTATTTATTTTATATTTACCTATTTTATCATTATTAATTGTCCGTATCTCTTTATATTATAATCTTTATCAATGCAATTTAAGTTGCTTAGTCGTTTATAAATGTTGATATAGATGGAGAAAGTATCAATCGAGCTGGCGGTTCACATGATGTTAAGTTATAACCGCCACCCATGGACATTTGCAACACCCCGTAGGGTTGCAGATGCGTTGCTAACATTCAATAAAGTCGATCCCTTACTCACCAGACGAAACGCTGGAGTATAGAACTTCCACTTCAGGTTGTGGTACTTCACCGGATGGACCTGCCTATTCGTGCAACAGCGAAGACTGTTGCATGGCCCTACCACAATTATATACACTGTCCATGAGAGTGTATATAAACCGAAATGGCGCTATTTTGGCATAGAGATAGAGAGATAAAGGAGAAGGACTTGAAATTGACGGTAGTAGACGAAATACAGCATGCCCAAAGAGATTAGTAGAATATGAACAAGCCCATTTTGTGCTAAATCAGAAGATAAAGGTTATAAAGTTGCTAAACTTAAAGTTAAAATGCATCGTAAAAATGCCAAGCTATTATATTTATAACTTAATTTAGTTAAGATATATTATTTTTAATTTGTTATTATCAAAGCTGATTTTGTAATTCAAATTTATTTTCTTTATTTAAAAAAATATTGGCGTAATCTTTGAAATGTAGAACTTACGCTACCGTAACGCCATCTTGGAGTTTATCTATTTTATGGATACCTACTTAATATTATTTAGAATTTACTCAAACAGTCTGCAATTGTTTAATCGCAATCAGCGCCAGTTATTATTAAATGATTTGGTTCACTCATCAACGTAGTGTGGCTGAATCTTTAGAAAGATTGTTGTTTTAATTCAATTGCTATTTGTACGCCCCAAGCGAGATTGAAAGCGTCGTTACTGGTTCCGTTTGTCTCAATGATATATTTCGATCTCGCGGGCTAAGTGGCTATGCTATTAGTGTAAATCGTATCGGAAAAGGACACTCGATAGTTCGTTATTTCGATCGAGCGGCGAATTAATTTCTTTGTCGAGGAGGCTCTAAGGATAACATAACTAAATCGTTGCTAATCTAACGAACGTCTTTATTTTGGAATATTTCTGTCATTTGCCGCGAATCAACCATGGCCGTTTGTGTGCTTGAATGGGCGCGATCGTCCATGGACAGTCAGACCCGAATGGCGTACCCGTATGGCACCTACCTGCTTTCTGCGCCAGAGGGTGTGGGTTCGATCCCCACTACTGGAAAAATATTGTGTGATGAGCATAGTGTTTTTCTAGTGTCTGGGTGTTTATATATTTTATTTTTTTGTAGTATTTCACGTTGTGTAAAAGAATGTGTCTTAAAAGTATTTTTATATATGTATATTGTATATTTCCCTTGGTCGGATGAGTGAGGTAATTGGTGCCCATCTTCTTAAAGGTTGGCAACTGCCGTTTGGTGGTGGCAATTTGTGGCTCGTTTGCCTCCTCGTTATATAGAAAAGTAATTGACATTTTCGAATCGGCTCGTATTCTAGTTTGTAAAGAGGCAACATAAAACATAAGAGAAAATATCCTAACGGCGAGGGTATTCCCTGATTATTCTATGATACACTAGCGGACCGAACAGACATTGTTCCGTACACAAAAAATATCTGATAACTTAAATTAAAATTGTAAATTTAAACCATTTTCGAATCGACCTGAAGACACACAAAAAATTTCATTAAAATCGGCCATAGCAGATCAAAAGAGCTCTGAAAGAATTTGATCAGGCCCCGCACTTGCTTAAACAGGCATTAGCTTCTCCCTCTGGTTGGGAAGCGGCCATGGTTACGCTATATCTATAGAGTTGTCACCTGTCTCCTTGTCTTAGCGGCGAATGCTCGGCTGCCCAGTGCACGGAGACCCCTGCAGCCCGTTGGACCGCGTTCCACGAGCCAGAAGACACCTCCGTTGACAAAACAGTCGCCGTGCCACCGCATTCGCGAACCAAGCTGCGAGGAACACACGTTTGACTAATAATCTACTTAATTATTGTGACTAGTACGAGTACAAATCTGTTTAAGTGATCTCTGTGTCTTTCAATTCCAACGCGGTACGCTGAGATGTAGAGCTAATCGCATTTCATCAGGTTTGTTGCGTACCTAAAGCGTAACAGGCGGTAAAATTGACACTGCAGAAGAAGATATTTTTTTAGTTCCTGTCCAAAAGGCTAAAACGGAACCCGATTACTAAGATTTCGTTGTCTATCTGTCTGTCCGTCTGTCACCAGGCTGTATCTCATGAACCGTGATCGTTAGACAGTTGAAATTTTCACAGATAATTTGTATTTCTGTCGCCGATATAACAATAAATACTAAAAAAAAAAAATAAAAAAAAAATTTTGTGGGGCTCCCATACAACAGGAGCCTTTTTTATAGATAATGGTAGAACCCTTCGTGTGCGAATCCGACTCGCAATTGGATTTTTGCAGTTTAGAAATATTTAAAAGTAAAAGTAAACTATCAGCCTAAACATGTCCCACGGCTGGTCAAAGGCCTCCTCTGTACAGAGGGTATCAGGGCAGAGTCCACCACGCGGCCCCACTGCGGATAGGTGGACTTCAAATGTCGTCGAAAAAATTTTTTTTAATATTATTTCGAAAATATGCAGGTTTCCTCACGATGTTTTCCTTCACCGCGGAGCACATGATAAGTCAGCACTTATTAAAAACTTCATTGGTGCCGGCACCGGGGATCGAACTCAGGTTGCTCGAGTATATTGAATTAAAGGCGAGCGCCCGGACACTGAGCTATCACGGCTCTAGAAATATTTATACTACTTAAATTACAACTTAGATAAGATCTAATGTAAATTATTCATCATAATAACATTTATTAGTAAGTCTATAACTTATCTAGAAGAAAATTACCTAGTGTTCGCATTGATCATAAAAGTTCTAAAAGGTAAGTAGTGACAATGTAGATTCAATGCAAACAGGAAACATATCCTCGCTCTATGGAGGTCACAGCATTTTCAATTTTAACCTATTTTCACGTAATAATTAACATAGAAGTGTTCTTATTTGAGAAATGTCTACGTTCTGCCTTTAATATGAATTGAACCTTCAACGACTTATCATAAAGCAGAACGTAAATTCGAATACAGGTCGTTAGTTCCTTGGCTACTATAATTGACAATAGATAGGTAATAGAATTTAATGAAAATAAATAAAATTAATGCTAAGAGACACTTGCTCAATCTATGGCGGGATGTACTTGAATAAAAAATATGCTTTGGTCAACTGTTTCTTTTTTATTTTTATCATTTTATTTTGCAAAATTTTATATTAAGTTTTTATAGTCCTGAACTCTGTACTTAAGATGAAACATAAAAACTCGCGTGGCAATCAGCCGTTTAGGTTAATGGCTAAAACGTCTGGGCGCGATTCCGGAAAACGTGGGTTCGATTCCCGGAGCGGTGAACTGACTGTGCATTTGGTGGAGCATCGAAAGGGCATCGCCCACTCATAAATCTCGATCGCTAATGAACTGTGTTGTAAAGCTGTCGGCTTGTGCAACATAGTTATTGTTGCAACTTAGACATCGTCTTTACAGCCTAGGCTTTTTGAGCTGTGGAGAAAATACTAACGTTGTTAAATTTTAAGTGGTTTGTCTTGTAACTATAAAATGTGCGCCGTCAAGTATAGTAAGTATAAGCTTATAGGTACCAGATGGGGAAATTTTCAATATAGTATCCTGCCTCAGGAAGTGAAGATAGAGTCATTCGGCGCTCTTATCCACAAAAACTTTCATCGTGGTCAATATGATCTCCCACGAAAAGCACAGGTGCATGCACTGCATGTATGTATATTGTTTATTGTACTAAAAGTTTGTACAAAGGCGAACTTAATACTAAATAGCATTTTCTTCCAGTTAACCTCTGGTGGTTGAGAGCAAGTTACGGGTAGTAACGCTAAAATGACATACAAGATTTTAAGTGTCAATCATAAAGAATATGGCAAAACTAAATATACTTTAACATAAATAAAAACAATTACAATTTTACATAGACATATTTGCATATATATATATATATATATATATATTACATTATACGTACTATTTATTGTAAAATGCAAACATCATTGTCATTACAGAGTTTTACGCACATATTTTTAATGATTAGTAAGCATTACATTACATATTCGTTATCGTATGTATGTGGTATGCATGAGCACGCTTCTGGAAAGGATAACACCTTACCCAGTTCTCTTACTGCTTTGCACCGGGTCATCTGATGTGTCCAAATAGTCACCTTAGAGGAATAAGCGAAAGAAATTCAGCGGGCGTCGTTTTTTGAAGTAAAAATTTAACATGAACAAAAATAACAAGTTTTCACGCCAAGTTATCAGAACGACTCGCGACTGTACACTGCACTAAAATTGTGATCGAAACTAGTGTTTTTGGCCGAAACTGGACGAGAACAAATCTTCGGTCAGACTCTACTTATTTAATATGATGCGAAATACCTATATGCAAGTACAGATGTGGATGTGTATTTTCATCAGGACTAAGATCATAGCATGTTGTAACAAATAACAATCAGAGATATTACAATCGCATAGGTGTACGTAGGCGTTTACAATAGTTCACGATAGGGGGCGTTTGGGGCGAAGGGGCAGTGACCGCGCTGCGTACACACTTTTGTTAATCAACGGACATTGCTATTATTTAGGTTTGCCGTTTAATGCTTAACTGATCGATGTTTACGTATGTAAGATAGATACCCGATATGATAAAAAAAAACAATTATTAATTAGTGGATATTAGAATTTATTTAATAAATTTATTGTATTAAACTGGTATCACACATTGTGAAATCGGTGAAGTCTTTGTTGTTGTTTTTATACCTTATTTTATTTGAGAGATGTGTGTTTTTTAAAAATATAGGTACTCTAAATTACAGGGTAAATTCCACAAATCTCGGGATAAGGTGTTTGTTTATCATATATTTCATTGGTAAGTAAGTACATCAGAATGAACATAAATGCCTTTTATTAATATATTTATATTTGGAATAAAAAATTAAGTGACGAAAATAACCGTTTATTACGATCTTTTTTTTTTCTTTTTATATCCAGTGCTATACTTAAATATTATACTTTCTTAATTAGTACTCTCATATTCACAATAACTATAAATAACAAAGCAGTCCGTGCCATCTGTGTGTGGAAACGTCTTTCATCTTAGACATCGCGAGGTAATCTGTTTGAACAATAAGAGCATTCTCGTGTTCGTTAGTTAAAGATAACCGAGGGCACGTTAGTTTGGGCCATGGAGGGCAGGTGTAATGGCTGCTAAGTATTATTCAGTCTGTTATGAAATAATAATGCAATCAGAGAACAGCTATGATCGAGAGACGGCCAGACAATTCAAAAGTTCTGGGTTAAATTATTAGTACCTGGAGGACCAAGCTTTGCTCGGTTTTTTTGTAAATCGTGTAATATGTATTTTTGTAAATAGTGTAAACGAAGCAATGATCTGGTATAGGAAAAAAAAACAAAATGTAAATGATCGTGACACGAACCGCGGCCTTCTGTTTCGGGGCCGCCCGATTACCGACCGAGCTGCTATAATATATTTTTTTTCGCGAAATTTACATTTACATTGATATTTTTCATTCCCTAAAAACAGGGATAAAAGGACATTTTCTAAAAATGAAACCTAGCTAGATCGATTTTTCGCCTCTGAATCTACGCACATACTAAATTTCATGAAAATCGCTGGAGCCGTTTCCGAGATTCCGATTATATACAAGAATTGCTCGTTTAAAGGTTAATATCTATCAAAATAGACAAACTTTCGTTATTTTTTTATTTCTTACTCAGAATTCTGTGAACTAATTCATTTAATAATTAATACACCTTAAATAAAATTGTGCTATTTTTTATGGATTGTAGGTTTAGCTAATTATCTTTCTTTGGAACTCTATATCCTACTGTATTTACAATTAATATGAATGAATATAAAGGTATTTTTCATTGCTATTAAATAAAATAATCTATAACAGTAAAATAAAATTTTGTTGCTGTCTAGGGTACAAATAATTTCACGACCCGAAAGTTATAAGTCCTAATAGGTCCTTACTGATCCAATTGCACTTGCCATCCACATGTACGTTACTGTTTAACATCAGGTTTGATTTTCGGTAAATGTCCCTTTCGGGGGAAGAGTCATGGTATCCCTACATAACACGAAAGGTCTCGGAGTGACACCTACGCCCCTCGATTGCGCTGCGCCGTGTTTTGCCATTTCTGTCCTTGTTCGAAAAATAATCCTGCTCTACACCCTGGCTCTCTTTCAACATTTATACACAGCAACTAAGTAATGTTGTATTAGTTACGCGAAAAATCGATCTTTGGTATGTTTTAACTTTTTCTGTATAGTGGTATCCGACTCAACGAGAATAACATCCATAAAAAAAAATCTAGAATAACATTGTGTTGAAAATGTTAATAGTTAATTCGTAATGATAAGATTTTTTTCAATATGAACCTTTTCGGACGGCTATTGTTACGTTTCTGCTCATGTTATAATTTCACTTTTTTATATTTCCGTCCATTGGTCATACGACGAAAGGCATTAATGTAACGTAGTTTGCTATTGGTAAATTGATTTTCAAGCAAGGAATGTCATCTGCCATTTCAGATTTTAAGCGACTAGCACGATGAAGTAAAATATCTAAATAATTTTCAAATAAATCGTAATATCATAATAATCGAAAATACTCCCATCGTTACCGTTAGGTTAGGAGTATTATCCTATACTTCATTATTCATTTTATTTGCGTTTTCAATTCAAAGTATTTTCACATGTTACTCATATTTTTTAAACGCAATTGATCTTGCTCATTAGTTCTAATTGTCCGTCGCTTCGGAACGCTAAATTAAAAATAAACCTTAAAATGTCTCAATATAGATCAGTGTAACATTAATTAAATAATAACAACAATT